TAATTTTCTTTAATCTTTAACAAGAGTTTTACCTCGATATTCCATAAAAATAGAGAAACTATATATCATTTTCCTTGTTTATTCAATACATCCAATTCATCTGGAATATATTCGATCTTTGTTTATCCTAGATATTACCTAAATGATTATTTCTATGCTCTTCGTTTTGAAAAACAAACTGTCCGAGTTAATATGGCATTTCTTTCACGTTCAAGGTTCAATTTACTTTGCAATATTTAACGCAAATATTTGCGTTAAATTTACCAAAAGCATCAATAACGCATATCATATGTTAAACTGTATACGATAGATATATTACACGACGGTAAACAGCACACACGTGTTTATATATGTGTACCTTTACATTATAACAATACACACGGTTGATTAATTAATAAGTTAACGTGCGACAAACTAGAAAAGTCCACCCCCAAAATTTACACGCAATTCGTTCAACCACGATTAACCATAGAACTATATATATGTATATAAACATATATAAATATATATATATATATATATATATACAAATCAGTGCTTAGATGATTTTAAAATTAGCTAGATAAAGATGAGATAAAAATACGTAAATTTATTTTAGATAAGATGAAGATGATTGTGTTTTAAATATATCTAGATACAAGATAAAATTATATGGCAATTCATCTAGATAATTTTCTAGATAATAATTTTTAAATCTGCTTATATGTAAACACAGTTATAAAAAAATGTAAACTATATAAAAGGGATGTAAAAATATATAGTATGTATTCATATTTATAAATTTGTATCGTTTACTGCTTAAGTTCGACTATTTAAGTATTTTTATGTACTACAATTCTAAACCAAAATTATCTAACAATTATTCTAGATAATTTAGTAAAGATAATACTTGTTTTCATCTAATAATAAAATGCAGCTATGGATAATACATATTTTTATTGTCTATATAAAGATCAGATGACGCCAAAGTTTTATCTAGATGATCATCTATATAACTTTATTTAGATAACAGCAATAAACACTGCGTATATAATATATAAATGTGCATAAAAATATATATGTATATTGTCCAATTGAAGAAATAAAAAGAAATAAAAACACGAGAGAAAGAGCGGCATGGTGGCTCCCAAAAACGTAGAATAATAATTTAAATCGACTCGTAAGATTCGGCCAATTTTCACACGGGCGTTAAATCCGAGAGAGCGCGAAAAGCCCGGCCATTCCGCTCAACTCCTGAGGGTGGCTCTTGATAGTCGGGTTAAGATGCTTGCGCGTACCCGCTCGTCCGTGCACGAGTGCTTGCTTTCGGTTCAGTGTCGAAGACGGTTTATAGTGGTTTAAGAGGACCAGGAGGTCGCGACCAGGAGGAAACAGGGTTGACAGGAGGCGGAACGGGAGATCGAAATGGGGTGAGAGACCTCGGGGCGAAAGAGGCGGATGAGGAAGCAGATGCTCCCCAACTGGTGTCACGGATCATGGTCATCTTGAAAGCTCCTGAAAGGCGGGAATGCCACGAAAGCTATCTACTCCGAGAGAAGGGAATGACTCACTTCGCGTGAACTCGCCCTCTTTCTCGCGTGTGTATGTTCGCGGATATGGTGTGTAAATATGTAGAGGGGATCCCTCTTTTCCCGACGAAAAATGGCAGGTACTTTGCGGATGACGGTTTCATCCGGGGCTCGTTAACTCGTTTACTCGTGTCAACCTTCGTTTTCACGTTTTTTTCTACGTCCTTTCATCGACGTCTTCTTTTTTTTTTTATTATCTCTTATAGTTCGCCAATCCGACCAAATTATCACGCAACTGGAGATTCCAAATAAAAGAAAAAGATGTATTTTTGAAAAATATGAATGACAGAAGAATAGCAGAAATAATTGTTCTAACTTTCCCTCCCGAGTCGCAAAACATTTTGCGATTAATAAGTGTCTTCGTTAAATAAATGAAAATTTTAGTTCCTCCTAATATAAATTATACGAAAATAACATTATTTTTCTCTCGAGAATTATCCGCGTATTTTTAAAAGATTCATATAGCGTCGTATTAACTGTCCTCCTAAATTATATTCGCGCATCGAAATCTCGCAAAAACACACGCGGTATCCTATTTCATTACTGCTGCACGTACACAATATATGTATATATGCATCCGTTATTTTTACATAAATCACATTTAATTACTGTGGGACATGAGATTTCGTGACATCAAAAGAGGCACGAACACCGCGGCGGTTATCGTCTCGTGTTCACGTCGATCATCTCGTCATGAAATACGGTAGACCACTCGATACTGCTCTCGACGCGGGAATAACATATTTCGCGGAAAGTAATAAATATAATATGCCACTAATATTACGTGATGTCATTAAAGATCGCGCGAGCTTGTTAAATGCTGCAGCAATCGAAGAATCCAAACGTTCGACGACATGCACGTTCAACGACTTGGTCAAACATACACATATGTGGAAATTTTTTGCAATATTTGCCAACATTACACGATAGAAAAATGTGTGTTTCTTGTTAAAAATGGTCCCCGTTAAAATTTTTGTGTCAATTTAACATATTACTGTTCTGTTAATTGAACTTGAATATTAAATTATTAAAACAACTAAAAAAATGTTAAAATAACACAATGTGCATCTATTTTCAATTTTACACAATAACTATGTTCTGCTTTATTAGTGACAAGATTTATCTGTTAAAATTTACAGAAAAAAATGTTGATTTTTTATTTTATAATATAAGTGGGGATAATAAAACCTAAATTAACATATTTTTTGTTAATTTTTACATTAAAATTATGTTAATTTTACACAAAATTTATTTTAAATTATTTGAAGTTTTGCATTTATTTTGTGTCAAAATATTAACACAATATTTGTGTCTCTATTTAACATATCCATATTATGTGAAATTAACACAAAAATTTCTGTGGACCGTTTGGGACATATGATACCTGTAAAATTTAACAGAAATTTTTCAACTGTGTATAGACAACGATTCGATTCAACATAGTTTATTTGTTTTAATTTAATAGCTCCTCCACGACAAAAGATCTGACTTAACATTCTCACTTCGAAAAATAATATAGTAAACATAAATTGTAAACAAAAAAATATGTCAGAGCTAATTACCAATTAATTGATAAAAGATACTGCAGAAATTTAGATTGCAAAAATATTAAATTTTTATAAATGCGTTAAATAGCACAGAATATTATAACTTTGGACATTTAATTAACAATTATAAACTTAATATAATTATCGTTTTTAAAATCCGCTTTAAATATTTTTCGAAAATAAAGATGTCAACGTTAAGTTAGCATCTTCATTTTAATTTCAATTTCCTACTAATTGTCAAGTACTTAATTCAGGATTCAGAGCAATAAAATTATGACTTAATTGTGCCATGCATCTGAATATAATTCTTGTGGCAGCAATGCCCGTTATAATTTGTACGGATTCAATTCAAGCGTCATAAAATATTCATATATAGAATATTCTTCTCCTTCATTTAAAAATACAAATCAACAGTTTTAACCATTTAAATAATTAATTTTTAATTAAAATTTTATTTTTTTGATAATAATGTCAGGATAGAATCTCATTTCTACCATTTAAAAATACGGTTTGAAAGAGAAATCGATTTTATAAAATAAATTAACTTTATATTATAACTTTTATTTTACAATTACCTAATAATAAAGCATACAATAATATTGCAATGTGTTTATGTGTAAAGCAATGTGAAATTTATTATAAATAACCTATATAATTTAAATTAATTAATAAAAAATTGGTTTCTTTAAAATAAATTAATTATATATTATATAATTTAAATTTTACTTGCATTTAATTTTAGTAGAAAACTAAATGTAATAATTTGTAACGTATTTGAGTGTAAACCACTGAAAAATTTACCAAATGATCTATATGATTTAAATTAATGAATAATATTAGTATTACTAAGCAGCATTGCAGCTTTAACTTTGAATAGAATACGATGTATATGTGTATATGAGAGTGCTTTTAATTCCGAATAAAATACGACATATATGATCAAATAATAAAAATCGATCTGATATATATATTAATTTACAATATTGAAGCAATAATAAAAGTAAAAATCACAATAAGCGTTTGGAGATATTTAATCATATTTGAGTAAAAAATCTTTTATTTTGCAATTATATGAAGCTGTTTCATAAAATAAAATCATTAATGAGACTGGTTCATTAATGAATCTGTCTCTGATGCAATTAAGAAATTATTGAATATCGGACCATTAAAGTGTTTTACTGAAATCAATAAATATGTTGTACATTATATAGCATTTGACAATTCCCGTATGAGATTCGTATATAAATTAACTTTTGGTCATAAAATTAATTTATGCAATGTAAATTAGATGTTGATAAATGTGCTGCTGTAATAACTAATATACTATACCAATTAATTTAAATCGCATAGTTCATTTACTATTTTACATAAACATCAAATGATTGATGTAAATCGCGTTCGCATCTTTCGACGGATGGATATACGCAATGAAATGTATATTAATTGTACCATACAGCGAGAAAGTACATTGATTAATATTTAAAATAAATAATATGTAAACAGGAAATAATTCAGTCAATTTATGTATCTGTCTGTGTTTACTTCCGTATTGCATTAATTGGTACAGAATATGAGAAAACCTGACTCGGCTATAATTTGATTATTAACGCAATTATAATGCAATAGACCTCTTTTAAGCAAATATTAAATATTGACTTTAATTCTGTTAAAACGAGAATACATTTACAAAAATTCGAATGAGATCAAAAATTGTACATTACCTTTTAGATGATATTGAGACAGACACCATACATTATGAATATCGTGTACACGTTTCATACATAAAATCGCATAAATAATTTAAAAATCAATTATCTCTTTATTTAATTGCGACGTTGATGAAAGCGCAATTGATAATAATTACACAGATATAAATTGACTCACCGTCGTTGCAGCTTTCAGTCAGTTCCGGAGATTCTTGCTCCAATTCTCCGTTCGAGGAACTAACTAGAATCAAAAGAAAAAAACGCGATATCAGCGTATTAGTCCAGTAAAATTAAACTTTGACTTCAGAAAAATTACGATCAAGCTGAATTTTTATGGAGACCTTTATTTCGATGTTTTAATGAAATTCTGAAAAGTACCCTTAATTTCATCCAGGGCTTTTTATGGGGAGGTGGAAAAAGGGATAAATTTTAGTTTTTTACCATTATCTCGAAAACTATCAATTTTTCGAGACAAATAATTATTATCAAAATGATAGCTCATAAAATTCCCTACAAAAAAAGTCATTATACTTTTTTTCGTGGAATTAACCGTTTCGAAGATATACTCTATCCCCGCGGTGATGTGGAAAGGAGTGCGTATATTTTTTACGAACTACAGACATTACAACTCTACCGTTTTACTCAAAAACGATTAGTTGCGCGAAAAAAAGTATAATGATCTTTTTTGTAGAGAATTTTATGACCTACAATTTTGATAATAACTATTTTTCTCGAAAAATTGATAGTTTTCAAAATAATGGCAAAAAATTAAAATTTACCCCTGGCTGAAATTAAGAGTACTTTTCAGGATTTCATTATAGAACATCGAAATAAAGGTCTCCACAAAAATTCAGCTTGATCGTAATTTTTATGAAGTTTTGCCCTTTTCAAGTCTAATTTAACTGAACTAGTACATCTTTGATACCTCTACGTTCAACAATGAGAGGCCAATGCATAGAAGAATGCGAAAAACGCGATGTATACCTTTGATAGTGAATAAACAAATAACGTTAACCGTGCGTGCGAGTTTGCAACATTCGATTGACCGCGCGTCCCATAAACAAAACACAGCGAATCCCTCTCCTATACATATACATATACATATATACATATATATTGAGTATAGTTGACCGACTACGCATTCGGCCGACAGTTCATTCGATATATCGGCAATGCTCGATTACTTTACGCGCGCAATTAATTAACGAGCGAATTAAAAAAAAAAGAAAGAAAAATGCGCCAAGGGGCATTTTGCCCTACGGAAACGTTCCCTCGCGAAAAAAAAGAAATAAAAGTTAACGGTTCGCTAACGCGTATTGAAACCGCGGAATCGAATATATCGTTAAACGAAACAGCCGTATAACGTTATCGCGTATACCTTTCTAACGATCGAGCTCGATAGTTTCGATGATTGGACGTCCTATTACAGAGACAGATATACGGGAACTGAGGGTTAATAGCACAGGATTACGATCGGCGCTGGTTAACTGCGTAATAATCGACACGTCAACGATCGTCCCAATATCTCACAATCCCCGTCGGATACTGCTTATTTGTTGCGTATTTGACGAATAAATGACGCGAAATCAATTGATGGAAAATATATACGCGGACTCGCCGTAAAACTGCCGCGAGACAAAGATATGGCATATTTTAAAGTTGCGTTCGATCTTTGTAATCAAATCCAGATATCCCCTCGGGCTACAATTTTTATTCTAAATAAAAAAATGCAATCTTCGCTACGATTTATGTTGCGTTAAGATAAATGCGCAGAAATGATATGCGCGTTTTAATAAATTTCAAGCACTTGCAATAGTATCTGAAAATAATCAATTGCAGTAGAAAAATTTGTGTTTTCTTGTTAAAAACGGTCCCCGGTTAAAATTGTTGTGTTAAATATTTTATACATTCATGTGTTAATTTAACATATTACTGGTCTGTTAATTGAACTTAAATGTTAAATTATTAAAAGAACTGAGAAAAATGTTAAAATAACACAATGTGCATCTATTTTTATTTTTTTCACAATAAATATGTTCTGCTTTATTAATGACAAGATTTTTCTGTTAAAATTTATAGGAAAAAAATGTTGATTTTTTATTTTATAATGTAAGTGAGTTTGATAAAATCTAAAATTTACACATTTTTTGTTAATTTTTACATTAAAATTATGTTAATTTTACACTAAATTTATTTCAAATTATTTGAAGTCTTGCATTTATTTTGTGTAATATTTACACAATATTTGTGTCTCCATTTAACACATCCATATTATGTTTAAATTAACACAAAAATTTCTGCGGATTATTTGGAACATGTGATATCTATTAAATTTAACAGAAATTTTTCAACGGTGTATGACATATTTTAAAGCCGCGTCCAATTTTTGTAATTAAATCCCCTCGGGCTACAATTTTGTTTCTAAATAAAAAAATGCAATCTTTGCTACGATTTATGTTGCGTTAAGATGATGCGCATTTTAATCGATTTAAAGCACTTGAAAATAATTAATCGCTAAAAACGACTTGAAAAAAATTAATTATAAAGTAGCCAACTTATCGATTTGTGCGAAAATAAGTGCGCCATGAAATATCGTTAATCAAGAGTATTAATAGACATATTAACGTAATATCAATTATTCATTAATATGTAATATTGTTTAATATAACATTACTTAATTATCATCAATTAATTTAATATTTCAATCGGTATATTCGAAAAACGTTATTCATGTATCTGTGATATTTGTTCGATACTTGGATATCGATATCGTCACTCCGCTATCGATTACGTTATACGATACAAATGTAACGTTTTCGAGATACACGCAATCATCGTTAAACTATACGCTACCCTGCTACCAAATATTGTTGTCCGCACAACTATTTATCGTATATCTCAATACAGATCTTTTAATCACCTCATAGCGCAACATTTCGTTCTCACAACTACACGCGATATCAAAGTGATATTCGGTCAAATGTTAACAAACTCGCAAATTCTGAAAATAAAAAAACTACGTACCAAACAGTTATTAGTTTATGAATTGTTAATCATTTGTCGAACATTACACATTTTAATTAATTTTAAATGTTTTTGTCGCGACACAATCCAAATTGATTTAGCCGAATGCATGATTAAACATCTTGCAAATATTTCATCGCATAATAAAATATGACAATTTATGTAATAAAATGTATTGATCTTTCTCTCGAAAGTAGCAAAGAATGAATCACTGTAAATAAGCGAGAATCTAAGATCAAATCTATATAAGTGAATAAAATGTTATATATTATATAGAAAATTGTTATTAAAAATACTAATTATTATCTTTTATTTATTAAATAATAATATTTTCAATATTTTAACTTTATATTCCTATTGTACAAAATATTCCTATAAGAATAAATTTTCATAAAATATTTTATATAAATAATAATTTTATTGATTAATTATGGTAATTAAATACTTTATTAATGTACTAATTATGTGTATACATAATTAGTATATTAATAATATAATATACATATGTACATATAGATGTAGGTATATGTATGTATTAATATATTATTAATACGTATAAGTATGTGTTTGTATTATATATTATGAAAAATATTGATTGCATCAATTTCAAAACACGGTTTTGTTATTAACATATTTCTCAATATCTCAATATTATTTAAAGCAATCGCACAATACTCTCTAGTAACGTGTCACTCAGAATACGATAAAAACGAATTAATCTCTCAGATCTTGTGATTATATCGTAATTAAAGGTTCACAATGTGGCCTGTATATGCGTCCTTGTAATTATTGCTCATATTCTCGCGAATTGAAATGCAACGATAGTATCGATCTTGTGGGTTATCGAACGTTATAAATTATGCCTGTGAAAAGCGGCATGACATACACGATAAACCATAAGAGAAACGTCGCGGCTGATAGGTGAATTTATTGCGTTCGTGCCGCGTAATTGCCTTTTAATATATTTTCGTCCCGTTATTTTATATTTGCGACTGCGTTCACTAAGAAAAAAAAATTGCAATATACTTTTCCTTATTATATTCTCGTCGAAATTTTTTCAAAACAAATTATATATATCTATATTATGTATATTTTACACACATGCATACCTATTTTGTGTAAAAATTTCTATTACACAATTTCCTGTCAAATATAAATATTTCAAAATATCTCGCATAAACATTTCTCCTCGCAAACTTGTTCATTCGATGAGTGAAACGTATATAGAGAATATTTCCTTTAAAACTTTTTTAACGATGTTTACAACGTATATACACGCATTCACTTTTGATTATATGCTTCATTTGCAAGTTACTTTTTTTCATCAATTTTTAATATTTATAAATTTCTCACACGATTATTATTCTCACGTGATTATTATACATAAATATATATCTGCGAATATAATTACTGTTGATATGTAAAATATTGTAATATAATATATATATATATATATATATATATATATATATGTATGTATGTATATCGACTTGCAACAGATTCACTTGATTCAATATAACGTGATATAAAAATTTTATGTAATACACAGTGAATATATTTTATATTAATTAAAATACAGCCGTGATATATAAATTGACAGGAGCGATGTAAGAAATAAATGAGAAAGTATTATGATTTGAAGAAATATTACAGTTTTCGATTATAGAAATGAAAAATAATGGGTAGAGCTCGCGGACTAGAAATATAAAGATTTATTGTTTACGCTGTTCATTAAAAGCGAACATAAATTGCCGGGGGCGATTCGGAAATATCATTTTTAGCAATGAAGAATGCAAATATCTTTCTGTATTAATTACATATACAACGATATGATATGCGCATATATGTGTACATACCTGAAGCTGATCGAAGCCGACCCAAGCTGCTGAAGTCTCGACTGTCGTGTCGTCTCCGGAACACTCCGACCACTTTGCACATTCACTTCCGGAATATCATTTTCTGTAAAAAATGCAAAAATTAATATCTGGTGCAATTAATTATACACGACGATAATATACATATATGTATATATATATATATATATATATATGTGTGTGTGTGTGTGTGTGTGTGTGTGTGTGTGTGTGTGTGTACATACCTAATGAAAATTTGTTGTCACGAATTTTCATTTTAATCACAAATAATTTTAATCACATTCGCGTTACACACACGTTACGTTACGTTACGAAAGACTCGGCGAACACTTGGCGCGTAATTGCTCGCGCGCTATTTTTGCGGACACTTTTATACGCGGGAACACTCACGAGCGGCCATCTTTGCGGGAATGATCACGTGATCGCGAGCGATCCCGCGAGACGACTCGACCTATCGACCTATCGATCGCGACACGCGATCGATTGCCATCTATCGGAAAGCAATTATGATGAGTCTCGAACTAGGGAAATTATATAGACGCACTATACGAAATATTTTTAGCGTTTTTCCAAGGATGTATTTCATGGCAAATATATACTGATTATTTGATTGATATTTTAGCACTTGTCTTGAAAGAAGCAAACAAAAAAATATAAAGGAGCGAACAGAAAATATATTATTTGACATAAAATTCGAAATGAATAATAAAGAAAAATATTAAAATACAAATATATGTCCAAAAGACGTTCAGAGGACATCCTAACCCAGGTAGCAAGCTGACTACCTGGGAAGCATCCTAACATCCTCTGGATGTCCTCAGGATGTCTTATGGATATGTGTGCTGTTAGGGAATTATTAGGCGATAAAAATTGATACAATTTTAAGTGAAATGATCTAAATACCTGACAATAATGATTTTGCGACGAACAGCGAAGAAATCAAATCTGACGCGAGAGAATTAATAATGAAACACACAAAGCTAATCACGGCGAGATCGCAATAATATAATAACGCGTGCATTTATCTTTATTTTTTACGTCACGAGACACTTTTCCGATAGTAATCTTCGAGCGCGAAATAGACACAACAGCGCGGACGTAAACACGGAAGCGCGTGAATGTAGCTGCGACTCGCCTTGTTTTCATTCGAGAATCGCAAACGCTCGCAGTCGGATAGAGTCACGCGATCTGTCGCGACGAGAGGCTGTATTTATATTATTGTGAGTGTCTCGCGTAAAGTTTCTCGTACATTCGTCGTAAAACGCGTTAAACATCGCGCTCAAGACTTCAAGAGTTTGGTTTTCACCTGTTGAAGGAGCATCTTATTCGCATGTTTCACGCAGCTACTTTATTTCTAATCCCTAACATGCAGCGTACGAACATCATCATAAAGGTACGAAACTATACATAAAAAATAGGTAAATACACGTACGTTTTTTATATGTCATATATATCATTTTATTGACAAAAGTATAAGTATATAATAAGTAATGAGTAAGTATGCTGTATTCTGTGTACAGCAGCAATTTATTTATGTCAATATTTAATTTCTACGTCGAGTAAAGTAGTATTATTATTTTTTGACTCCCCGTTATATGAATATTTCTCGAAAATCAATATTTTCTCGCAAATTATGTGATACTTATTATTATTATGATTCAATTATTTCTTGCATTGCATTTATTGTATATTAGAGGTTTTCTTATATTTTATTCCCAAGTTGTGTTATACAGGGTGTTATAAAAGTAACGAAACAGCAGACTAACTCGAAAAATATATGAGTCCTAGTCCTTTCGAGTTATTTGCTGTTCCGGTACTTTTATAACACCCTGTATATTCAATATACATATGTATATTAAATTCTTTTTCGGATCATTAACTTCAGTCGATATATGCTGAATTCGATGTTATCGACGATCAAGCATGTCAAGTTCTTCAATTCTTTCATTATCTTTGAACTCTCTGCTGATAAAATATATATTCAATATATAATATATGTAAAATCTCGAAAGCATTTTTAAATATTTCTTATATTTATTTTAATAGCTTCATTGCTCTCTTCTTTAAGTACTAAATACAACTAGTCATTATTTAATTATTACATTTGTAATTATTCATACTTTTTAATCTAAATAATTATATATAGATTAAAGTCAATTTGATTCTTTTATAAATTATTAAAAAATACGGCATGCAAATTAAAAATATTCAGACAATATTACTAAAATAAACTTACTAAGTATATTAACTGATGCTCATCCGCATGGCCACTTAATAGCTAGCTCATAATGAGAATGATAAATATTTAATCGTCAATTATAAATGAATAAGTGAAAAAAGTCAATATTTTCCAACTTTATCTACGAACGTACATTATTACGTATTTAATTCCTGCTAACAATTTTATCTCTTGTACATTTTTTTTTAAATCCTGAAATTATAATGAATATAAGAAAGTAAACGGAAGCAAAATAATCGCTTCGAAGAATATATAAGTAATTTATTAAAATGTTTTATGTACACATCACAACACCAGGTACCTATTTCACGTTGAATAGATTATTTCGCATACGATGCTGATGCATCGGTGAATTAAATTATGTAAGCTCGAGTCGCTATATCATGCAAACATGTGACTTTTAATTATAATTTGTCGAAGTTGGCAACGAGACAGTTTATTTTGTAATTTTCGCTGGTATCTGGAAACATATAACTCTGTCATTTCCTTCTCGCAATGCGTAATGCACCGTCAGTGAAACCTGTAAACAGCATTATAATAAACATTTATTTTGCAACGGAGCAAATTAACTTGTTACGAAAGAAACGGATGCATATCAAACAAAGAAACGACTTTGTTCGACCATTAAAGACCACGTTTTTACTGCTTTATTATTACATCTCTTTGATTATTTATCTAAACACGCAACTACACTGAAAAAAATGTGTTAACTTGACTAAACCTTTCAACAAAATATTATTTTGTTAATTGAACGTATACAAACATTTAAATTAAATATAATATTTTAAATCTAACAAAAATCTATATTTGACTTAAATACTAATATATACAAGGTGTCCTATGGGAAATTGCTATAAAACTAATCAGCTGTCATTTTTTAATGCATGCAATTATTGAAAAAACAAAAATTGTGTTGGATAGAGGAAAGTCTGCAATTTTTAATAGATATAAATAAAATATTTGTATAATAGTTTATTTTATTGATAAAAAGTAATGAAAAAAGTGCTAATAATTACACAAATTTACATAAACTAATTATAAATATTTTCAACAGTGCCAGATTTAATAGGAGCTATTAAAAGGATAATCAAAAATATTAAAAATGACATGTTAGACAAAGTTTTTACGAGTTTTCGTAAAAGAACAGAATTTTGTACCAATTCAAATGGCGCGCACTTCGAAAATATTTATCATTAGTTTACATATGTGATTATTAGCACTTTTTTCATTACTTTGTTTCAATAAAATAAACTGATATACAAACATTTTATTTATATCCATAAAAACTGCAGACTTTCCTCTGTCCGACACAATTTTTGTTTTCTCAATAACTGCATTGAAAAATGACAGCTGATTAATTTTAGCAATTTCCTATGGGACACCCTGCATGTTCACTTAACAAAATAGTATAATTTAGTTGAAAGGTTTGGTCGAGTTAACAAGTTTTTTTTTCAGTGTACGAGTCTTTCCTTAAATTGTAAAAAATTTGACAAAATGATTGGATTAATTACCCTGGGATAAAACGCCAATACGGGGAAACTGTTCTTGTAGACGTATTCGACACCTTCTTTCAGTGGACACCCTACTTTGCTACCATCAGGATTGTATATATTGTCACAGGCATTCATTCCATCAACTCCTATGAAGGGCAAAGGCACACCGGCAATAATCGCGTTCACCTCATTGACTAAGTTTGTAATAGTTCTGGTAGGTTTGAGTTTCATCTCTATCGAGACGGTCGTTCCCTGCTTCAACATACATGTCGGTTGATCGCAATCGGATACCTTAATTTGCTCAGGATCCTCGAATGGAGTTCCTGCAACCAAATTTTTTTTACTGTAGATTAAAAATTATTGCAACTTTAATATTTTAATATCTGCTACATGTTTTTCTGCACAATGATATACATAAATCACATTATTTAATATCAAATATACACAGGGTGTATCTAAATAAGTGCGAAAAATTTTAGATGATTCTTTGTCGAAAATTAAGGGGGTTTCTTGTATAAACATATACTTTTCTATATCCCTCCCTGAGGAGTAAAATTAAGTTTTCATTCTTTTTCTCAAATTTCAGACAAATTAAAAAAATACAATTTAGTGGATATTTTCCACCAATAAAAAGGATATTTATTAATATTTAAAAAAATTAAAGCTTAGTTTTTATATAATGTTTATATAAAAGAAATCTTAATTTTCGACGAAGAATCATCTAAAATTGTTCGCATTTATTTAAATACACTCTATGTAATTCTTTTATTCGCTTGAAGATATATTGTCTGAAATTTAAAAAAAAACGCTGCATACGATGAGAAAAAATATGCATATGTACATATGCACCTGCAAAAAAAAGTAAGAGTGTAATGTCAAAAGAATCTTTTGCAGCTTGAAACGCAGACCACCTTGAAATACTTCTTGATCTCCTTTGAAAGACTCAAGACATTGTAATGTCAATAAGCACACGAAGGAGTAATAAACTTGTATAATTTTAAATAGGTATTTTTTCTGTTATGTCTTTTGTAACGAAATCTATTAGGCAATTTAAAGATTACTAAATTTGATTGAAAGAATTAATTCTAACTTAATGCATAAATATATATATTAGACAATAGGAAAAATAAATTATCTTTATCAATCTGATATGTAAATATAACTTCTCACTCAAGAAATGAAATATTAAAAATTCCTTATTCCTTCGTCTTCGTCAATATCAGTAGTAAATAATTTTTTGCAAAGCTCTAGCTGATTGTGAGATAAAATTATGAGCAAACAAATACGTTCAAACGCAATACATTGTGCTTACTTTTCTTGATTATCCACAATTGAAGGCTATAATTGAAGGCTAACATTTAAATAGCTACAGTTGCTCAACAGGAAATGCAATTTGCGATAATAATATACCTACCCGAGTAGAAATTTATCCAGTTTTTAGCAAGTAACTGGCCAAGAATTCTGGTTACTAGCTAGTTTTTAGCCAATCAAACTGGCCAGAAATTGATAGGTTTGGGAGACGCTTGGTTCGCCAATAACTGGATATTAAAACTATTTAATTTCTGACCAGTTTTTAATAAGATTTTTGCTCAGTGTCTAATCAGTTTGTGATATTTTTTTGACCAATTTTTTATCAGTTTTTGTCCATTTTATTAGCAATCTTTAATCATTTTATAAGCAGCTTTTGATCTGTTTTTAACTATAAATTAATACAATTGTCGCTCGTATATTGAAAACAAAGTGATAAATATAAGGCCAACTTATCGAGCTGAATATTCGAGATGTTCAGTCAACTACCATTTATTACATGTATAAATTATAAAACTACAGTCATTATATTAAAACTAACGCAAATTACAATCATTCTATAAACGTTTCGACCGCACGCGGTCTTCTTCAGTATAATTATTGAAATATAAATTCTTACAATTCACATACTAAATTCGATAGTATGTGAATTGTAAGAATTTATATTTCAATAATTATACTGAAGAAGACCGCGTGCGGTCGAAACGTTTATAGAATGATTGTAATTTGCGTTAGTTTTAATATAATGACTGTAGTTTTATAATTTATACATGTAATAAATGGTAGTTGACTGAACATCTCGAATATTCAGCTCGATAAGTTGGCCTTATATTTATCACTTTGTTTTTAACTAATTTATAACTAGTTATTTTTAGTTTTTTAAATAGTTTATGACCAATTCTAAGTAATAGTTTGTACATTGAAATTTTATCATTTTTAATCTTTTTATTTTTGTAATTTTTGGTTTTTAATACACGTAATACAATATTAATACATATAATACAATTTAATACAATATTTAATATATATATATATATTTATTATGATTCATTATGATGTTTTTTCTAGTACAGAGTAAACGTTTAAAGTATAGTGTAAAACAATATAATACAAAAAATATAAAAAATAGAGAAGAAAGTAAAAATCAATTACAAAGTAAGAGTTATAACATCAAATATTGTATCACATATATGTATATATATATATATATACATATATACATATATGTATAAAGAATTATACATATGTATATATATATATATATATATATATATATATATATATATATATATATAATTCCTAATATTAGTCTTGTTCCTTTAATATTTGAGACAAATAAATACAATTATATATCTATATGTATATAATTTTAATTACTATTAAAATTAAATAAATTTAATTAAATAATTTTTTTAAATTAAATAAATTTTAATTTACTATTTTAATTTGCTAGTTTCTGGTCAGGAACTGATCAAGAAATACTGGTCATTATTTTCTATTTTTGATGGACAAGAAACTGCATAATATTTACCTATAATTTTTCATATCTAATTTCTGATTAAAAAATAGCTAAAAAACCATGTCCAGTATTTTCCGAGTTTTTGAAAGACAGAAACTGCCAAAAATTTACCGATTATTTTTCATGTCGAGTTTCTGACTAAGAACTACCCAAGAAAGTATGCTCAGGATTTTCAGAGTTTTTGCTAAACACAAATTGCCCAATATTTACCTATCATTTTTTAATGTCTAGTTTCTGGTCAGTAACTGCTCATGAAACAATAGTCAGTATTTTTTAGTCAATTTTTGAACAGTTACTATCTAACTAATCCTAGCAAATAAAAACTAATCGATTTCTGGATAGTGAAAAGTTTTTCCCAAACATTTTTCTACTCGGGTATATTAATTCTACAAACGCACAGACTTAAATGTTTTGAATTTCATTTTTGTTTGTAACTAATAAAATTTTGACGTTAATTTTTACATTTTATTTGTACTTAATAAATATATAATATAATATAATAATTTTTATAATTTTGCAACTTTATAATATACAATTATAGCGTGAGTGTGATAATGATCCAATAATTTTCAAAAATTAAAACAGTTTTTGATATTAAAAACGCAATAAATTAGATTAAAAGCAAACACGATTCACAAAAAGATTGCTTAACAAAAAAAACAATATTTTACAAAAAACCGTGTGTAAAATAAAGTAAGCGCATTATCGACACGAAATATGTTAAAAACGTGCATAATATCACGAATATCAGCACCAAAACTATAAAGTTTTTATGCGTCTGCGAATCCGCAACTGTACTATTAACAGTATATTCAAAATCGGTCAGTGTATAATACATTCTAAATACATTTATACACTTTATGCACACGTACGCCTTATTTCCGCTGCTTTCGACAGCAAGTTGTTCAAGTAAATCGAAAAAAAATTAACGCCCGAAGATTCATACGACCCAGGAATAAATTTGTATTTAAATAATTATACATATAATCGTAAAAAATTATATGTAAAATATGTCCATTTTTATATATTACATTATAAAGGTTCATATATAATCATGTCAAATTATATATGAAACATACACTAAAAATAAATTTAGTTAATTCTTATAAGTATTTATTTCAATACTGCCAAATGAATTATTTATTTGAAACTAATAATATTGATTTGATATAAAAAATATTTATTTGATATAAGAAAATCTTTTTTAAAACAAATAAAATATTTATTTATTTCAAATAAATTATTTATTTGGGAGTATTCAAATAAATACTTATTAATTTAGTCATTTTTTCAATTTATATATATATATATATATATATTTATTTATGTGTATGAAGAAATACTTATTATATATATTTTATTTAATTATGTATAATTATATAGATGATTATATATAATTATATATAAAAAAAGCACTTTTATCTAATTATGTATATGGACATATTTCATATATAATTTTATTCGTTATATATTATTTTTTTTTAGTGTATATATTTATGTGTATGAAGAAATATTTATTTATATATATATATATATATATATATATATATATAAATTTATATAATTATATAAAAAAAGCACTTTTATCTAATTATATATGAACATATTTCATATATAATTTTACATTGTTATATACATATAAAAAATGTTTCCCAGGGAATAAGATACTGCGGCCAGCGTTTCTAATCCAGCGTTGAAATTCTAACGTTATAACATGTCGGTCATAAATTAACGCTTGCGTTAGTATTCCCCACTCGTCACTTTCACCGCGTGTCAATTATGTTTCTCACAAGTAATTATACGGGTATTAATAACAATATTAAATCGTCGCCTCGTACCTCCGATAATTAGGAGTCATTAAGCGCATCATGAGTTGATAAAATTACGAGAACGCTAATTACAGCACGCATCACGACACGAGAGACAATCTTCGACATAATCATTCGACATGCTCACTCGATTTGACTCGCGTGATAAATTATGGTTCTCGTTACAATTTAATCGTTTCTAAAGGAAATTTCTGCTTAAGCAATTTCTCGTCAATCATATAGGCATTATTTGCGTTGATGCAATGCGTCTTGAAAACAATTTATATGGCTAGAGAAAGTTGATAAACCCAATAGAAGAGAAAAATTATTCATATTGCGTGAGTTCTTCATTTATAGAATACTTCTCAAATGTTTTTGGCCAAATGATATGAAAAGAAGTTTCGATACAAATATTTTTCTCATGTTCAAGATACTGAATATGAGAAGGTCGAATTTTAAGAACAAACTTACATTCAAAATAAAATGATAAATAGGAAAAATATATATTGTATTAATTGTTATTGTCATCGAAAACGCGGTAGGAAAATGTAAAGATAAAAATATTTTAAATTTTATCATAAGAACGCATGATATCTTTTTAACTACAACACATATGTTTATACATTATTTTTGTGTTTATATATATGTAAAAATGTGTAATAATATTACATAAAAATATGTAAAATTACATAAATAATAAGTGCAAAATTACACGATAAATGATGAAAATGTATATAGCTTTTCAAAATTTATCGTGTATTTTTAAATTTATCATTTATATAATTTTACATATTTTTTATGTAATATTATATATTTTTTACAGTGTATATTTATCGATCTTGATAAGTCTTTATGTTGCGTTATATCTTATTTGTTCATGTGTTTCCTAATTTTGATAATTCTGATAATATGTTTTTCTAGTTGTTGATTATTTATCTTATCATTAAACCTAATTCTCTTATTTTAAAGCAAAAACATTTAATTTCTACTAAAGTCCGTATTTATATTCTTGAAATATAAAGGGCACATTGTAATTTGAATTATAACAGAAAATATGTATACGTATTTATATTGATAAAGCAATGTTTATAAAGTTTATACAAAAATTATTAGTAATAATTAATAAAATACATTGATAAATTTTGGCTAAATTTTAGGAATATTCTATATAATAAAATTTCAACACTGCATCGAGAAAGTTTTTCACATCTTGAGATCTACAGCGTTTTAATAACGATCATATCTTTTTACAATCGTTATATTCATTCTCACGAATATTTTTAATACGAAACACTTTGACACAAAAGTCGAAGAAAAATCTCTCTTGCAACGTTTAAAATAATTTCATTATTAATATCATTGAATCAATTATCTATAAATCCTCGTTTATTTTATCGTCAGTCAGATTAATTTTTAATTTAATTTTTAAGGCTAGTCACACACACAGGTCAATTTATAATTTAATTTTTTCTCTCTTAAATATTTTTTATATCAAATAAATATTATTAATTTCAAATAAATGATTTATTTGACAGTATTGAAATAAATACTTTGTAAGAATTAACTAAATTTTTTTTCAGTGTACACATCTGGTTACATTTTAAAAGAGGCTGAATATATGAAAATTAAAAAAAAGGAAACATTTAATTTCCCTAAAGTCCTAAAGCACACACACACACACACACACACACACACACACAATATGTGTTTATAAAGTTTATACAAAAATTATCAGTATATAATAATTAGTGAAATGCATTGATATATAAATCTTGGCTAAATTTACTATTTATCTCGAAAAATTGAACAAGGACGAATATATGTGCAATCTGTTAAAAATGATGATTTTATATAACAGACATAAATGACGTACCAGAGTCGCAATGATCGACTACAGTTGCGCCGGCTAATGCGACAAGCGCCGTGAAAACGAGGATCGTTCTTCTCATCATTCCGGTGAAAGTGTTTCGTCTTGCTCGGGGAACCTTGTCAGCAGCTGTACGGGTCCAATCAGACCCAGCTCCAACTCTCGACTGACGACTGTTGCCCGCGAGCCAGCGTACCTGTCGACGCGACGTCAAACTCCTGCTTAAATAGACTTTGCTGCTTTTAAGGGAAGGGGACAACAAAACAATGTATCAGAGTCCACGCGGAAGTGTCCGCGTCATAATTTTTAAAAAGTCGTACACGTCTTGGAATTTTCTCTAAAGAGGAAATCAATTACTCTATCAAATGACACAATTGATATTATATGAAGAAGATAATGGAAAATGATGACAGCTCAATCGCTTACAATAGGCATGTACATTATTTTGCGCGTAGAAATACATATCAGTTAAAAATAATTCAATCTTAAAAATATTATATAACACGTGCAACGTGATATAAATCACCCGAGAAAAAATAGTGCATGCATAATCAAATATAATTAATTATACATATGTATAAAACATGTTCATCGCGTTTTTATTCTCTTATATATGATCTCTATCTTTAGATATACTGGAAAAATCAGAAAAATAATTTAAAAAATATAATTTTCACATTTTACATTTTTTTACAAAAAATAAAATTGGAAGAAATGAGAAAAAATTGCTCATATATAATTATATTTAAAAAAAGAACAAATTATTTATATAAAGAATTATATGTATAGACAATTTTTTCTCATTTCTTCAAATTTCGCTTCAAGTTTTTCTTAAAAAATAATGTAAAATTTATTCTTTTATATAATTATTTCTCTTATTATTTGTCCGTTTTATACAGACAAATTATAAGAGAAAAGAAACATATATGGACATATTTTATGCGGATTTTTCCCCGGGTATATTTAAATATGTTATATATCATAAAAGAGAGAGAGTGTACATTTTTGTTCATACAGATAAATAATATTCCATTTAAAACGGGGAAATAAAGCAATTGCTAATTTTAATTTCTTCTCTCTTTCTCTAAAATTATTATTTTTGAATTAATACAAATTATAAAATGCTCACTTTGATACGAGCATTATATAAAAATTAAATAAATTTTAAATTGTGCATATTAATTGCACTATTTGCGTTTGATTTTTATAAAAACTTCCAATTTTATGAGATAAAGGTAATTTAGCAAATTACAGTTTAAAAATTGCGAAGATAAATCGTTTTTTTTTTAATGATTACATTATTTAATTTATATCAACAAAAAAATGATAAAAAAGTAGATCAAAAAAATTATGACAAAGACTGATCTTTTTTTTATATATCTTAGTCAGCAAATCAGTTTACAAGTTAGCAAAATATATACTTAAATTAAACGCAAAAAATGTATAATTATTAAAACTTGTTACAAAGTGCTTCAAACCAAACAAATTATCTTCATTTTTTGTATTTTTTATTAAATGTCTTTTAATATATAATTTTAATGTATTTTAACTATTAAATATTTATTGAGGAGAGATATAGACCGAGATGCATAAAAAATATCCGTATATTTATAAATTTTTTTCTCAAAAAATATTATCAAAAATAGAATTTTTCACTAGTCTATTATATGTATATATTTAATAATATATGATAAAATTTTTATTGAAAAATATTAAAAACTGACAAATATTGCTGTTGATGTCAAATGCTGTTGTGTTTCACGGTAGCTATGTTATTATACAATTTATATGGTTCATCTGAAACAAAAATTTGATTGATTCTTAAAATATACAGATAAATTTAGTCTTTGTCGTAGCAAATTTTTAGAACTTGCAATGTTTATAAAATGACACTTATTTGAATATACGAACAAATTTTTTATTTATCATTTTTAGTTCTTAAAAAAAATTAAGGCGTTCAAGAAATCTTACGACAAAGACTAGATTTATCAGCATATTTTAAAAATCAATCGAATTTTTTTGATACATATGAACTATATAGATTGGGTACCGTAAAATGCAACAGCATCTGACGTCAGCTGCAATATCTACCATATTTTTTAATATTTTTCAATACAAATTTTACCTTAATATTACTAAATATACATACAATAGACTGTAAAAACTCCATTATAATTTTAATACTTCCTAAGAAAAAAATTTATGACTGTACGGCTATTTTTGGTGTCTTTGAATGTCTTTCCTTAAAATACTATTTAAAAATTTATATATATATGTATTTAAAAATTTTTAAATACTGCAATATTTTTTAAAAGAATTAAAGCTATAATTTTATTGATGTTAACATTTAAAAATTAAAAAAATAAGATCAGTATATTTCTCTGTTCTTAATTATTAGTTTTTATTATAAATATTCATGATAAATAACTTGACAATTTTCCCAAATACGCATGAAAATTCCTGCTTTAATCGAAATTCACAATGTTCGCTTTTCATAATGTGTTTGATTCCTCCTTTTTTCTCTCTTCATTTCGTTTACCTTGGCACACCGGAAATGAAACAGACCACCATGGTCACAAGAACAAAGCATCGGAAATTAAGAATCTTTGCCCACCATCATCCTTTTTTCCTTCTGTTTTTCTCTCTCCCTTCCCTCTCTTTCTGTTTCTGTCTTTCAGAATATAAATCTTATTTAAAAACAGAAATCTTGATTAATGATCGTAAATTATACACTTCTAAAATCATTATAATTACGTCAGCATCATGACGGAACTTCATCGAAATTCAGCACTCGTATGAAACGATAATTAATATTAATTAATATTAATATAAATAATAATATATATATATATATATATTAATATATTTATAAATATATTTATAAATATATTTATAAATATATTTATAATATAAATATATTTATAGATATATTTATATTTTTATTAATTAATATTAATATAGATATATTTATATTTATATTTTTATTAATTAATATTAATATAGATATATTTATATTTATATTTATATTTATATTTATTAATATTATTTTAACGTTTCTTTAAAGAAACGTGCAAATCGCACGATCGTCTAAATTTTCCGTTTAATCAATAGCAACAGCCTCTCTTGTCTTTGATATTGATATATAATGAAAATGAGCATAATCACAATCGGAATTTTCAAGCGCACGTGGTCAGGAGCAGTTCCAGTCGTGGTTATTTTATTTATGCTTCGTTCACTCGTGACATTACCATGTCAAAGTACACATTGACTTTGTAATGTCTCCATTCTTGGAAAATTGCATCGCGCGAGATACAATAATATCGAATATGTAAATTCAATCCCGTGCGGTTTGATGCGACTAATAAAATGCATTTTTTCGACCCGACAAAAATGAGCCTCTTTCACGTCCGATGATCTAATAAAATATCGTTCTGATTTGCGATGTTTGGTTCAATATATAAGTATATGTTTCACGAAAGGTTGAACATAATTATATAGTTATTAGTTCATACGAAATACCACGAATTAATACTACGTTAAATTGACAAAAGATGATGAGTCAGAATAGTTACGAAAGCTTCTTGAAATCACTCGTACGTGAAAATAAATACATACTTTTTCACTGTTTGATTGCAAATTTGATTATAAATATATGTTTATTCTTGTCCCTTTTAATCTCTGCAACTGTAATTTGTTTTCTAATCGTTTTAAAAGAATTATAAAATGTGTTTTGTTTGAAGAAAGAATATTTCGCCAAAGAATGTAATTTTCTAATCGCTCTTAAAATTGCTTTTATTGTGAAAGAACAATGACAGATTAAAATGTGCTGGCTGCATAATAATATGACACATGCTTTACATATATTACACGTGACGAGTGAAAAAAAATTAGATTTATTTACATTCCGTTTTATGAAGACGGAAAAGTATCGGATTTAATACGCGGATATTATTAATGAAGGTCATGTTTGTATTAACGGAAAGAGATATTCTATATTCAAACAAGTGCAGCAACGCGATTAAGGTAGAAACTCAATAGGAATATCAATTACAGCAGTAGTGACCTTGAAAGCAAAATTCCTAACAACACTTTTTACTGATCTGGAGTGACTCGTCGTGTACACGTGCTGAGAAAAATCGTTAATTTCACGAATAATTTATGTAACTATAAAAACATTTTTTGTTTCATACTTTCACATATTTATAAGATACTTTCACTTATCAGGATAAATAATAAACTTATTCCAATTTTGACATTTTCGGATAGAAATTTGGATTATATCATTTTGAAATATATAGAATATAATTTATATGTATAATGCTAGATTCAATTAATTATAGACAATGAAAATTCTTTAGTAAAATAAAGTTGTGTAATTTATAATTTTTCTCCGAATATAAATTTCATATTCAGAAATTATAAATCACGTAACTTTTTTATGTTTCAATGCTAAAGAATTTTTATTATTTATATTTAATTAAAACTAGAATTAAAGTGAATTCTCTATATTTATCGAAATAATATAATTAAAATTTTTTATCATAAGTTTATTATTTATCCTGAGCTATCAGAGAATACATCATGTAAATGTTCTTATTATGAAATATCTTATCTCTCTGATCTTTTTACGCCATTTTAGATGATTATGCTATTTTTTTATTTATTGGCTTGTTATAAATGCACGTATACTATTAAATTATTAATTAGTCAATGATATTGCAGTTAATTAGAAAATTATGTTAATTATAGAGACTACATAACCGATGTAGAATCTTATGTAATTCCAGGTATAATAAATATTTGGAATAGACAAAAATACATAATATAAATATAAACATTTTTATTTTCGTGTATTAAAATTATATATGAAACATTATGAAATATGTACAAATGTGATGAGTTATAAATGCTAAGCATCTTATAAAAAAATACTAATATACAATTCATGTAATACTTTTAAGTATTTATAGCCAAGATTAAAAAGAAAATTATATTATATATTGATTCGATTATTCATCAAGTATTTTCACATTTAATCGACACAATATATGTATATTGAATCAACAGATTGCTCAAAATTATCATACTTATCATAAATTTATTCTTTATGGATCATGCTTCGATGTGTATAGATATCTTAAAATTATAATTCTAAAAATAGGAATCTGTGCTATTTTTTTATCTAAGAATAATTTAATCATGTATTATTTACTTGCAGTCGACTTTGTCAATTTCAAAAAATTCTTTGCACTGCTTTATTTTTTGAAATAGGATTTTTCATATAAAAATCCATATTATAACTATATACGTAAGAAATTCTTATTTTCTACGTCTATGGTTATACAAAATGTATTAATATAAATTAAAAAGCTACTTACAATTGCTAATAGCAATTGAAATATTACGACAGCATATAAAAATGTCTAGTGTTATAAAGTCTGCATCTGCATAATAATACTGAATAATCTCTTTAGTAGCCTGCTACACTTCCTTGTCGGCGATAATCTGAATTCGCGGTTAAAAGTCCATTTTCTTTGGATACTGCCGTGATCGCACTGCCAATTCCAGAATAAGTGGTGATATTATGTCCAACCTTGTTCAAATAATTTAACGTGTCTGGACAAAAATATTTCTCGTTCTCGACATTCATTGGGAACAGCTGTAATGTTTCAATAATAATTAATTTATTTTAGCTTTAAATTGTTAATTTTACTTTAATTAATTTCACAAATATAATTTTTAACAGAATTTTTGAAATATAATTATTGAAATATCCAATGTCAAAACTTAAGAAAATGTGAAAAATTATAAATTTTGAACAAACAATTATTTCAGCAAGAAATAATAGCCTATTCATCAAACTGTTATTGTTAAAAACAGTGTTAAAAAAATATTAAGCTTATGAAATTAAAAATCATTTTGCTTAACATAATAAGACGATATATTTAAGTCCAAGTGCAACTTCACAGGAGTATATAATTAACGTGAGTCGCCATTAATAAATATACACAATAATATTTTTTTTTAATTGACCTGACTGGCAAATGATTTATTAATTTCACAATATTTTATTTATTTTGAAGATTACGTCATAAAACAATATACGATATAAAATGAATATAAAATGAACGCTGTCAAGATAAGATTGGCCGTGTTCTTTTACGGAGGTTCTCGTGGAATTTTTATATTAATATGTCCAATAGGCATTCTAACATTCTCTGGATGTCCTTAGGATGTCCTCAGGACATCCAGTTCATCCTAACACAGAGAACATCCTAAGGACATCCTAACATTCTCTGGATGTCTTCTGAACGTCTTTTAGACATATTGTGCTGTTAGGGTTAGCAATTGGAAAAATGCAAAGGGTTACACAATTCCTTTGGATAAACGTTTGCAACAGGTGCACATTAACGAAAACTTTGCCAAATTAGCCAAGGCACTTTATATCGCCTATAGAAATTTAACATATACAAAAATCCAGTGCGTTAATATGAAGATTTTTGATTACAGGATCAATAAAAAAATTCCACTAGAACCTCCGTAAAAGAACACGGCCAATTATCTTGATAGCGTTTATTTTACATTGTATATTATTATTTTATAACGTAATATCTTCGAAATAAATAAAATATCGTGAAATTAATAAATCATTTGCCAGTCAGGTCAATTTTTCAAAAATAATATTATAATAATACAAATTTGATTTTTAATCAAAATCAATAATTATACTAGTCGAACTCACTTGATGATGAAGTCTACGTGCATCAATCGCCTCTTTTATGTTGTAATTAGACAACAAATGTAGGGCCATACTGATTGCCACACTACTTGTAATCTTGGTTCCACCGGCAGCTCCTATCACTAATCTCACGTTGTTATTTTGATCGACCTGAAATCGTACAATTGCTTATAACTTAGCCATCTAAAATTATTCTACACATTTCTACCTCTTTTAAATCATAAACGAAGCTCTTATACAGAAGAGACCTACTCGAGTTTCTATTTAATCTATCAAGTTGCGCGAGAAACATTAGTGCGATTTCAAGCGGCGACAGCTGCTTGTTCAAGAGCTATGTTCTTAATGATCGCGTGCATTGCGAATTGCAATTATATCATTGTGCCGAGCGATTCTCAGAATCGATGAGCACTATATATAGATATATATCGCGATCGTTAATCTCATCTCGAGTATTATGATAGATCTTCACGCGATAGAAAAAAAAACACGCGCATTAAAAGCATCCATTTTTTCGTCCGCGAGCTTTTTCCCGGACTTTTCGAGCTCTCGATAAATATATTAAACGTTCGCCGGTAAAATGGCTTACCACTATGGTCGGGCACATCGAGCTCAACGGCCGTTTGCCAGGTCGGATAAAATTCGCCGGTGACGGCGGAAGTCCGAAACCGTTGGTTATATTGGGCGAACTAAAGTCGTCCATCTCGTCATTAAATATTATTCCGGTGGATTCTGAACGTATCATTGCACCGAACCTGTTAAATAAAGATGCTTTATAAAGTGATAAAATACTGCGCGTTATAAATTCCGCAGAATTATTGTAAGATTCTCTCTCCCTATCTCGCTCTCTCTCACTTCAGCATCCCAGAAATCGTTCCATTTTTAAAATGGATATAAACTGCAGACATAAATGTGTATACCCATGTCGAAAGCGAAGCGATTCAATCGATCCTTCTCGCGATTTTTAAAGTGTCTCTATATCGAATCTCTATAATCGATAACGTAGATATAAAATGCACATATTGCACTCGTATTTTTACGAAAGTGCCAGGCACTTAAAATTGAACAGCTGATTATTTTCTATCGTAGAATTGAAATAGGAATAGTTCCCAATTTATTTACTATATACATATGTTTTAATACCTATGCAGGATGTTGAAAAAAAAGTAAAATATTTTAAGGGAATTTAGTATGTCTCAAAACAAGTTATAAATAATGATTTTAATAAAAATGAGCCATTTTTATTTAGATATTTGCAATATCTCATACGTATATATATATATATTATATATATATATATATAACTTAACTTACCTATAATTTAATTTAATTTACCTATATTTATATGAATAATAAAAATATCTCAAAAACGATTTATTTGTGGATTCATATTTATTAAGACTTTTCGACTTTAGGGCTTTTACTGAATCCCCTTAAAATATTTTACCCTTTTTGTGTCTGTACACTAAAAAAATTTATTAATTCTTAATAAGTATTTATTTCAATACTGTCAAATAAATCATTTATTTGAAACTAATAATATTTATTTGATATGAAAAATATTTATTTAATATAAGACTTAAGAAAATCCTTTTCAAAACAAATAAATATTTATTTGAAATAAACGATTCATTTGACAGTATTGAACTAAATATGTATCAATTTAGTCATTTTTTTCAGTATACAGTATACGTAATATCTATTTCACTAAAAAATAAATTTACATGAAACGACATTATTATAATTTTGACGTAACTACACTGAAAAAATGTATTAAATTAACAAATATTTAGTTCAATACGTTCAAATAAATCATTTATTTGAAACAAATAACTTATATCAAATAAATATTATTAGTTTCAAATAAATGATTTATTTGAACGTATTGCACTAAATACTTATAAGAATTAACTAATTTTTTTTGGTGTAGGTTTCGCAAATAATTTCATATAAATGTATCATGTTAATTGCAAATAATTTGCAAGTATTATATTTCGCGTTTGCAAATAATTTCCAACACTTACACCTGATTAATGGTCGATGTAACGGAGACAGCGGAGCCGTCAGGAGCAAGAACGGAAACGTGAGCGGTTCCTGAATCCTCGGGTGTCTCAGTAACAGCTCCATAGTCCCTCGGATCCTGGCTCGTACGGTCATCCTTAATCTTTCCCTTGATTATTTCCGCAAAATCGGCGGATGTTAAATTAGCGAGAATCGAGTCTACAAAGAAATAATTCCGTTGCAATTCGCGAGCGCTCGCTCAATTGATAGACTTCCAGTGAATTCCAAGATAAGTCGCAGATAAATTCAGATTCAGTCTTGAATGCTGGTCTCCGATAAATATACGTTACGTGATAAGATACGAACTGACGGTCATTATGGAAATAATCGGACGCAGCGATTATCCGAAGATAAACGTGCTGAATCGCTACGATGCGTATAAAATGAGTGCGAACAAGAAGTTAATTTTTTCTCTTTTTCCTCAATTAATTATCATATATGTGTCACTTAATTGTTATCGTCAGTATATTATACGAAGAAAAATATTTTTGTTTATAATATAATTATCTTATAAAAATAGTTTTAAAGTATTACACGAATGCAATGGTTTCTATTTTAATAAAAATAAATCATTAATAATTATTAATCTATTTCTATTAATAAATTACTCTTTTATTAATAATCTCATAATTATGATTTGATAATTATATATGAGGAAAAATATTTCTGTCTATAATATAATTATCTTATAAAAATAGTTTTAAAGTATTATGCGAACGCAATTGTTTCTATTAATAGAAATAGAGCATTAATATAATCATTAATCTATTTCTAATAATAAATTACTCTAGCCTTGATAATCTCATAATTATAATTTGATAATTATATTGTGATTAAGCAAATTCTTTTCAATGCAATTATTGTGACAATTACATCTCTGTCTCGTTGATGAACTTTAATGTTTTATTTTTTTCATGTCTGATGATTTGAATTATAACGCAGGTTTTTTATATAAACATGTGTTTTATATCCCTCCCCGAAGAGTTATACTTTTCTAAAGAGGGAGGTAAAAAAATTAAGTTTTCGCCTTTTTCATAAATTAAAAAAAAGAAATTTGATAGATATTTTTCACTGATAAAAAGGATATTTATTAATATTTAAAAAATATAAAAACTTAATTTTTACCTCCCTCTTTAGAAAAATGTAACTCCTTAGGGAAGGATATAAGAGTATATGTTTGCATAAAAAACCCCTCTTAATTTTCGACAAAGAATCGTCTCCTAAAATTGTTCGCACTTATTTAGATATAATTATGCATCTATGTAATCTCACCTATGCCATCAACAAAATCGGGATCTCCCAACTCGGTTCTTCTTGCGTAAGCCCACTTGAAAGTCTCCACTATACGTTGCCATATTATATTCTCATTATTAGCCGGTAATACTCGGTGAAGAATGTTCAATATCAACATCAAAATTGCACCTGAACCCGGCGGTGGAGCACTATAGAACGTCAGATTTCCCATTTTCAATGAGATCGGCTTCTTCCATATGGCTCTGATAAAAAGACAAGATTCTATTATCGACACACGATTTTTACTCCTTTCAAAGTCTTAAATTGGCTGGTTACATCTACATCGTCGACAAATTTATTAAGAATACAATACATATTTATTAATAATTTCAATTAATAAATTTATTAATAATTTAAATTGATAAATTTATTAATAATACATATTTATTAATAATAACAATACACGAGAGTAGCGTAAAATCAATCAATGAAAAAAGAATATAACTGTTTTATTTACAATAGAGAATTGTTTTCTATTGAATATTTTTTCATTGTTATCAAACCAGCTTTTATATACTTTTATCGGCCTTAATTCCACTGGCTTGCAGATAATAGACGCCGTATTCGATATTATTTCAATCAACAAACGGATGTTTATACCCGTTTAATTAATCAATTTGTTAACATTGAATTACAATATAAAATTCATCCTTTTAATTCAGATATTTCGTTCGCGAATAATTATTTTGGCGGTTTTATTCACGAAATACACGATTTCCATTATTATCGTTACAGTCTTTATTTACCATCGTACGTTATTTACGTACATTCTATCGTAAAACGAACTGCATAGAAATAGTCATTTTGTAATTATTTTTCATCTATTTTTCTATATAATATATATATATATATATATATATATTTTTTTTTATATAATTTTATATATTTTTTATATTGCATATAAAGCAGGTTTTTTAAGATGAATATCCTTGAAAGTCTAAAAGAGATTCAAACTGTCAAAAAACGCGCTCACCTGTACGCTGCAAAATCCTCTTTCGTAATTATCCCTTTAAATGAAGTAATCTCCCTGACTAAATTATCAGTAATATTACCTCTGTAAAATATATCGACACCATGCTGCGCTATTAATTTCAAAGTCTTCGCCAATTGCGGCCTTTTTATTCTGTCACCTGCCTGCACGTAAACATGAGATTCCAATGTTAGTTTTCATAGTTTTCCTTTTACAGAATATATCGAAATTAAGTTTCGATTCATAGGTAGAATAAAAACAGTTGTAATAAAATAAATAAATAAATAGAAAATAGGTTCGATAAAAAGAAATAAAAAGAGGATTCCACTCACGATCCACACTCTACCGGTATTGGGATTTATGAGTATTTTCGCCAAACTGCTCTCGTTTCTTATCATAGGCTCCTTGCTCACCAAATACCCGGCAAGATAGTCATTGATGAGAGATCCAGTTTCGCACAATTTAATAGCAGGCTCGAATAATTCGGACCACGGTAGTCTCCCGTATTTTTTGTGCGCTTCCCAATAGCCCATAAGTTCGCCTGGAACAGCAACTGCCAGTCCACCTGTTCGATAGCACGCACTTTATTATTTTTCGAAATCCATTGTTATGCAAAAATAGTGCAACAAAATTTATTTATAATTAATCGTTGCGGTATAATAATTGTTGTTGCCTGACATTTACAAGCGGTTTTGACATAACCGCATAAATATCGAGAAATACTATAATGAGAAAAAGATCCTTTACCATACATAGCTAGATGAGCATTGCCATCAAACATATCCTCCGTCGCAGCCATCGGAGCTGTCTCTCTCGCATCCAGATAATCCATTGTTTTGTTTTTCGCGTCCCATATTGTCATAAAAAATCCACCACCCAGTCCCATACTGTAAATCAAAACGATATATTTTTTTATTATATTATATATACAATATTATATATTATATAATATATACTTTAACATATATTGTATTATATGATATATAATATATATTAATATATATTATATAATACACACACATATATATATATATATATATATATATTAATATATTTTAATATATATTTTTTGTTCACAAAAATGATATAATTTATTATTTTAATGATATATAATTTTTATTGATATAAAATAAATTATAATTATTAATAAAAATTATATATATTAATTATATACATTTAAAATAATTAATCAAATTTTATTCAAGTAGATGAAATAGATTTAGAAAAAAATGATAAAATTGTACAATACCTATGCAAGGATGCAACACCTTCGCAAAGAAGTGCGCCTATCGCAGCATCCACTGCTGAACCATTTTTATCTTGTAAGATATCAGCACCAATTTTTGCACATTCTATTCCGTTTGTCGACACAGCACCCTGTTTATAGAAAATTTAATGATTCAATAATCGTGAAAAGTTGCAAAAATTATCTATCGCGTTTCAGTTTTCCTCGACTAGTCGAATATTTGGGAGAAAATAATAAATCAAACAAAATAGTTATTAAATTAATCATTCTAATTATAATATATTTCTTTTAGAATAGACACTTTTTTATCCTTTATTATTATCTTTAAAATTAAATTTTGCAAAATATAATTAATATTATTGACAATTTGCAGAAATTTTACTTGGAAAGCCTCCTCTTTTTCAGAAGAATAAATCTTTCTGAAAATATTTTGTTTCTATTGTTTAGTCAAATGTTTCAATTGAGGTTCAAATCACGTTGTTAATTTTTAATTACACACATATTACAATAATAATGAAATGAATTGATCGATAAATATTACCTTCCTATATTGACCCATTTTGGAGGAACTGACGAATTTTGAGCCGCATTTGACATTTGAGTTTTGTGTCATAAAAATTACTATTATTGCTATAAAAACGGCCACAAGTACGACCGCGGTTACGCCGAATATAACCAACTTTTTCCTTTTGACTCTGCACAAAACATGTAAAAATTAAACGTTAAAAATTAAATTTTTTTACAATTTATTCTCTCGACAATAGAAAATTAACCGGAATTGTTGCGGTTGTTTCATAAAAATTTGCGATTGAGTATTGCGACAATCACCAGTAGGACCGACCATGTGTGACGTGCATTCTTTAATTGTAGATATTGCAAACTTAATCGAAACTCGCGCACACGTGTATGTGTGCATATGTATGCTGATATTCAATATATAATAAAAGATTTTTATTTGACATCGCTTCTATTCAGCAACTATACGGGGTGTTAAAAAATTAGACCGACGCAAACTTTGAAGAAAGAAACAAGACTTCAAAATAAACATTTTTTATTAAATAAGAAATATTTTTATCGGCTCTCAATATTAATAATAATATAAATATAATATTTTAAATTAAAATTTTTTATTAATACTAATTTTCTCTACAACGTTTAGTTTTAATATTACATGATATGAGATAGGAGTTTGTGACTTTTCAGTTTATCACTTTGTATTTTTTGAGCATTTACTGTAAGAGTTAATTACTTTTATATGTATTTGTTCCGGGTTTTGTTTAAGATTAAAATACAATTTAATTTTTCCACTGTTTCATACCATGTAGTATAAAACTAAAAATCGTAAAGAAAAATAGTATTAACACAAAATATTTACTTTGAAATTTTCTATTTCCTTTCAAAATTGTTGATCTAATTTTTTAACACCCTCTATATACGTGATTTAATATCCGATTAAATAATAAAAAAGGAAACTAGTCATATATTAATAATATGTATAAATAAATAATAAATAGGAAAAAATTTTTTATGTATATAATAATATAAAAGTATATAGAAATATATATATACTTCATATATATAAATATATATATTTCATATATAATTTGACATGATTATGATTATTTATAATTTATATATAAATTTATATAATTATGTATAAAAATGGACATATTTTACATATAATTTTACGATTCTATGTATAATTATACAATTATTTATTTAATTAATATAGATGTGGATGAAAATTGACACTAGCCAATGTTAAAATAAGAATTAATGAAGCGAATTGTTGTTGTGATTGTAATTAACAAATATATCTGCCAGTTTGGTCAAGAGACAAGAAATTTATTAATTTTTTAACAATTATTTATATATAATTATATATAAAAAATTTTTTCCTAGGTAATATTAATATAGTTTCTTCTTTTCGAAAAAGGTGCATACCAATCGCGATACACATCGTTTTATTATCGTGGTTGATATAAAAGAGATCAACTACATAATACACAGTAACTGTATAATAAAAGTCAGTGATGCTTGAAGCTTCTACCGGTACAGATCTCGTGACCGTGATTATGCGCTGACGATTTGCCGTGACCGCGTTTTACCTCTGCGTCACTGTTATTTCTATTAGTGACGGTAAAATATAATTATAATCGCATGATGATATAGTGGAAAATTTTACATTGTGTCCAATAAATTCTGTAGATTTTTTTTACAGTAGAAAATCATTTTACATAATGCACAATATAATATACATTTTGTATTGTACAATACAAAATATATTTTATGTATTTTATATATTTTATATATTTTATATATTTAAATATATTTAATATATGAATATTTTATATATATATTTTTTATATATTTAAATATATTTTATATTGTATATTTTATACATATACATATATTGTACAACATATAAATTTATATATATAGCATTAATTTTGTAAATAATTAAAATTCGAACGAAACGTGATCATATATTAAAATAAATCTCGATAAAGTGAACGAAGTTGCTAAGGATATATGATAATTGTGACGATTATTTGCAAATGTAAATTAAAAATTACTTCATAATTACATTTCAGAGACACAACATGACATATAATTGATAAAAGTCATAATAATTAATAATTATTTAAGAATCGACATAAAAAAGAAATATGTGTATCACTTGAGGGAGATTGTAAATTAATGTCACCTTTACTGCCGTTGATTCAAGAACACGATGCAGTTATTATCATTGTATAATCGCAGCTGTACATACGCATAACACATTTACTATATAAGAGATACGGTGAAAGAGATTGCATAACACATGCATACTTTATTCAATATATTCATATCTCACAAGCATCGAGCTATGCACTTTCAAAAAATTATATATTTTTATTAATTTCATGCATGACGTAAAATACGACTCCTAAATTGTGAGAAAGACAGAAAAAAACGCATTTGCATAATCGATAAAAATTATCATAATACTATAAGCAATTAAATTTCACAATCAGTCTACGAGATTTGATTCAATTTATATATGCCTGTACATAAATATTTAATCTGCGAATTTCCTTTATTTTATGTGTGTATATATAAAATAATCAATTATTTAGTATAAAATATGCATACACACACACACACGCGATAACATATGTTATTAAAAATACTTTATCTCTGCTTCTTGATTCTAATCATATAAACGTTCAATAAAGATATGAGATAGAATAATTAATGCAGTAGATGTGTTTTGTGCAGATAAAGAGCTAGATCCTCTGATTTTATCACAATCTCTTAAATGCGAATTAAATATCTTTCATCTTTAGTCATCAATTATCAAACCTTCTGAAGTGGAATAATTTTTTTAGATAAAGATGGTCTGTAAAAATATTTATCGAAATGTTGAAGATGAATGTATTTATTGTTGCATTTTTAAGAATGTATTATTAAGGAAATTGTTAATAGAGAAACATACATGTATATCTCGTTCTCTTTTACAACCCATAATTTTTATTATGTGCTTGTGACTTTGAATTATCTGCGTAATTACAGATGTCTGGCTAAATTACAAGTGTAAAATCTTCAGTTGTATAACGTAACATAATTCATTTGTCGCATTCTTGTGATATTTTAACTAATATATTTTAAATAATAAAATAATAAATCAAAAAGTAATTAAAATATAATTAGAAAATATTAAAAAAATTCTTTTTATATGTAATATTTATATATATAATTGATTATTTAAAAAATTATTTAAATATATAATTTATATATTATTAATTAAATTCATAAGATGATTTTAACAATATATATTTTTATTTAAATTAATATTATTAACTTAATAATATTTTAAATTATTTTTATTTTTTAAGTGTTTAAAGATTTTCTTGAAAATATATCTTTTTTTTAAACTTTATTTTTAAATTTATTCTCGGCACAAAGATATACTTGTGATAGCATTATGCAAACAAATTGCAAATGAATAATGCACAAAATGCAAATATATTGTAAATGTTACTTTATCTATTTAGTTAACTATAAAGCTGATTATTAACTTCACTATATGCAAGCGTCAAATGCAGTTCATGGATAAGTATTATTGCACAAAACGCAACCGGCGTTTTCAGTAAAAATATTTCCTTCAATCTTTTTCTTTTATTCTATCTGACTTATGATATTGCAATAAATAATTTGTTCGTATTTACGCGCACGTGATGATGACGTTATACAATAGATGCAATGGTGCATACAACGCCTTAATTGCACGTGATTATATTGTTGCTAATCACTCGGTGGATTAGTGCAGACAATGTCTTACATTTATGGATTTTCTCCCCTGTTACATAATGTTTCTCCTTCTAGAAGAAGATTATTAATTGTTGACTTTTTGAAAAAAATAGATTAATAAATTTATTCTTGTGGAAATGATATATAAGAAAATAATTTTTTATTGTTTCACGAATTAAATTTCTATTTGATTTACGATAATCCTGAGACACTTGAAGAATAAATTATGAATTTCACGTTGAACAAATCAATTATTTGCCATTTAAATAAGATTAAATAAGGCTTAAATAAGATATTCTTTCAGTAATCCAGATGAAAACAATAAACATTGCTAAACGTCAAATGTAATACATTTATAACCTTTTTGATAATCATTAGACAATTTATGCTTTACTAATAATATTTACAGAGAGACAAATGTGCGTTTTTACTTCTTCAAGGCAAATGTGATATGTCAATATTTGATATGGGGAGACTATTTTTAAAATTCCGATATCTCAACTTTATCACGTTAATTCAGTGTTATCACATTGTTTTTGGCTCGGTTGATCCCACATATTTTATTTATTTCTAAAATATATTACTTGAAAAATACATATAATTAAATTAAATACAATATAATTATATATTCGGTACATCGTGTTATAAATATAAATAGGAAATGAATCATGTTAAAAAAACCCGACAAACTCATCGAGCATATTTTCAAGTAAATCACAAGTATATCTTCATATTGACGACACTGCGTTTTAACATTTCACAATTTTGACAAATTACAAAAACCCAAGGAGCAAGCTGACGTTATTAAACGTCAAAAAGACGTCATTGACGTCAAAATGGCGTCATTTTCACGTTTAATGACGTTATTGACGTCCAAATGGCGTTATTTTCACGTTTAATGACGTCATTGACGTCCAAATGACGTCATTTTGACGTTTAATGACGTCAGCTTGCACCTGGGAACCTCTGGCAGAGAATTCATTTCAATTGACACTTGTGCGAAAATAATCTTTCACGTAACTTCACATGCACGTTAAAAATATAAATATTTATCTGTTTTTTTATAAATCAAACATCGAATTGCGAAAAAATGATGAGTTCAGCCAAACGTTTCGCTTGTTGCATACCATGCATCTTTGCAGAATGATAAAAAGGAAAGTATACCGACCCGATCATGTTGCACAAGTGAATGTAACTCAGCGCGAGCACGACCAGCCTTGACTAAACGTTTCTCTAAGCCAACCGGTTCTCTTATAAGAGCAACGATATCGTTTCTGCCTATTCATCCCCACTCGTTCATTTAAAATTCTGAAAGCCGAAACATTAATTAATGAAGAATAAATATAATGCGATGTGTGACGAGGCAAAAGTGTAACGAGCTGATTGTATATAAAGTATATAATAAGATAACACAATCAATCTTGATATAAAAGATATTAATTATAATGTTTAATGGTATTTCGAAATTTTATGTAACGCGTACTGTTGAATTTAAACTATAATTTATTTTTGTGAAAAAAAAGTTTTACTCTCACACGCATAAGTAACATTTTTTATTAAAAATTAAGAAACTTTTTTGAAAATTAATGCTAATCGAATTTTATTAAAAATTAAGACACTTTCTTTAAATTAATGCCAATAATCGACTTGGAAACGGAGCATGACGTTTGACAGTTGTAATTTTGTGATTTGAGAAAATACATTAGAAATATGGCTATTTCGTTATTTTATTTTTATTAAATTTTTATATTAGTGAAATAAATTAATTTTCAACATAATAACTGTTTGAATCAAAATTAAAAGAAATAAGGGATCTATTTACAGCATCTAATATGTAATGGATAATATATTACAACTCAAATAATTTGCAATTTTATTATTAATTTAATAGAAAATATATTTTATTTTACAAAGAAATGCTTGTATTTATCTCTGTACATTTTGTATTTTCCAGCATTGCATTCTCGGAATTTGTAAAGAATTTTCCTTGAAATGAGAATGTCGAGGATATTCCATACCGGAAAATCATATGAATCATAGGAAAGTACAAAACTGATAATTCCAATTATTTTAGCAACACTTTTGATTAAGAAATATGTTTATATTGTATGGGTTATCATAATTTCTACTCAACTACGAATGTTGTTTATTTCATTATGAATGCCATATATCGCTTACAATATATGGTTCCAAGAATAATATACACAATATCATAACGAGGTAATAAACAATGCATACGTAGCAATAATAATTTTTTAAATACAAAATAAATGTGTGAAATATTATAAATTTAAAGAAAATGTATTACCATAAAGAAGCATGGCAATAAGCCATATAAAAATTAAAATAATAGAATAATTAGATCCAAATACTAAAAAAAAATCAAATCTAAATATATTTAAATAAAATATTTCAGCTACATGTATTCAGCAATATATTTAACACTGTGTGTGTGTACTTGTAACATATTTTATAAATAATAATTGCACTTATTGCTAGTGCAAATCTAAAAAGATTCTATATGAATTCTATTTGATTGTTTCTAAAAACTATTATTTATTTAGGTTTTTTTTAATTAATTAAAAGTACAAAGAACGAATGAAACGAAGCTATATAATACACGATATATTTTTAAACTACAATATTATATGAGATATCAATTAGTATAATTTATATATTTTTTAAATTTAATACAATTTAAAATATAATAATAAAAACCTATTATATTTTATTTTATACTTTATATATACTTAAAAAACGTCAGAGAGAGATATATATATCTTTACTTTTAATTTAATATTAAATTTAATATTAAATTAAATATTGACATATAATCACTTTGACTTTAAGAAATCTGCAATTTTATATAATAGTTTGATAGTTATCTGATCAATTAAAATAAAAAAAGTTAAGAGAGCGTAATCTATTTTTTTCTCTTCTGTTCAATATAATAACATTTACTAATATTCTTTTCAGAATCAACAATTATATATTTTTTATATATTTAATTATACATAATTATATATTTAGTATATATATATTTTTAATTCAATACAATTTAAAATACAATAAAATAAACCTATTCTATTTTATATTCTCTATACTTGGAAGACATCAGGGATTTAAGACAAATCTGCAATTTTTTAATATATAGTTTGACAGCTAACTGATTAACTAAGATAAAAAAATTAACAGAGAGCGTAATCAATTTTTTCTTTTCTGTTCAATAATAACATCATTAATTCTTTTCAGACTCAACAATTGTGATGCATTCTAACATCCAGACTAGACACGTGTTCAATTGAAAAATACCGAAGAGCCAGCGTCTCGTGGGAAAATTTCCGCCACCATTTGAACTGTCACCGCTCGCGCGCAAGCGCAGAACCCAGGGAACTTTTCGGTTTCGCCGCTAGGGAAATGCGTTGTCATGTTCGTGTGTGCGTGCTGGATCTAGATGTGCAGTTTGGCGACTCCTCGGAAACGGCGGAGTCATTTCGAGTTTCTTGAAAAACGGTGCTGATCTCGAACGGCCGGGACGATGTCGGCGAGATACGACAGAGCGATCACGGTGTTTTCGCCGGACGGCCATCTGCTCCAGGTGGAGTACGCTCAGGAGGCTGTCAAGAAGGGCTCGACGGCGGTACGTCAAGTTCCATAACCTCTCTCCCGCTCTTTGGGAATCGTTTTCCGAGATTCTCTCCGCCTTTCGTTCGTCTATCTGTCAATTTGAAAGCGTTCTATTATCGCACGAATTATAATAAGTCCATAATAAGATCATTTTATTTTGTTTACCGCACGTATGACTCGGCGAATTCTCTCAGCTAGGTTAGGATAACCAGTTTTGTATCAACATATTACCGTCATTATATTATATGCTTACTCATAGGTCTATTTTGACAGATAAAGTATATAAATGTCATTTTTAAATAGTAAAAAGTTACATTAAAATGATGTCTAATAAATGATATAAATTGCAATTTTATTTTAATATTTTACATGTTTTATGTTATATTTAATATTTTTATATTAGTTTATATTTTTTGTATTTTTATTTTAATATTTTTAATGTTATCTTTCTGTGGACAGGTCGGTGTACGTGGTGCAGATGTCGTAGTTTTAGGCGTCGAGAAGAAATCTGTTGCTAAATTGCAAGAGGAACGTACAGTGCGCAAAATATGCCTCCTAGATGATCATGTAATTATGGCCTTTGCAGGTACGACATTAATTGCCACATTAATACAAATATTAATTTTATGAATCATGTGAAATATAATAGTCACTATCCTTTTTAACAGGTTTAACTGCCGATGCTAGAGTATTAATCAACCGTGCGCAAGTTGAATGCCAGAGTCATAAGTTAACTGTAGAGGATCCAGTTACCTTGGAATATATTACAAGGTATATTGCAGGTATGATTAACTTTTCGATGCTTCTCCTAAACAGACAATTAAAATTATTTGTAAAACAATTGTACTTTCACATTATTATTATTTACAGGCTTAAAACAAAAATATACACAGAGTAATGGTCGTAGACCTTTTGGTATATCCTGTCTCTTAACTGGATTTGATTATGATGGTGTACCACATCTGTATCAAACGGAGCCATCAGGAATATATTATGAGTGGAAGGTAAATCGCAATAAAAGAATAAAATTATTTTAATAGCTAAATTTATCTCAAATGTTTGTTCCATAAAGGCGAACGCAACAGGACGCAGCGCTAAAACTGTGCATGAATTCTTGGAGAAGTATTATACTACGGAAGAAGTGTCGACAGAAAAAGGTTGCATAAAACTTGCGATCAGAGCACTGCTTGAAGTAGTTCAATCTGGACAAAAGAATTTGGAAATAGCAGTAATGCGACGTGGACAACCACTACAGGTAAACTTGCAATTTTTGCGTAAATATGCTTTAAAATAAAAATATAAATATCTTTTCCTATATAAAGCATCATATATTGACAATTATTATAATTTTGTTTAGATGTTGGATACAGACACCATAGGTGAATATGTAACAGAAATCGAAAAGGAAAAGGAAGCAGAGGCAGAAAAGAAAAAGCAGAAAAAGTGATGCTTTTGCCCATTGTGCACTTCTATTGTACCATTATTAATTTTTCTTATAAAATAAATATACTGGAAATAGGAAAAAAACCTGATAAAGAATGAAATTCGATAAAATCGTTCCTTATTTGTACTATTTACTGTCACAAAACTATATGAAATGTACATACAAACTTATATTACAAAATTCAAAATTTAAATTACAATTAAACAATCACAATATTTCATGAACTGTGTTTAATAAATTATTAAATTTTGCACATTTGTATATTACATATTAAATATTGTTACAATTTTCATTATAAATTTTCTTTTATTCATGTTTTATTTAATTTCTATAATTAGTGAAGAGGATATTAATATTTTGATAAATTTTCTCAACTAAACTTTAGAAAAATGTGTTTTAACAAACTATATAAGTAAATCTATATATATCCATTATATTTTTCAATAATTTAATATAGAGAAAGTTCAATAATTTAATAAAAAACTTTTATTCTGGTACATATTCTGGCGAAAGAGATCTCCCACGATGATTAAATACTTGAAAAGCTGGTAAATTTCGCAGTGTTTCCCAGGATTTATTCTCCAAATCGACAACAGCACGAATTTCTTTAAAATCACCGGCAATGTACAGAACACCATACATAACGATAAATAAACTGACTGTACCTTGAATTAAAATCTACAACAATAGTAAAAATATGTTAACAATATATATTATTCCACACAAAAATACTTTTTCATATTTATTAAATAGCCTATCTGCGTAACAATCTTTAGTTATAAAATAATTTAGGTTTTTATATAAAAAACCAATAGTAATATCAAATGTCACTTACATCAATTGGCAAAGTAGTAAATTCCTGTTCAGTAATTCGCAAATAGGAACGATCTGCGAACAAGGTTAAATTTTATAATAATATCTATTCGTTTTAATTTGTTCTATTCGTTATTCTCTCTCAAAAATTATACATTAATATATAATATAAATATACATATAATAATTAGTATTATAAATTAATATTATAATAATATAAAATTAATATATTATATTATATATATACAGGATGTCCCATTTTAATGTCCCACCCCAAATAAGTGTTTTATTAAAAATTGTATGGTTTTCGAGGAGGACATAAGGTGGTGCCATTACCTTGAATAGTTGCTTGAAGGTCACGTAAAAGTCACCTTGAGGTGAGATCTTGTCTTATAACTCAAAAAGTACTTGAGATAAAAATGTTTCATTATAATGTTTTGGAAAGCTCTCGATGTCAGCTACAAAAATATGTAATAAAAAGTAGGTAGTTCTATTTAAGAAATTAAAGGTGGCCTTCACATGACTCTCAAGCAACTATTCAAGGTCAAACTAATGGCACCACCTTATGTCCTCCTCGAAACCATATACAACTTTTGTCTGAAACATTTTTTCTACAATCAAAACACTTATTTGGGGTGGGACATTAAAATGGGACACCCTATATATATTATATTATTATATTATTATATAATATTATAAAATCTCACATATATAAATTTATAAATACATAAAGAGCAATTAAATCAGTGGAAAGGCTATAATTTCTCTATAATGTTAACATCGATGTAACCTAAAAAAAAGGAATATAACGCGTTGAGAGAAAATCGGAGTAAATAAATAGTGAAAAATACTTACGTTGTGCCGCGGAATAAGCCGCGTGTAATATAGACACAGTTCCTATAAAAGTTATAAACTTATGCATAGCCGTAGCAGGCATTTTGAGGAAAAATATCACAGATCACATCAAATATTTTGCAGCAGTGCGAAGTGCGACACTACAAAAAGCAACGATTATCGATTACCCCAGTCAGGGTTGCCTCTTCTTCACCCTAGAACCTAAATCAAAAAAATACTATGCACACATGTTTGACACGTGAGCGCGTTTATTTCGGAGTTTGAGATTGCAATTTCTTTTTATTATATGAAAAAAATTGTTTACATCAATTTACATTGAATTTAATTTAGAAAAAAATTCCATTTCCTTACAAACATGGGGGTAAGAATTAACAATTTTTGCAATATAATTTAAGAGATATATTTAATACTAACCTCTCAAAAGTTGACAAGTATATAACAACTTTGTTAATTGAACGATTTAATTAATTTGTAGGAGAGTTATCATTATTAGTAATTATTTAAAAGTTCAATTTTTAATTCTCTTCGGTCTTGAAATTATATATATATATTTTTAATTCTCATCTACTTTTAATTTTTAGTGAACTGATTTGTAACTCTGTTTTTACATAAATTTGAAATTTTATTTAATGTAAATATTTAAATAATTATTTATTTTTCAGAAACTAAAGAAATCCAAAATTAGTAAAATTAAAAGAAACAATCAGATAAAAACGAAGCTGTCAAAACAAGGGAAACTTAAGACTCGACGACATAAGCCACCAAAGAAACAACCTCAGAAAGTGGCAGCCCCACGTCCGGAAGCAGTTCAGGAAGAAGAAAGTGATCAAGGAGAGGATTTGATGGATATGGTTGAAAAAGATGATTTAAAATTCTTAGAGAAAGCTATATCCAACAAATCCTACAACTTATTAAAACAAATTCGTTTAACTGAGTACGATTATATATTTAAAGAAATTTTTTCCAAGATGAGTATCTTCTGTAGAACATATAATTAATTATTCAGTTTTGTAGATCAGACAAAGAAGATCAAAGTAAGAAAAAGAGGAGAAAAACGAAAGATGAGCATCCATTAGAAGAATTATATGAAAATAATATTTCTAAAATCATGGAAGAAACATCCGGGAAATCGGTTCGCATGATGCTTCCCATAAAATCTCAAAATGGTCTTTTGGAAAAACGTGTTATTGAAGAAGATAATGAAATTACAAACGAGGAAGAGGGTGAAATCACAAATGATAATAATCAAAAAGAAAATGAAGAAAATCAAGAAGAAAATAGTGACATAGAAATGAACGTAGATACATATGTAAGAATTGAAAAAAATTATTGCAAAATATAAATTTTAGAAATTGTACACATAAAATATTGTTTTCAACTTGCAGAATAATTTGCCAGAGACTGAAAAACCAGTGTCTACTATTGAACTTTTGGCGTGTCGCGAAGAATTATTGAGATCCAAACGTTTCAAGATAGGCATACTTTCAAGCGGTATTTTAGAAAACCCTCAACTCAAATCTGGAAATTTTAAAGTACTGCTAGACATGATGGATGAAAGAGCTTCAGAAGTTTACATCACTGTTAAAAAACTGGCAATGGTGTCCCTACTAGAAGTCTTTAAAGATTTGCTACCATCTTACAGTCTTCTACAGATTTCTCAAGAAGGAGTAAAATGTATGTGTGTTTACATATGTAACACTTACACATATAACAAAATTATAAAAGGATAAAATCACATAACATACATGTTATTTAATAATTTCTAATGAATTTTATTTGTGATTTTAGTGAAAAAAGAAACTCTTGCGCTGCAAAACTATGAAGCTACATTGTTGAACAGTTATAAAAGTTATTTAAAGAGACTCGAAAAAATATCTAAGGTTTTGAGAAAAAAGAAAGGGGACACACGATCAGGGAACGCACAAGAAACTCAATTAGGCGAAATAGCTATATCTTGCATGTGCGAACTTCTCACCGCCCATCCATACTTTAATTTTTCCGTTAACATAACTGCTTATATTCTTCCTTTCTTGGATCACAAACAGAGTAACATAAGGGAGAAAGTGGCACAATGTATTTCTCAAATATTTAAAGAAGACAGACGTGGTGAATTATCTCTCACGGTAACGATATTATAATTATATATAAAAATTGTATATTTTATATTTTAAAACGTTAATCTCCATCAGATTCATTATCGAATTATGATGACATCTATTTATGCTAAAATAAACTTTCAGATAGTCCGAAAATTAAATCAATACATCAAATCAAGAAAACATTCTGTGCATCCTGAAGTCATAAGAGTATTATTATCTCTTCGCATAAAAGATGTTGATCTGGACAAGGAAAAAGAAGAGGAAACAAAGCAAAAAAAGCTCATGTCTCATAAGCAAAGAATTCTCGCGTTAAGCAGACGGGAAAGAAAAAAGAGTAAAAAACTGCAAGAAATAGAAAAAGAATTACTCGAGACAAAGGCTGAAGAAAATAAACAAGCAAAATCAAAAATTCTCACTGAAATTACAAGCGTAATATTTACTATATACTTTAGAGTTCTAAAACAAGCTCCCAATAGCAAAGTACTGTCCGTGTGTCTGGAAGGACTAGCCAAGTAAGACATTTTATTTATTACCAGTTTATATATTTTATTCCTATTTTTTTATATTTTATCTGTACATTTCAGATTTGCGCATTGTATCAATATAGATTTCTATCAGGACTTAGTAAGTGTTCTAGACAGATTAATAGAAGAAGGTTACTTAAATTTGAGACAACAATTACATTGTGTTCAATGTATATTTACAATATTATCCGGCCAGGGTGCAGCGCTAAATATTGACCCATACAAGTTTGTATATAAATCAATGCTTTTATTTTATGTTTTTATAAACTAGTGTTACTTGATTAAAAAATTACGTTCCCTATCTGTATTTTTTGTATAGATTTTATGTGCATTTGTATAAAAATATACTGAAAGTTCATTGTGGGAGGACGCACGCGGAATTTGAGATTGTATTGAAGACATTGATTCAGATTCTCATTCATCAGCGAAAAAGAATTTCGCAGACGCGTCTGATAGCATTTGTGAAGAGAATAAGCGTTCTAGCTTTGCAATCACAACATAATGTAACGTTAGGGATCCTCGGTATTATAAAGCAAGTCCTGCAATTTGGCAAAGCGGCGCACATTTTGCTGGACACTGACTGCATCGGAGATGGTCATTATCAGATCGAAATCGAAGAACCCGACCATTGCAACGCACATTGTACTGCATTGTACGAACTTGTTGCTTTGCAGGTACATCTTTAATGCAATACTTTTCTAAAAAAAGAGACGTACTATACGATAACCAGTGTTTGCTGTCATCTAAATAATAATATAGATGATCATCTAGATAAAACTTTGGTGTTATTTTATCTTTATATAGATAATAAAAATATATATTATCTATATCTGCATCTTAGATGAAAAAAAAAGAATTATCTTTACTAAATTATGTAGAATAATTTTCAGATAATTTTAGTTTAGAATCATAGCACATAAAAATACTGAAATAGTAGAACTTAAGCAGTAAGCGATAAAAATTTATAAGTCAAAATATAAATACATGTAATTTTATATCTCTTTTATAATTTATATTTTTTTATAACTATGTTTACATAAGCATTCTTAAAAATTATTATCTAAAAAATTATCTAGATGAATCGCTATATAATTTAATCTAGATATATTTAAAACAAAATCATCTTTATCTTATCTAAGATGAATTTACATATTTTTATCTCATCTTTATCTAGCTAATTTTAAAATCATAAAATCATCTAAGTATAACACTGATGATAACATGTTATTACAGCGTCACTATCACAGTGTAGTTCAGCAGCTTGCTAGAAACATAGCACATGTGGTGCCTGCGAGTGGTGAGGGTAGTTTGGCTATCGAAATTGCGAAATTGTGAGTACCAATTTTGTCTAACAATTTATATATGTAGAAATTCATGCAAAGCTTTATCATAAGCTATCGTGAAGAAGTTAGGTAAATTAGATTTTCTCTATGTTTGATTATTTTATTAATTTTAGAACACCGGAGGAGCTTTACACAGAGTATGATCCTGCAGGTGTAGCATTCAACCCTACCATACCTATTCCAGGGCAGGTTACTGTTAAAAAAGCATCGTCACATTATAGCATGAGTTCTAAACTTGAGGAGTATCTTAATATTGTTGATATCGACAATCTATTTAAGGACGGATATGTGGACTTTTACAAAGCTTGTAAGAGCAACTCATGAAATGAAATAAAAAATGTAAATATATAAGAAAAATAGCATTTCTGACTAAAATCTTGTCAAAAATATATATAAAAACTTTGATACGAAATCTTTTTTTCATAATTCATAAAAGCTAGTCTCATATATTTAATCCAAGTAATAATATTATAATAAATAGTAATTCCTTTTTAATATAAATATATAGAATAATTAAAATTATATATTATTTAATAATATTTGATGATATATTAAATGTATTTATTATATATATATATATATATATATATATATATATATTTAATATTAACTATATTATATGCGTAATATATTTGTTGAGCCTTTCGAATTTGCCTCTCGCTTGCTCGACCAATCAGAAACAATCTTCGCACCTTTGCCCCGATTGGTCGATCAAACGTCACGTGAGTCACTCTACTAACAACAGATTTCCGAACGCAATCTCGCACGCGTTGAAGTTTTGACACTTTGACAAGTTTGACATGTTTTGATATTCTTCGCTAATTGTCATCGATAAATATCGAAAAAAACCTTCACCGAGGATGCTGTGCGAGAGGGATTACGCGCCTCTGAGCGCGGCGTGCGTCCGTTCCCTCAATGACAAGTTGTACGAGAAGCGGAAGCCAGCAGCCGTAGAGATAGAGAAGTAAGGTTAATTTAAGGTTATTCAGATGAAATATAACGCGCAATTAAGTGAATTGAATAATAAAAATTACTCGAATGCGCTTGAATTCGACAACTCCTTCATCCCGATCGTTCCCCCAGAATGGTGAAGGAGTTCGCCGCTCACAACAACACCGTGCAGATCAAGAGGTTGCTGAAGGTGCTCGGCCAGGACTTCGCCACCTCGCAGAACTCTCATACGCGTAAGGGCGGCCTGATCGGTCTCGCGGCGATCGCGGTCGGCCTCGGGAAGGACACGGGTCAGTACATAGAGGACCTGGTCCACCCGATCCTGGCCTGCTTCTCCGACGCCGACCTAAGGGTCAGGTACTACGCCTGTGAGAGTCTTTACAACGTGGTCAAAGTGGCGAGAGGTGCAGTGTTGCCCCAGTTCACTGACATCTTCGCCGCTCTCAGCAAATTAGCCTGCGACTCCGAGCAGAGCATCAAAAACGCCACCGAGCTACTCGATAGACTGATGAAGGTATTCATGTCAGCCCTATCAGTAGGTCTGTTCTCTTTGGCTCAACTGGCTGCATTAGTTTAGAGTTTCACTGTTTTATGATATAAAACGGAAATAGCTTTTTTTAATTTTAATAATATTTTATAATATATTTCATATATTTATAATATATTAAATATATTTTTTAATATATTATAATATTTTAATAAATCAAATATATTTATAATAATAGATTTGTATTCTTCGCTAGAGAGAATTTAAAAAATAATAAGGAAATTAATGATTAGTTCGACCATACTGGCTCTTATTAATAATTCGTCTTTATTAGATATGAAGTACACTACGTTTCGACCTTAAATTTAGGTCCTTTTCAAGTGTTAAAACAATTCTAATAAGCCACATTAAGATATAGAGATATAAATTATGATATGTTAAGCGCTGTGAACTTTAACATGTCGCTAAGACATTCTGTCAACTACTGATCATCAGTAATTGACAGAATGTCTTAGCGACATGTTAAAGTTCACAGCGCTTAACATATCATAATTTATATCTCTATATCTTAATGTGGCTTATTAGAATTGTTTTAACACTTGAAAAGACCTAAATTTAAGGTTGAAACGTAGTGTACTTCATATCTAATAAAGACGGATATTTATAATATATTAAATATATTTTATAATATATATATATATATAATATATAATAAAATATAATAATATATAATTAAATATATGCAATTTAATATTAAATGTATGCATTATATTGGAAGAAACATTATAAAAAGATCTTATAAGAATGCAAAGAAATTTCTACATGCTTGTGTCCTTTTAGGATATCGTGACGGAGAGTGGCCTCTTCGATCTGGTCGGATTTATGCCTCTGCTACGAGAGCGCATCTATACGAAGAATCCATTTGGTAGGCAATTTGTGATATCGTGGATATCTGTGCTGGATGCGGTGCCTAATATGGACTTCATCATCTTTCTGCCGGAGATACTCGACGGATTGTTCAAAATATTGGAGGATCCGACGCCGGAGATCAAGAAAGTCACGGATACGGTTCTCGGTGAATTCTTACGTAGTATAAAAGCCAATCCCTCGCGAATGGATTTTCCAGCCATGATAAATATACTGATTACGCACGCTCAGAGTAACGATGAGCTGCTTCAATTGACCGCCATCACGTGGATAAAGGAGTTCGTACATTTGTCCGGTCCTCTCATGCTCCCGTACATATCCGGGATCCTCGTCGCGGTTTTGCCGTGCTTGGCCTACGATGGCGATACGCGGAAGAGTACTAAAGAAACAGCGATGCAAGTAAATGCGAATTTAATGAAATTGATAATTATGGAAAATACAGAGATTAGTAAGAAGGAGAAAGATAATGTATATTCTACAAAAGAGAAAAATGGTAAGTTGCAAGTTTAATCATGTCGTTTTAGTTACAATAGACCAAACAGCATATTCTGACGCAAAAATCATTTAAATTGCTTCAGAGTTTGAAAGAAAAAGGATTAAATGTTTATGAGAGTCTATGTTGTATGCAATGATGATAGAAAATTTTCTCTGCTCTGTTTTCAGAGATGCAAAATTCTTTGGCTGAAAGCTTAGATCTTCCCAGTGTTGTAGAAGTACTTACAAAGCATTTATTGTACCTGTCAGTTCAAACCAAGGTCGCGGTTTTAAAATGGATACATCATCTGTTTATAAATATTCCACATCAAATGTTTAATCATATCGAGGGCTTGTTTCCTATATTAATGAAATCTCTGAGCGACACTTCGGACGAGGTGGTGCAACAAACTCTAGTGGTAATGGCCGAGATTATCAGTTCGAAGTCTCCGGAGGCGGTGACGGATCCCGCAAAAGTGCAAAACAAGTATTTCACCAAATTTATAGTCAATCTATTGAGGCTCTTCTCGACCGACAGACATTTATTAGAAGAACGGGGTGCTTTTATTATAAGAGAGCTGTGCGTTCTTTTGAGTGCAGAAGATATATACAAGACACTGGCGAAGATTCTATTGGAAGAACAAAATTTAAGCTTTGCCTGTACGATGATACAAACTTTGAATGTTATCCTGTTAACCAGTTCCGAATTATTCGACTTGCGCAACAAACTTAAGCATTTAGATTCTCCAGTAAGTTTCTCATTTTGCCATTCAACTTCCTTGCAAGGCTTTATTGAATTGTTAAACATGAATTTTCGATTTTATATCACGGTTTAATGTCTTTTTTATGTAATTGATGATACATGAAACTTAATATAATTTTCTAGAATATATAATATTTTTAGGATAGCTGCGCGTTGTTCGAATGTCTGTATGTGTCCTGGTGTCACAATCCAGTGGCGACGGTGGCCCTGTGTCTTCTATCTCAGCACTACCGACATGCTTGCAATATCATTCGATCTTTGTATCCTTTAAACTATTCTCTTTCATTTGATCAATTTTTCATTCTGTCATGTCTCTTTTAAACCTTAACACAACATTTTTATGTATCAGCGAAAATATAGAAGTTACGGTGGAGTTCCTGACAGAAATAGACAAATTAGTGCAGCTAATAGAATCACCGATATTCACTTGTAAGTGTATGATGTCACCATAAAATGTTATAAAATATGTATATGTATATTATATTTTTTTTTTCTCGTTTAAGATCTGAGGTTGCAGCTATTGGAATGGGAGAAGAATGACGCTCTGATATACGCTTTGTACGGTTTGCTGATGATTCTACCGCAAAGCGAAGCTTACGCTACTTTACAACGTCGTTTAGCAGCGATACCCCCAGCTACGAGGCCGATAACTAATAAAAGTGAAAAGTCGCAGGAGAAAACGGATGCTTATTGCCCGTTTGACTTCAGTGAACTATTGAAACATTTCCATACAGTTCAAGAGCAGCACAAGGAGCAAAAGCGCAAACAAAGACTGAACTCTTTAGTCGAGAGGAATACTAGTCACGTAGAAATGTGAATATTCGTACATACACAGCGTATAAAAGGTACACTTAAAATAACTAAATTGAAAATTGATAATAAATTTAATAAGTCAAATTTTTTACTACATATGATGACGTAAATCTATTACATACTATCGCCTATGTTTGGCTTTGTTATAAAGACAATTATTATTTATTAAATTGTAATCGTTGAAAATAAATGATCGTATGTTGATCTTAAAATAAAATAATTTATTTGTTTGAAGGAATAATAAAATGCAAATCTCGTCTATATTTATCTTAGCAAATCTGTACAGCATTTCTATACATACATTTCAGATTCTGTCAATATATACTCTAATCTATACACTCTATAATTTTCAGTCTTCATCTCATAAATATATTGTCGGACGATTGATAGAGAAATGACAAAATTACACATATTAAAGCTCATATTGCGAATCGCCTATATCTTCCACTCTATCAATCACCGACAAATTGTCAAGCTGATCTATGAGCAGGCCATTTTCATAAAGAAGCATCGCAATTTGTTCTTGCGTATCACAGATATTGCGCCATTTCTTGGTACTCTCTTGCGCCGGGGCGTTCGTTTTCTCGATTGTCTTCAATTTTCCGGGCAGCCTGTCCAGCGACAACAAGAGATTCTCGTTGCGTTCTTTGCTCTCCTGCGACAAACGATAGGAGAAGGATTCCAACGCGTGCTCGTAAGCGTCTATATCCTTGTCTAGTATCTGAGTTTGCAGGAACACCGTCTGTGCCATTTTGTACCAATCGGCGACGCACTCTGATCGCTGCGTCATAGCCGGTACACATTCCACCTCGAGAAGCGCTTTCAATCGACGTCCCGTTTCCGTGACCTGTTTGTGACCGAGGAAGATTAGGCTTAGTTTCAATCATCGGAACAATTGCAAGAAATTATTCACGCAATTTCTCTCCTCTCCTTCGTCATTCGATAACACTCCGTGCAACGAATCAAGGAGGTTCAACGTAAACTTGTATACCTTTATGCGTTCAAGAACATGAAACTGTTCGTCGTTGTAAGTGAGACTACGAGTGGCCCTGTCCCTCAGCAAGTGCTGCCAGCCGTCTCTCAAGCGATCGACTAATGTCGCTGCCCTCTGGCTCGCTTTCGTCGTCCAAGGACACCACAAGCCACGAGTACTGTTATCCCATTCGCCGCGTAAACTGCCCTCCTTCACGTATCTGTAAAAATATTTAAACTAATTATATCTCCCTCGTTGTTGTCTTCTTCGTTCAACTTAGTTCAATCCATGAATCATTGGAATATTAGAATATAAAAGGAATGACCACAATTTTTCCAATGAAATTAAAATACAACTACTCTCTTTCTTGGCTGCGAAATCAGTTGAATTTACCTCTGATGAAGCTGCACTATCGCTGGAGTCAATTCGGTGGTGAGCTCTTTGTCCTTCGCATCCAACTCCTTCCTCCAATTTTTTACCTCCACCGCAGTTTGACCTCCGCCTCCGAATTTTCGAAAGACGTGTCTGGCAAAGGATTCACTCCTCTCGATCGCCAATATGGTGTCCTCCACCGCTTTCGTAAACTCCTTAGAATGGTGACACTTTTCCAGTACCCGGGTGAGTTCGGTGGACAAGAGTCCAGTGAACGTTTCTATGGCATCTCGCGACAGTTTACTGCACAGCGCCAATTTGTCGATCCTACGTTTACAGACGTGGCCCACGGAGCACGCGACCTTGGCCTGACTCGCGTCGTTCTCCACAGAGACGAGACTCGCAAAGACGGGGAACTTGGGCAGCTCGGTCTCGATCGGCAGCACGACGTTGTTGTTCTCCAGCGAGAAAAGCATCAACGGCTTGTCGTTGCTGGTGCTGGGATACCCCTTGCCCGGCGTGGACTCCTCGACGAGGCTTGTGAGTGGCGTCTCCCCGAGAAGAAGGATTTGCGCGTGAGGCATGATCTCGGTCTGATCCTGAATGTGTATCTGCAGAGCGATCAGTTTCTCCTCAGGGTGTAAAAAGACCTTGATCAGGCTGGCGCGGTGAACGTTGAATATGTGAACGGGTTTTCGGCAGAGCGTGTCCGTGACCTCGCTGAAAAATCGATCGAAGCTCCAGATCCTCTGCTGATCCACTTCGAGCAAACCGGCCAGCAACGGAGTCACTATCCTCTTCAGGCCAGCGCTCAGCTGACAGGTCGCCGGCAATTCCCTGCTCCACTCGATTGGCCCGTTTTCCGAAGTTTGTAAGCCAGAGATCACACCGGACGCCTTCTTCGTCGTGATGTAGAACATGGTCTCCTTGTTCCTACGTCCACCGAACGGCCTGAACGGCAGGTTTCCGGTCGCGACGTGGTAGAGGGTCACCCCTATGGACCATAGGTCTACGGTTGCGCCGAAAGTTTTACCCACAGGTTTCCGCAAGACCGCACGCTCGTACATGTCTGGATGCAAGTACTCCTCGGTGCCGTACAGAGAAACGAACTGCTGATCTTCCTGCAATTCTCGAGCGGCACCGAAATCGGTGAGCTTGTATATGGTACTACCATCATCAGCGATGAACTTCATTATGTTACCTGAAGAAGGAATACAAATTTAGGATATGAATGCTTTTACACATAAAGGATCAAATACATAAGATTTTTTGGCTTTGTGTTCATGTCATACATTGTAATCTTGTTGAACAGAAGGTGTAATAGCTTCAAAGCTAAATGTTGAATAGTTACTGAGTTACAGCCAGTTAAACAACTTGTAGAGCCCAATTTTTTCGAAATTTGACTAGCTGTAAATCAGTAACTGTCTGTTATTTAGCTTTGAACATATTACATTTTCTGTTCAGCAGATCATAAGTTCCAACATATGAGAAAACCAGCTGATCTTATCAAAATTTAAACAATTAGTACGGGATTTCTGAATATATAAAATGGCTGTAAATCAGTAACCATCTGTTATTTAATTTAAACCTATTACATTTTCTGTTCAGTGGATCATAAACTGCAACATGTGAGAAAATCAGCTGATTTTATCAAGATTTATATAATTAGCACACAGTTTCTGAATATATAAAATGGCTGTAATCAGTAACTGTCTGTTATTTAACTTTGAACCTATTACATTTTCTGTTCAGCAGATCATAAGCTACATGTGAGAAAACCAGCTGATCTTATCAAGATTTATATGATTAATACAGAATTTCTAAATATATAAAATTCCAGATAAAATTGAAATCCTGGTAAAATCAGCTGATTTTCTCACACGTTGCAACTTAAGCTGAACTGACAATCTGAAAGTCAAAATCCAACATATTTGGCACAGGATCCTTCAGTTTCTTCTCCCTCACCTGGCTTCAGGTCTCGGTGAACCAGATTATTGTCACGTAGATGCTTCATGCCAGCTGACAGGTGTTCTAATACCAGCAGGAATTCGCTCTCCGCGAGGCCATACGTGTTCTCAGGATCGTCCAGGATATTAAAGAGACTACCCCCGGTGCAGAGCTCCATGACGATGACCTTACCCCTGCCATCCTGCTCCTCCTCGATTGCCAGCAGCTTGACGATGTTCTCATGTTTCACCTTCTTGAGAACCTCGAACTCCCTCACCTGCACGTCGTGCGGCCGCATGTGACTAAGCTGATTGAAGGTCTTCACTGCGACCGGTTCCCCATTGTTCTTGTTGACGCCCTGGAAAACCGCGCCAGTCGCACCTTTGCCGAGGACGCTGGTGGTGCACCAGACGTAGTTGGCGGAGCCACGAAGAAAGGACATGTCGTTCGCACTCCTTTCCTGGTCATCAACGAACGGATCTCCCTTGATCCCGAGTTCTCGAGATCAATATCCTATATACATGCTCGATATGACGTCACGTGGATTTGACAGGTGGATTTGACAGCTCCGGAAAATTTTTTTTTTAAATCAAGCTTTACGTACAATTTTACATCTCACTCTCTGAAGGATCTACGATACTCTAACTGTACTTTCTATGATTGTACAATCGCGATTTCTTTTCTCTTTCCTCCTCCAATCCAGGAAAGAAGGATACACGCTTCTTTCATCGTGCAATTAAGATTCTGACGTCAGTCTGTCGAGCTACATTTCGCCGCACTTTCTGCATTTAAGAGGCAGACAGCTTTATCGGATCTGATATCAAGTGTCGAAGGAGGAAGGAGAAAGAAAACGAAGTCTAGAAAGCGTGACAGATCAAACGCACCACTGTCATGATTCTGATTAATTTTGATTACGTAGGGTCAGATGAAGTTAGGATGTTTGCGGAACTTGAAACTTTCTGTCAAATCGATCCCTACATTATCGACGATCGGTAAAATCGTTCGCTTGATAAAAGTATCGACGATTGGTATCATTTCACACATAAAAATTCGTGAAAATAATAAACAAAATTTAATATAACCTAAATAAAGTGCATGACGTATGTACACACATCTCTCAATTTTATAATACTTATATTATACATTCTTCTATTTTTATTTATATTTATATTATATATTATTGATTTATTTATCATATTATATATTTTTATGCATACGAACAATGCATGCAAATATATGTACATATTTTTTATTATTTCCTCGAAATCGGTCATCAATCAATTCACGTAATGAATTTTTCCTAGAATTTTTTCTCGAGTTTTCCGCTTCTGTAAAATATATAATTAAGACATTCGATTACAGGCGCATCGTCTGCCTCTGCAACTTCCGCCTTTGCTCCTCATCATCTTCAAAGCGATGCAACATACAGAAGCCAAGAGAGCCGCAAACGGACGATAACCCGCGCCTCGACATCATATCTGCGGGTTATCGCAATTACGAGAACTGTTGAATCATTGGAAAGTTTAGAATAATAACATATTCGCAACGAAATCCATCGTACGCCTCAAGTACGATTATCAAACACAATAATAATTCCAAGGATGCCGGAGGATATATCTTTTATTATATCTTCTTCTGTGGAGAAGCCCAGGTAGCAAGCTGACGTCATATTAAACGTCAAAATGACGTCAGCTTGTTACCTGGGAGGTTTATCCTCATATATATGTACTCTCTCCGAATAAGCAGATAATTGATTACACAATGATGATTATCAAGATTCATCAGACATCTCAAATCGTGGTGAGATATTTTTTTTAATAAATAAATTTAATAAATAAATTTTTTAATAAATAAATAAAATAAAAAAAAATACGCATTCCGTAGATTCTCTCTGAGATGTATTTATTTATTTCTTAGTGGCCTTTTTGACAGGTCGTCTCCAAGGGCCACCGTTTTGGAGGAAAGCTGGAACCGACTTTGCAGCATCAGGAAAAGTAGGGGATTAAAAATGAAAAAAAAAGAAAAATTGCGAAAGACGTAAGACGAGTCCTCGAGCGTCGACAAACAATTCCAGGAAAGATCAATTGCAGCCTACGACGATGTAAAAAAGGATACTGCGACGAGTGTCGCACGGTCAACGCGACGCAGTTCTGCTCTCTCGCGATTGAATCCCTCTCCTTCCTCCTTCGCGCGAATCCAAGGGGTTAATAAATAAGAGTAGCCGGTACGAATGTCGCGCTTCCAGTCGTCCCGCGGCCTCTCAGTCAGCTGTTGTTCCTCTGGTGACGCGAAAAAAGAAGAAGAAGAAGAAGAAGAAGAGGAGGAACTCGGAGAGTGCGTTAATATGCTCGCGGCGATCAGCTGAGGATCTGATTTTTTTTTCGAAATCGCACGAGAGAGCACAAGCGCTCATCATCATCCACTAGGACGATGGAGAAGCTAATTGTACTCTCGTGCCTGTTCTACGTGTGTCTTATCCGGTTCTGCGAAGGCGCCGGTTCCGCGAATGCTAATCGGTAAAGGGATATTTTATTGTATTTTTATTTATTTTTTTTTTTTTTAATTTCTCTCGGTTATCGCGATACATCCGAGAGAAATGTTCCTCCCTCTCTGCTTATCGCGACGACCGAAGAGAGGAAGCACTTACAATGCGCGCTAATTCGATAACAGCGTCAATTTTTCAGCACGATAAACTCAAGTGTACGAATAAGCTATTAAGATGATGATGGAGGAGGATCTCTTCAGAAGAAAGTGTCTTTTCTAGGAGGAATTATTTTTTCTCGACCGCTCCAAAATTTCTCCAAACTTATAAGATGTTTTATTATGCTTCTTCTTTAATGAAAGTTGTTTTTCCTCAGAGGATACGTCTTCACCGCGCCGAAGAGATTCCTGGCCGGCGAAACCGAGAGCGGCTGCTTGTCGCTGCACAACCTCGAACCGCCGGCTCATGTCCTCCTGGAGCTGCTGTCTCCATCACCGTCATCATCGCCATCGTCGTCGTCGTCTTCGGGTACAAGCGGCGAGGATGAGGTGCTAGCCAGAACGAGCGGCGTCGTCGAAACAGGCAAGTGTGTTTCTCCTCCTCAAGCAAAATTTCAAGATTTTCTTAGAGAGGATAAATAAAAAAAAGAATCATCTTTCTCTATAAATAAAAACAATTTTTTTAATCGATTAATTTTTTTTATGCCTTGCCACGTCGTTTTCAGATTTATATATCCTTACTTTCTTTTATCGCGCACGCGACTTATAATTGTTGAAAGTACCCCGAGCTATTCAGGAACTGAAGGATCTATTGAGGAATTAAATAAAGCGAGACAGCTGAAGAGGAAACGCTGTATATTGTTAGAAGAGGAGATTTCCGGAAGTATGGAAAGGCGACAAATTGGCATCTCTCTCTCTCTCTCTCTCGATCGATCGATCGAGAATCCCAGCTATGCTTCTGGACCATCGGGTCCCGGTCTTTCCTCCTTCTTCCCTCTTCGCGGCTCGAGAGATCGGACGCTTTAAACAAATCATAAATTGAAATTGTCGCCGCTTCCTGCGGGGGAGCTAAATGAGAGCCTCTCTCTCTCTTCGAAAGGGAAATAACTAATCGCCCGGAATCACACATGGGAAACCCATCTGCATTGTTATGCACGGGATGAACAACAAGCTTATATACCAGAGAGAGTTTCGAGTTTATTTTATTTATTTATATTTTTTCTCGCGTTTTTTCCGAATGAGTCTCTGAAAATGCGTAAACAAGAAGATGCAAGGAATCATATATTATTAGATTAATTATATAAATTATATTATTATCTTAAATAATATAGAGTGGTTTCTCCATAGATAAAGATTGAGGTTTTATTCTTTGTCGAAAGATATGCATTTTTCTTCAACAAAATTGTTGGAAATGTATTGTTTTCGAGATACATAACTTATTGGATGATACGTTAATTCGTTTGTAGGACTGGAAACATGTCTGGAACTGGCGGTACCCTACACGAGATACTTCAACGGACGATTGCGATTGAAGATAAAATTCGACAAGTATCCCGATTATGTCGTGGAAACGGAGAAGAAGGTTTACATCGAGCACGATTCCATCATCTCGTTCGTAGAGACGGACAAGCCGGTCTACAAACCCGGACAAGATGTAAACATTAGAATTCTCATGCTCAAGCACGATCTGAAGCCGTGGAAGAAAACGGTTCGTCACTCCCCATTCATAAATAATATTAATAATATCAAAATTAATAAATAATTATCTTTTCGCGTATAATAGTAGGATATTAAAAAAATTCGTATATAATATATAATGACTGATGGCGAAATAATAGAAGCTGGAAAGAAAAGCTCTCTGCCACTTAATAACATGTTTGTGTTTGCAGGTACCAAAAGTATGGATCGAAAATCCATCCGAGGTGCGAGTAGCGCAATGGACCAACGTCAGCACCGAGAACGGGATGGCACAATTAAAGTTTGCTCTCTCTCCGGAACCAAACCCGGTAAAGCGAGGAGATTGAACAAGCGAGAGGGAGACAGGGATAGATTCTAAGGGCTACTTTTCGTGTGTCACAGGGTACCTGGAAAATTAAAGTAGAAAAGACAAGATCGCAGCCGCAATTGATCCACACGACTGTATTCGAGGTGAAGAAGTACGTGCTCCCTAGATTCCAGGTGACCGTGACCTCACCGGGGTACATCCTCGCAGACGCGGAAAACGTTACGTGGAACATATGCGCGAAGTGAGTGCTAGTTATAATAAAACGAATCTAGGCTGTACTTGGAGAATCAACAAAGTCACGTCTCGTTTTCGTTGCGATGTTACAGATACAGTTATGGCAAACCGGTGAAGGGTAGACTGCTTTAAAAGCGACGCCTGAAATACCTATGTGGAGACGAAAACCCAATCTCCCAGAAATACATTATGAAACAGAGGTCAGAAGCTGTTCTCTCATTATTGGTCGACTAACGTTAATGTTTTGTTTCTCCCGTAGCCTGATAACGATTAGATATGGAGTCATATTTATAGAAATTAAATATGAAATATTAAAAATATTGTATACTATAAACAGATTTGATATTTCGCGACGAGTTTACAATTAGTTGATCATTACAGCTGGACTCGCCGGACAGTTGCACTGAATTTGTACTATCGGGCGCGGTCCTCGGGCTGGCTCAATGGAAAGTGGCGCCGAATAACATCATTCTCATAGCCAACTTTACCGAGACTGGTACCGGGATAGTGGAGACGACGATCAGTCGGACCGTGGTTGTGCACCAGGCCTTGAAGCTGGAATTTCTGCCGTACACTCCCAAGTTCTTCACGTTGGGTTTACCATATCATGGAAAGGTGAACGTCCCAAGTAATCAAGATCTGCACGAAAGTTTAAGAATATAACTTTTCATCTTACAATGGACTACGAAATCGCTAGACAAAGATTAATCTCGTCTGCTCAGTTTATCTTTTTCACTCCACATTGGAAGGAAAAAGATAAGCCAGTTCAGCTGAAAAGAACAGACTTTCAGTGTTGATCCTTGCTTTAGTAGTTCAAACGCATTCTTCATTTAAGTGCACACTTTTGTTACACAGTTACGGGTCTCGCGGCATGACAACACCCCAGCACCACATGAGAAGATTCAGCTCTGCGTGCGAGTGCGCGGTGAGGACGACTGGCTCCGCGTCGTAGTCGAATGCCGCAACTTCACGTCCTCGTCCGACGGCTTCGTCGACTTCGTCGTGCCGCCCCCGCACAGAAACATCGTCTTGCTGAATTTTGTCGCGACCGGTGTCGACTATCCCACGAAATACTATTCGCCGGACACGCGTTGGCGAGTGCGTATATAAAATGTGTCATTTTTCTTTTCAATAACATTTGTAAAGGATTTACTTCAAGAATAGATCAAGACACACTTATATAATTTTGGAATAATTATATCAGGCATGAAAGAAGCCGCGTATGCTTATGCTCTATTGTAAATTAGGTCTTCATGGATCAACCATCAGCACATATCGTCGTGAATCCTTGGTACTCGCCGTCGGAAAGCTACCTGGCGGTGGCCCGAGGCTATCAACCGATCATCTGCGGCGAGAAGTATTCGTTCAACGTTATGTATACCGTGCCGGCGAAAAGTAAAGCCAACGAGTCCATATCTTTCCACTACTCGATCAATTCCAAAGGCGACTTATTGATATACGGCCACGTGAAACATCGGCCGACCAGAGACACGGTCCTGAATTACTCGGAATTCCGGAACTTATTCGGCGCTGTCGAGACACCGGGAAATAAGACCAATCAGGGCACCATCGTTCACAGGTAATTTTTCATGAGATGAAGTACTAGATCTGTTCTTTTCGATTGAACTTTCTTCCCAATATGGAGTAAAAAAGAGCAACTCTGAACTGGGACAACCAGTTTAGCTGAAAAAACAGACCCATCATTCTAAGAATACATTTTCCACGTTTTGAACTGTCTTGTAGATGAAATTATATACTCTTTAATGAACAGATATTGCAACAGCATTCTTTTGTCTTTCAAGATTCCCTCTCAGCGTCAAGATCACCCCATCCATGGCGCCTGTCTCTGAACTGTTGCTCTACTACGTTCGTCCGGACGGCGAGATTGTCGCTACGACATACTCCATTAAGGTGGGACACTGCTTCGAAAATAAGGTGAAATCTGCCTGGCACACTGACGCTCAAACCCCAGGAACGGACACCCAGTATCACGTGGAGGCTGCCCCCTGGTCTCTCTGCGCTATCTCGGCGGTTGACAAGTCAACTCGCTTCTTAGCAGGATCCAAATCGAACTTGATCGACTCTGATCAGATCTTCGAGCAGCTGAAGAGATTCTACATCGAGCCAGAACTGCGTCCTATCTGGCAGTGGACTCAATGCAAAGGTATACAATCAATGTGTCATGTGTTGAGTCAATTATTCAACGAAATAAAACTCGAGATTTTTCTCTCTCTCTATGTAGTTTATAATTGTAAAATAAAAAGATCAACTTCAGTTAATATAAAGTTATCACGTGAAGTGGAATGATTAGTTTGATTAATTAAACTCGTTAAATATTTCATAGTGACAACGCAACAAGAGACGAATACCGAGGAAGTCGATCATCTACCGATGCCTGCTCTGGAACCCCGATGGGATTTTCTCTCCCCTCCCGTGTGGCGTAGAAAGAAGAGGAATACAATGATATCGTACAGCGGACTCACGAATTATGTAGACGCTACACAAGCGTTTGACGTAAGCATATATATATATATATATATATATATAATATAATTTATTAATTAAATCATAATTATGATTGTGCGAAGAAAATATAAATGTTCATCTTTCCTGGATTTCAGGATTTCGGAGCTATCGTGATGAGCGACCTAATACTCGAGACACGGCCTTGTCCTCAACTTGACAGGGATAGATTCAGAACTTCCGGGCCATTCACCAACGTTTTCCGATCAGCCTCGGTTCTGGAATCGGAAACCGGTGTGTGTGTCCTTCAAATCACATTATAGAGAAGAAATAGAGTTTCGCGTCTTCTTCTTTAAATTATATTTAAATATAATTATTCAAAATAAATTATTGCCAGTCTGGTCGACTTTAAAATTGGAGGAGAGATTTTCTTTAAATATAATATTAAATATAAATTAATATACTAATATTTAATTTAAAATATTTTAATTGATATCAAATATAACATTTTAATTAAATATAATTACATTAAATTAATATATATATTATAATAAATTAACACACTGATATACTATTATCTTCATAGGAATGTTTAAAGTGGCCGCGAAGACTTTACCCATGGCGTATCCATTATTAAACGTAGGCCCCGAACAGGCATATGTGGATCAAGTACCCGATCAGCCTGCGACTCTTAGATCTTACTTTCCCGAAACGTGGCTGTGGGATTTGGTGCACACTGAGTGCGTATCAAAGGTTTCAACTTCATATATCTTGATATATACAAATATCGACTGAACATTCCCTTTTTTTTACAGAAAAGAGGGCAAAGCGACTCTGACCCGTACTCTGCCTCACACCATCACCGATTGGGTCGGGTACACTACGTGTATCTCATCAACACACGGCCTCGGGATAGCACCGCCGACTACCATCACGGGATTTCAACCGTTCTTCCTCGATTACAGCTTACCCTACAGCGTGAAACGTGGAGAAATGCTGCACATGAAAGTGTCCTTGTTTAATTACATGCAACACAGTTTACCGGTAATTTTTATATTCATCAATATAATACGTAATGGGTTGAATAGACATTATATAGGATGTCCCATAGGAAATTGCTGAAACTAATCAGCTGTTATTTTTTAATGCACGCAATTATTGAGAAAACAAATATTGTGTTGAAAAGAAGAAAGTACGCAGTTTTTAATAGATATAAATAAAATGTTTGCATACTAGTTTATTTTATTGATAAGAAGTAATGAAAAAAGTGACAGCTGATTAGTTTCAGTAATTTCCTATGGGACATCCTGTACAACAAACTGATTAATCAATATTATGATTGATGAAATGATACGATTGAATTTTGCAGGTGAAGATCAAGTTGGAAGACGCAACCGGACTCGATTTACATCTGTCGCACGCGGTTGCTTCTTTCTGCGTGAAACCGAGAGACAGCGTGGTGCACGAATATATTCTCAGACCGCGAGTTCTCGGCGACGTTAACATCACGGTTTCTGCTTCCGTGGACTCGGATTACGCCGAACCGTGTGGTCCGGAAGTACTTCTGTATACACGGTAAATAGATAATTTCGCTGTTTGCATTTAATTAATATTTAATCTGCAAGTACATATGTAATTATATACAGATGAATAACTGCAAGTGCAGAAAAAAAGTATTTATATAATTTTTTAATGTTTCATTCAAATACAAAAATGTAAATTTGACAAAATGAAACTTTAGATCATTTGAACATTAAAAAAAATATTTTAATGAAACAAGATTTGTCTGTCAAATCATATTTAATTTATTTAACAATTGTACATTTTTTCAGAGACGTGATTGTAAAGCCAATTCTCGTGTTACCGGAAGGCTTCCCCGTCGAGACAACCAAATCAGCATTCATCTGTCCGAAAGATTTCAGTGACGACTCCACCATCACTTGGAATCTCGATTTACCCGATGATTTGGTGCCCGAAAGCGCAAGAGGATACGTGTCTATAATAGGAGATATCTTGGGTCCAGCCCTCGAGAATCTGGATAATCTTGTTCGTTTGCCGATGGGCTGCGGTGAGCAAAATATGATCCTCTTCGTTCCCAACATTCATGTGATCGGCTACCTGGATGCAACCGGGGTCGAGAATCCAGAGCTGAGAGCGAAGGCGATTAGGAATATGGAGAAAGGTACAATTCTCTATTTTTATCTGTTTTAATTAATTAAATAAAATGATTATTGATGATCTGTTCTTATAATAATATAAAATAATTGTTGATGTCTGTTTTATAATTAAATAAAAGGATTATACATTAATCAAGTTGTTGATTTCACGATACAGGGTATCAGCGCGAGTTGATATACAGACACCCGGATGGTTCCTACTCGGCGTTCGGTCCAAGACCAGATCGTTCCTCGGAGGACGGTAGTTCGATTTGGCTCACCGCGTTCGTGATAAAGTCCTTCGCTCAGGCAAAGAGTATAATTCACATCGACGAACGAGATCTAAAAATTTCCGTAAAGTGGATGCTGAAAAAGCAATTGGAGAACGGGTGCTTCCCCGTCATCGGCCGAGTATTCCACAAGGATATGAAGGTAACGAAGACTCCTTTTTTATTCTTTCGCGTTCAAAAAACGGGGAGCACTTAAATCAAACTCGGAAATGCGTTCTTAGGGCGGTTTGCAAGACGACGACAGTTCTTCCTCGATCTTGACGGCGTACATCCTGATCTCTCTCTTGGAATCCGGCGTACCTTTAACAGACACGCTCGTCAACAACGCGCTACACTGTATAGAGAAAGGGACGGAGAACGGCAGCGGGACGTTGTATATGGCAGCTTTGTCCACATACGCTTTGACGTTGTTGGAACATCCGAAAGCGAACAGCAGCATGAAGTTGCTGATGGAACGAGCGACCCGGAACAATGTATGAGAAAGTTAACTTTATATGATAAAACGGGTTTAGTTGAAGTACTCGAATTACAATAAAGGAGGATGTTAAAAAAGGCCGATTTCCTGACTGTCGATGGAACCTAAAATTCGAATTCCATATCTATGAACTATATAAGATGCAAAAATGATGGTCTTTTTTCCTAGAGACCTGAACTAGAGACCTTTCCTAGAGAACTAAAATCGATGACATGGATGAATTTTCAATCAAACCAAGTTCTGGGTAAACACTTATCAAATAGTTTTTGAGATTAATAATATTTTAATATCGGGATTGCAAAATTCAAAATTGCGGATCCAATATGGTGGATCAGTATTGAGAGATGCCAGGATGTAGTTACTTCCGAAAAAAAGATCTGATTCCACATACATTATGTTTTTTAGTTTGTTTATTTGTTTGTTAAATATTTTTGTTTCTCAATTGATTGCTTACAATTACTTACGTTTCATTGTTGAATAGAATTCTTTAGTTCTAACATAGAGAATATTAATAGTTCTCATATTTTTTATGTTAGAACTAAAGAATTTTATTCAACAATGAAACAAAAATATTTAAATAAAAAAACTAAAAACATAATATATTTGAATATAGAATCAGATCTTTTATTCGGAAGTAACTATATCCTCGAATCTAGTTTCTCTCAATACTGATCTACCATATTGGATCCGCAATCTTAAATTTTGCGATCCCAATATTAAAACATTATTGATCTGGAAAACTATTTGATAAGTGCTTATACAGAACTTAGTTTGATTGAAAATTCATCCATGTCATCGATTTTATAGTTGTCTTCAGATCGATCGAATGACTCTATTTTCAATAGTTTTGATAGATTTTCAATACTTTCCCCAGGTCTCTAGGAAAAAAGACCATTATTTTTACATCTTATATGGTTCATAGATACCCATGGAACTTGAATTTTAGGTTCCATCGATAGTCGGGAAATCAGCTTTTTTAACATCCTCCTTTCACTTTGCCAGGATCTCCTTTGGTGGGAGGACAAACCCTCATTAGGATTGAGCATCGAAATGACGGCGTACGCCGTGCTATCGTTGGTGAAGTTAGGCGGCGAGACGAACATGGTCGAGGCGCTGAAGGCGGTTCGCTGGATGTCGAAGCAACGAAACGCGGAGGGTGGTTTCACGTCCACGCAGGACACTGTTCTCGGTCTAGAGGCGCTCACCAAGTACGCCGCCGCGATGTCGAACAACAACACCGATCTCTCGATGCTGGTGACCGCCAACGAAGTGGACCAGCTGTACAGAATGCATAACGACAATCGTATGGTCCTCACCCAAATTCGGCTGCCCGTCATACCCACGATAGTCGAGATCTTCGCTGAGGGCGAAGGCTGCGTCTTAGTACAGGTATAGCTTTACATTTCTGCGATGAGTTAGGTCGTGCATTAGAAATTGGTAAGGACCTCAAATATATAAATTTTTGGCCTTCGGTGGAATTGGCTGGTTTCTTTTTAGCTTATGTTCTGCTGAACAAAAGATGTAATAGTCTCGAAGCTAAATATTGAATAGTTGTTGAGTTATAATAGTATCATACAGAGTTCTTTATATAAACTATAGAAAATGTAATAATCTTCTTAGAAATGCATAGTCTGGTAACAATATTAAACCCCGTTTTAGAGCAATTTAAAGTACAACGTTGGGAGTGCGACCGGTTCTGAAGCCTTCGATCTCTCGGTCAGTGCAGCTTCCGCGACGTGGGTGGACGAATGCTCGATGCAGAAGATTACCATCTGCACGCGATACAAAATGGCAGATGGGGAAAGTAACATGGCAGTATTGGAGATCGGTATGATAAGCGGATACGTCCCGGATCGCACGAGTCTTCATTCTCTCTTAGAGGATCCAGCCACAAGTAAGCGCAAGAAGATATATCAATCTCGAAATAACATCGTAATCTTTTTCGTGAAAGCTGACTCTGAACCGGTCACAGAATTCAAGAAGAGAAGCTCATTAAATGTAGAACTCTATATTATATAAAAGAAAATATTTAGAGTGACAATTGTACATAATTATCATGATCGACATTATGATATATTAAAATGAAGTCTATATGTGACTTTTTTGCAGAGGTGAAGCGTTTTGAGGAGGATCGCGATATCGTCACCATTTATTTCGACAAGCTGATTAATCAGAAGACCTGTATAACGTTTATGGTGACCAGGGAAAATGTTGTCGACCGACTCGAGCCGGCAAATGTGAAACTTTACGATTACTACCAACAGGAATTAACGATATCTAGCGTAAGAATTTATATATTCAAGTATATTGCTTCATAATCGTTAAATGTATGACAGATTGCTAAACTTCATATTTTATTTCTTCTCCTCAGAATTACAGCTTCGCGCAAACCTGCAGCAGTGCCATTCCTAGCGAAGAAGTGGAGGTTCCCAATCCGATACCAGTGGAGGTGGAGCATCTGGATAAGGATATCGCCAAGAAAAAGGACGAGACGATCGAGAAAGCAGCCGAAATGCCGGACGTTCAAAACGGAACTGAGCAGATAGGTATAATTTTTGATTAAATAAAATATCTTAATTAATTTTGGTGTGAGAAATCAATCCGCCAGTCTAAAATAAACCAAATTTAAGTATGTAATATTCAAACTTACTGACGAGACGTCTTTTAAGACACAAGGTTTAATTTTATATATTTTTATATTAGTGATATGTTGTAAGTTTTTTTCATTGCTGTACTATTATGTCATCTCAAAGATTATTTCATTTGAAAATGACCTAAACCACAGGTCGAAACGTCATGATATTTTAATTTTAATAAAGGAATTATTGTCCAGTATTGGTCGTTTTTTGAATATTACATACTTAAATTAGATATAATTTTTATTCAGATACAACAAGAGAACGCAATAATACAAAATTCTTTTACCTAAATAAATTAATAAATTATTTATACCCACGACTCTGTTTTGTAGTGCCGCGAGGGGAAATTGGAAGCGGTCAAACGCCAGATGACCCGGATATCAATCTGAATCCTGTGTTCGACAGACTCGGGCCGCCTGATGTAGATCTCGAGAACATGGAGTCCATCAACGGACAGAACCAAGACCCGCTTGGAAACCCGCTCTTCGTTGTGGTCGACCACGAATTGGAGACTCCTGACGGTATCGAAGGACCCGTGCCGGTTTCCGTGAAACCCGATTTCGCGAATTTCGACGACAACCCGCTGTCGAATGTAACTAATCAATATGCCGAGAAAATAGAGGAATCGACCGAAGTGTTGGACGAGTTGCGTACGTAAATTTGAAACACTAATTAAACTATGCCATACAGCACAACAAGATTGCAGCAGCATTGTGGCAACATTTTATTGCAATATTACAACATTGCATAAACATTGTGAAATGTTGCAGCAACGGTAAAATGTCCGCTTTCAGAAACATTGTTCTATAACATTGCAGCAATAATGCAATAAAATATATATGTAATATTATTATTGAATTATTGGAAATGTGCCAAATACATGATCGGACTGAATGTTCTGTACCTAATATTTTTTGCGTGAATTTTATTTTTATAATATTTCTGAAATGTTGTTGCAACATTGTTTAAACTATATTGCAAATTCATGCCTATATAATACAATATTTCTGCAATATTACTATGCAATGTACAATATTGCAATGTTGTTGCAATATTACTGCAAACTTGTGTGCTATATGGGTGAGAACTGTTAGCCTTCTCCAAGAAATCCGAAATTCGTAATATGTGGTAGCTCATTTCTGGTTTAATCTACTTCTCGACATGTCTTCACTCTGGAAAATTATTTTATTTCTAAACTATCTATCAGTCTTTTCGTCATCAATATGTATGAATGATATCGAATCAATTTTTTTTTAATTTCAGCAAATTTTATGAAACTTAATACGAGCAATATAAATGACTGCCCCATATGCGCCGATGAATTGCCATCGAACATCACCGAGATCTACTGCTCGTCTAAAACCGTCGTGAAAGGGGCGATTAGACGATTACGAAAAGTGAGACTTCTGTTAAACATCCCACCCTTCGAGAAAGAGGCCAAACGCTTGCGTGCGACACTCCTGTTTCTCGTGAGCCCCAATTGTTCCTGTTCGCCTTTACATAATCGTAAGTAATCGAGACTGAATAATACAATTAATTCAGAACAAAACTGCACTATTGAGATTTCATACAATTATATAATACAATTAATTCAGAGAATGAAACTATACTATTATTATATAAATAATAAATATCAGTATTATTAAAGTCGTACGATTATTATAATAATGCCACGTATATTTTAGCCGGAAGTTTAGCACTGCTGATGAGTCCCAACGTCGGAGACTTCATTGATCCGATGTATTCGTATGTTTACGAGAAACGCGCGATCGTTGCACATAAGAGGATTTCGATATATGGATTACCACCAAACAGTGGCATCCCGAAGGAGTTGATACACGCTCGAGAGATGTGCGGTGCTCAAAACGATACTATGTCTCTTGATCCTCCTACAGCTGACTGATTTTGACAAGAATCTAATTTTTGCGTGCTAACAAAAGTTCAAATTCATAATTTAATCGTTTCGAGATAATGTATAAAAAGAATCGAAAATGCACGCATATTTGTATTAAAATTCAAATTTTTTGCGAAACAACTTGAATTGACAAAACAATTTTTCATTACAAATAATTTCGGGACACCTTGTATATAATTCAGAGGCAGTTTTTTTTACACAGGGATGCTATTCTGTACGCGATTATCGAACAAATAGCCATGTACAGAATAGCGGAACCCTCTACAAACATCTCTACATTACAAACTTTATGTTAAGATACGGAATATATGATAAGTTAATTGTAAGAGTATCTGATAAAGTAAAGCGTTTTTATACAGCCAATTTTTACAATGAAAGTCATTAATATAATTCATAATTATGAATAATTAATGAGATAAATCAATTGTAAATAAAATACAGCGATTAAATGACATAATAATTGGGTAATTTATTATATTTGTAAAAATAACTTGCGTGCTTCTCTACTTTTTTGATTTCAACATTTCAAGATAAAAAAATAAAGAAATAAACATATACATAAGAGAGATGAGAGCATCTTGAGTTTCGGGCGAATGTGTTGCATCTTTATTTATTTTTGATTGTGTTATAATTAAATTATTGAAAATTAATAATCATCTCGAGTCGAGTTTTCGCTACATTAAATAGTGTTTCATTACAGTGTGTGTTTATAATTTTTTTATTTAATACGAGACTAATCTGTGATGATATATTATCAATTTGACATTCGAATTTTCGCAAAAAGGACGAATGTTATATTAAATGTCAAATGAATAAATTTTCTCTGGAAGTATTATTATTTATTCACGCTGTGTATACAGTTAAATGCTTCTTGAAATAAATAAACATATACATATACATACATATATATATATACATATATACATACTCAGATAGCCAGAGTAATTATATAGTATTATTTTGACATCAAAATGACATAATTTGACGTCAAAATACACATCATTTTAACGTCAAAATGACTACTTTTGCTATCTGGGCACACACATATGTATATATGTAAATGCTATTGCTCGCTATACACTATTCATTGCGCCGGTTCGCTACAATACCATTGAAAACTTAACACTATGCGAGGAATGAAAGGAGATGAATGTAATTGGCAGTAATAATCGGTATTCGCCGTGTATCACGCGCTAGATGAGTGATGAATGTATGATTTCGATTTGCACGTCCGGGCAGTGTACGATTGGCGACAATATATAACGCAAATAAGATAGTATATATTATATAAGTTATGTAAAAAAAAAAGAAAAAAAATTATCTAACAACGACGTCTAATTGCTCGAAAACATTTTCGGAGCGCTTTGAATTAATAAGCAAGAGAGAGATAATTCTCCCGTCGTCAAGAATGTAGCTTGCAAGCGACGACGACAACTTGTGTGTAAATATAATCATCTTCGCGACATATATGCTTATTAACATTTATCGACATTGAAAGAGAGATGTCGTATAATGTATATCATTTTTAGTATATATATATTTATATATATATATATATACCACAATTCTCTCTCACAACCGAGAATAAGATCTCGATAGCAAAAAGTACACTACTGGAGAGAATCGGCCATCGAGCTCGGTTGAAAACGCGTCGCAGCAACCTCTCGAGAAACTGTAGAAATTATAGCAAAATAGAGAAACCTTCTCTCATATAAAACTCAAAACAAAACACACGTAAGAAAAAGAGAATATTTGTAAACCGATATGTGTGTGTATCGACGAGACTTGGCGTCTCGAATACACAAGCTCGATATTAAATTATGTATGATTTTCGCGAGATCCCACAGTGAAGATCCCAAATTACATATTCAATTACAGACTAAGCGAGACAATGGAGCATCAAGAGAGATAGAGAGTCGGTCTTCGTGTCAAGCAGAAAAAATAGACAACTATAAGACACAAGTTGTACTGGAGTATTGTCGTTGTATCGATATGGATCTTGTCGAGACACAATTCCCTCAATCAAATCAGTTTTTCCTTTTCTCATAAATATTGATATTACGTTATAAAAATCTCTTTCCACGCTGCGTTCTTTTTCACATATGCTATACGCTACAATAATATATATATATATATAACGCCATTAAAATATCTATCCGTTAAAATTATTCCTTCAATTGCGCGTAAATATCATTTCAATACGCGTGTGTTATTTTACAAGAAATCATATATCGATTTAATATAGAGCCTGCGTGTTATCAGAGGGAGGAAAGGATAAATGTAAAACGGCGGCTTTGTTCGTATCTCGCGCACGTAACTCGAAAATCATGCACGAAAAATCGGAAGATGCTGATGTCCGTTCGACGCTTATTATTCTTATCGCCTCTCAATTATATGTATATATATATATATATACATATAACTCCGAATACATATATATCCGAAAGAGAGATTTACAGCTGCTTGGAATTCGTAAAGCAACGCGCGATGTTACAAACTTACGCGGCGCTGGACTGTTTAATAGATTTTGGGCGCCGAACGGTCGTTGATTGGGCCGCTGGTTTTCTTCAGCGAAGTGCCTCGTCTGATCTGATCCATGAGGGAGTCCCTCATTTGCACCGGGTCCATGATAGGCACGCGATTGCCCATGATACGTCTGATGCTCGCCGACCTGCTCGCCCCGTTGTTCCCCGCCTGTTGCAAGACCTGCTGTTGCTGGGCCAACTTGGCGTTCAGCGTTTCGAGGAAACCGGGAGCCGTTTTAACATTCTTGGACTGCTGCTGCTGTTGTTCCGTAATTGACTGCTTCCTGAGAGACTTAGGGCTGCCACTGGCGTTCACTCCTGATGCGGCCGCATTGCCGCCGCCTATGGTACCGATGAGCTTAGCGTTGAGCACCGCCATAAAACCCTGGCCTACGCCACCGGGTCCCTGTCCTTGAGCTTGGCTTGCCTGCTGAACGACGGGGCTTCCACCAGCCGAACTAGTCGTTTGCGCGCTGACGGATCCGCGTTCTTGAGAGGCCGAACGGATGGCGGAGCAGGAACGTTCTACCGATGAACGAGTTATCTGTAGCACGGTGTTGTGTTGAACTATGCTTGGATTATTATGCGCCTGTTGCTGCAAGGTAGCCTTCCGCAAGAGCGAAGGACTGGCAGGAGTATGACGCAACTCTGTCAAAGTCCTCACCGTTTCAGAGACAGAGATGGATCTAAAAGAAGAAACATTCAGAGGTTTGGTTGCACCGTTTCAGACACAGAGATGGATCTAAAAAAAAAATTCAGAGGTTTTGTTGCAAAGTTAGTTTTTACAATTTGAACTTAAAAGTAAGAGTTTCTTGTAACATCAAGTATTGATTCTTCTACCTCTGAGGCGTAGGACTGGCTGTGGGCGAGGAGCCTTCTAGAAGGAAAGCAGGTGGTGGAGGAAGATTCTCCACCTCCTCGCAAACAGTTTCACTGCGATCTTCGTTGACGGATAACGTGGGTGGAGCGACAATGGCAGATGTGTGTCTCGTTGGCGGCGGTGGTCTGATCGCCTGCTGCTGCGCCGAACCTCTGCGTGTCATTAACATGGTCGCGACCGCGCTAGGTATGTTCCACGTGTTGTTCTCGTTTTGATTGTGAAGTGAATGCGAATGCGGCAAAGTATTTTGGCTTCCGTATCCGCTGCTGGACTCCAAGCTGGACTCGGACGTTTGACTACCAGCATCTTTCTCCGGAGCCTCGGTCTGCACGATGCAATCGAGCAATGAGTCATGTGAATAAAAGTCAAAGAAAATGATCTTCTTGCTGTTAAAACATAATGGCCTATTTCTTGTCGCTCTTGTTTCAATACCTTATCGGTGCTTGATGTCGTTAACGATGCCGGAGGAGGAGGCAGCGGAAACTGCATTTCCTGAGCACGACTGGCAGCCAGATTCGCCAACTCGTGCATATTTACGTACATCGGCTGTTGAAGCTGATGAGTCGCCAATTCTGTATCATAATAACATTGTTAGATCTCTCGAACTTTTATTTCACGTAACTTACATAACGATATATAAATTGTTGTACCAACCTTTCGCCAAATGAGCCGGAAGAGGTAACTTAGGCTTTCCTCGTGGACTTCCGGGCGGCTCGTTCTTCACTGGAATCGTCGGCCGTTCCAGACTAGAGCATCTATTTGGTATAGGTGGACGAGTGCCGCCGTTATTTCTACGAAGTTGTACCCTAGACAGTTGCTGATTCGAGGAAGAACACGACGAGGAAGAGGAAACCGGCGAGGCTGGCTGGCTGTGGCAGCAGCTGCTACCGTCGCGATCTGGCGCTTGGAATGTGTAGACGCTGAGCGCGGGTCTCTGGTGGCCTTTTTCGTATGCTAGAATCGATAAAAAAAAAGATAAGCATGATTGACGAATAGAATCCACATGCTTGTTTATGCGGGGGACGCGTTACACACTTAAATTACATATTTAACAGGGTGTCTACTCAATTGAATAAAAATTCCCTAATCAAAATATTTAAAATTTAAATGATTATAAACGTCTTTTCAAGGAATACTAATTTATTAAAATCAATTATTTATTAAATAAATGAAAAGAACTCAAATTTATTTAAATATCATCTATTAAAAAATTGAACAATTTTCTATTAAAATTTATAATTTATATAAAATCTTGATACTAAAAATATATGTTTCTTAAGTGCTAAATAAGAATAAAATAAAAGAATAATTTTTTAAAAAATTCCCTAAATCCCAAACAAATTCCATCAGAATACCAGATCAAGGTTTTTCCCAGGAATATACATCCTGATTTAAGTACTTACCAGAGGAAATGGTATGTGGCCGTTCGTTCACTGCACTTGGATTTTGCCGGTTGTTTTGAGCAGACGTTTCCTGCAAATCAGGCCAAGTTGAAGTTGTCACGGCTCTTGTTACAGTGCAACCAGTACTTTGATTACTTAGAGAAGACACATTCGATACCTAAAAAGCACGAAACACGTGTCTTTAGCCAACGATTGACGACACACAATGCAACGAGATACGATATACAAATGCATTCTTGAAAATTAAACTAAAGTCTGCATAAAAAAAACTGCTGTAAAGAATACATAAAGCCGAACTAGCAACAAAAATCTAATCACTAGGTGACGGAAGTTTGTGAGATCTCGCACGTTGGGTCTTCTGATGAAATTTTAATGTTTCTTCTTGAACTCATTGAGTTGACATTTAATTATAAATTTCGAGAACCGAGAATTTGCAGCCAGCTGACTTTCATTTCAACGTCCTAAGAAAACCCATTGTATGACATCACAGACCTCGCGAACATCGGCTAAACGACTTTACCTGATCTTCGGAAATCGGTTGATTATACAACGTGTCCTGAGACGTGAAGCCAGAGTCGCGGGAACTGCCACTCGTCAAGTGGCGAAATGTCGCAATGCCGCTGATGCTGGCGGGCCTGACACCGATCGGCTACAACGAGTACAACATCGACTACCACATACAATAAGCGATATCGCTCGGCGGGCAAAAAACAGAGCGATCGATTCGTGCTGTAAAATCTATGTGGAAGACACTACTAGGTGTGCATTACAGCTCCGCATTGCATTAATAGTGTTACTATGTCATGCAACGTGTTAAAGAAAAAAAACACCTAATAAATTAATCCGCGGAATAATGTGAGGTAAAAAAAAGACAAAAGGAAAGAGATATACCAAGAAGGACTTATTACCAATATGTAATCACCTGAGAAAGCGATCTGTGCCATGGATGTCCGGACGGACTCGGGTGACTCTTACAAGATCCACTACTGCTACTAGTTAGAGAACTGATCGAACACATGGAGCTCTTCCTCGACCCCAGAGACAGCGACGGACTCGACGGCGGTGTAGCCAACGACCACTGGGCGACGTCGCAACCTTTGATGTCCGTTATTACCTGCTCCGATGCAGGCGGTAAATGATGAGGCGACGCGGCGTGTCTTTGCAACTGATCGGACACCTCTTGCAGATGCGTCAATTCCAACAACATCGATATCTCCTCATCCTAAATTGTTGATAAGTGTGTATTATCAGCATATATCAATTATACGAATATACAGGTGTATCTGTCTACTAACGAGTACGGGTTTCAGGAATCGAGCGAGGAGACAAAATCTGCCCCTCTCCTCGAGAAGGGCAGCACGGACGGCTTTTCGTTCCGTTTCTTCTAAACTCAGTCTTTTCTCCTGGACAACCGCCGCTGACGATTCCAGCATCCTATTGAGCTCCACGTCGCTGGAACACGCCCCGTGACCTTGAGGTTGTCCTTGAATATGTAGGTGAACTTGACCCTTTCGTGCTTTCTTCTTTTGCAGACGTAGAGTGTCGGTGGAGCGTTTCTTTAACTCCGCCCTTGCTTTTTTGAATTCTAAAAGTAGCGAAAATGTGGATTGTAGTAGAAAAATTATACCTTTCTCAAAAAATACAATTTAGAATATTGTATTAATCATTAACCTTTGGCATGTTCTTTGTCTAAATTGATCAAAGATTTTTTCCAATCCTCCAGTTTCTCTTGTAAAGGCAGCACCAAACAGTCCATGATAGCGCTTGAAAGAAATAATACATATCAGTAATGAGTCAGTAATATCAGGAAACTAAAATAAATATATATATCTCTGTAGAAGCACACAAAGTATTGTTTCGACATACCTAGTAAATGACTTCATACGAGTTTCTACCGCCTTATGTCTTAAACATATTCGTGTCAGTGCTGTTCCAATTTCCTTAGTTGCACCTTAATTAAAACAGACACAGTGCTACTTTAATCTTCCTTCGTTTTAATTTATTTACTTAATGCAGATGACTTTAATTGTATAATAAAAAATAAATTATCTCTGTTACAAGTGAAAACTTACCCCTGGCATTAGTTGCAGCATCTGCTATCTTCTGAAAAGTCTCAAGATACGCAGAAATAGCCAAGAGAGCAGCTCTGCAATAATATATATATCACATATTAATATAAACTTACAATTGATTAAAAACGTGCAACAAAATCAATACAAAATAGAGTAAAGAGATAAAATAAATTTTTCATATTAATTAATTACAAATGTATATAATAAAATATCATTTAAATGATAAAAAATATAAAAATTATGAAATATATTATATATAAAGTTGTTCTACCTTAAACTTGCATGTAACTTTGTAGCTTTTGAAATCAAATCTTCCCATAGTGGTGCTCCATTCTATAAAAAGAAAAAAAATATTAAAAAGTATATCCTCTCTGAAAGTTTGAGTTTTTTCATACAACATTAATATATTATTTCAAGTTATGTAATATTAGTCAAACAGCAATTTAAACTGATTAGTGATAGATAATGTAATCATGTACGCCCACATATTCTGTTCAATCAGACTAGTTTATAAAACATATTTCCTTGATAGGCTGTTATGATAAAACAACTATAAAGTGACAAGTACTTTTGCTCTTTTTTTATTAAATGTATTATTAAAGATATAAATATATGTATATTAGAATTTTAGCTTCTCTATTTACAATCAAAGCACTTGCTTCCATAAGAATTTATAGAGAAAGAAACATGAGAAAATAAAAAAAAACTATTAATCATAGGACTATATTATTTCTTATCTTGACAATAATGACATTTAAATGCATTAAAGAAAAACAAAGCATTCTTCTTAATAAAATTAATTATTCAAAACAAAATATTACGTTTCTTCATATTTATAATTAAACAGAAAACATGTTTGACCTTATTGAAGTATTTGATTTTATTCACAAATAATTCATATATACTATATATTTAGAGATTATAATATAAATACTATCATCTAAATTAGATTTATTGATATGTCAATTGACACCAAATATGTTGACAAATGTCATTGTTCCCAGACATGAAAAACCTTCCATAATACACAAAGCTGATATCAACCAAGAGAGAGGCTGATCAAAGAGAAATCTTTCCAGCAATACAAAAATATTCAAAAAATATATAGAAGGTTCCTCACAAATCCACAAACAATACATAAAAAAAAAAAATTAAAAATATCAAAAAAGGAGAAAATTGGAGGACGAAGTACAGAGAGTCCGAGGTGAAAAGGAGGCGCGAATTTTTGCAGTGAAACGCGAAAGCTGGAATATTCGGTCGAGCTTAACAAGCGGAACCGTTTCGTTCCCTCACCTTCATGTCAGTGATGATCTGCTGGAACAAACCGCCCAACGCGCTGCACTCTCTCTCTATCGTCGCGTCCATCTTCCTGTATTGTTTTGGACTGGCCTAAATCTGTAAACGGATCCCGAGGGGGTGAACGAACGCTCTCCTGGGCAGGCGACGAGTTCACTTTGCGTCATCGACGCGGACCCTCGCGGAAATGATGCACCGCCGCCAGCGAGGACGAGCGACGACGTAACTCGTCATCTCTCCTTCTCTATCCTTTCTCTTTCTCTCTTTCTATCTCTCGCTCTCTCTCTCTCTCGGAGGACGAAGGGACGCGTCGATTTCTAGAGTAGACTTTACCAAGAGGGTAGGAAACCCGAAAATATACAAACGAGGTGTCCTCGATGATCCTGACAGCTCCGTCACTTCATGACGATGCTGCGAACTCCCGTGTATTTTTATTCAAAGTGTACACGTAAATAAACACTTGACGTAAACACGGCGCGCGACGATGACAGGAGCGCGATGGGATCTTCTTCTGGCGATCAAGCTCGCTCCGGAGGAGGCGCCGCGGATCGTTGCCCCTTGCGTGGTGACCTCGTTCCAGAAATCGGGATCGATGTTATTCGGTATGCATCTAATCGTTATCCCGAAGGGAAAAGTGAGTGGGAGAGGGAAAAGGGGGGAAAAGAGAGAGAGAGAGAGAGTGTGTGATAGGGCGATAAGGGGCACGACGATACGCGCTGCACAATGGGATTCCGATTGGTGCGGAGTTGGCATGAACGCAGCATAGAAGGCGGGAATTTCTTCACTTCCGGTTTCCAAGTCGGATCTAGATATTATTTGTGCATCGTGACTATTGTTTATAGGAGATGAAAAATAATTACTCCATTTACCTCTTTTCTATTTCGTTTTCATGGATGTTTAACAGCTGTCAAAATTTGACAGCTGTCAAATTTGACAGCTGTCAAACTTTTCTTCGAATCTGATAGCTCCAAAATTTCTGATATCTGTCTATTATATAAACGGCATATATTTTTTTTATTTTGTGCATACGCACTCGTTAGATCAATAATAATATTAATTAATAATAATAATAATATAATATTATAATATTAATATTAATATTAATATTATTATAATATTATTATATATTAATGTAATACTATATATTATATTATAATTAATAATAATTAGCTGAGATAATAATAAAATAGTTTTAAATATTGACAGATTTCTGACATATTGACTGGCTTTCGAATAGGGAATTATAGTGTCCCCCCAGGAGTTTCTTCTGCTCGCAGCCAATCAAGATCATTTGACAACTGATGACATTATATAATCTGAGAAGAATCTATTGCAAAGAATAAATTAAATTAAAGTTATAATAAATCAGGTGAGAGATTTGAAAACAATCTAACAATTCAAACTTATATTCACAACTGCACTAAAATCAAATAGGTGCACAAGGACGAAGGATCACGAATGTGGAAATAAGTGTAATCAAAAGAGACAGATTAATTCAGCTGCATCTACGGAAAGCTAGATAGACCGAGGAAAGATCGAAAGTGCCGATCAGCTGATCATCGTCGAGCATGGGCGCGCTACAGCAAACATACAGACTCTTCAGCAAAAGTGTCAGAATTCCTCTGCATTCGATCGCGCCTTCCAAGAAGTATCACTCTTCGATAATTCTAGCGAGACATCAGCAACCGCAAGAAGTGGTTGAAAATATCAGGAACCGATCATCGTGCGGGGATAAGAGACCGGTGATCGACGAGGCGACCGTCAGGAGGCTGGAGAGGCTCGCACTGGTCGGCTTCGAGTACGAGCAGAGCAAGCGGATCCTGGAGGAGGCCGTTGCCTTCGCCGAGCGGCTACGAGAAGCCCGCATCGATGAGTCGGTGCGTCCGATGTACAGCACCCTGGAGAACAGTCACATTCGTCTACGAGAGGACGTGGCCCGGAGCGGGATCGAGCGCTGCGAGATCCTGAGGAACGCCCAGGTGCTGGAGGAGGAGTACTTCGTCGCGCCCTTGACGACGAACAGGTCGTCCGAGTCGGGACGATGAGTCTGGAGGCTGTGCTGAGGGCTGTCAGTCCACACTTTCTCAATCTGTCGGAGAAATCCGTCTTCACGTACGGTCCCCAAGGTAAACTGCTACTCAGGAACCTGGAGGAGCACTGGTTCGCGCACTGCGTCACGATGCCACGTCACAACGTCTTCCTGTGCGACACCCAACCGATCGCAGACACGTTGCAGCTGTTGCGGAGCAATTCGCTGGATGAGCCACTGCCCTTCGCTCTGGCAACCCTTGCCACGATGTCGAAGAGTACTTGGAACGAGTCCTTCTTGTCGGCTAAAGTGTCCTCTCACAGAGTCGTCAAGGTCAACGTGATCGTCGACGGGTCCGAGGCGAAGAGTCTGCTGCACAAGAAGCAGCGAGAGCGCAAGGTTTGGTGGCGCAAACTCGCTCAGTGTCCTTCAAGGTTCGTCTTGGCTGAAGCGAGGAAGGCGAGGAACCTTGACGTGACGGAATAGAGGCGCAGTTCCCCTTTGGAAACCTCACCGTGGAGACAATCACTCATTATCCTGCCATACGCAGGTTGTATCCTCAAGTACGATACTTGTTTTCTTAATATTTGAAGAGAAAGAGAGAGAAAGAAAAGATTGTTTAAATGAGATATTTATTTACAGACTGAAAGTAGTAAAGATAATGCTGTGGACCTGCATATGATCGAGCATGTCGCTTCCTTGGATTGGGGCTGCCTGGCTTTACTCTGCGACAGCCACACGTTTGACAAATCAACTAGCAACTACATCCATCCCAAGTTATCTCCGTATAAAACCACGTTTCATATAGATAAAGAGCAGAACGAGACTGATGTAGAAGATTTAAATCGCTTTGTACTGTACTTAAACAATATGCTTAGAGCGAAGGGAATATCTACGATATTAACAAATGCAGAACAAATCATAGAAATGTGCCTGATACCGTTCGTCGTGTCTGTAAATAGGACTAGTCTTAAGAATGGCATTGTATATGTAAAGAATCGCTCGACGACTCTTAAAGAAGCAGTTCACATTTCTGATTTGGTAAAGTATATCGCTCTACGTTCTTCCTGAATCATCAAAATTTTCATCTTAGATTCTCTGATTCTTACTGTTAGCTAAAAATTTAGAAGACATATTGTTGTACTGTCATATATAATTATATTTAATTAATATAACTATGTTTATTACTGAAAATTACACAACCATATAAACTGTAATTATTAATGAAAATTCTGTGATTTATACAATTTGTTTTTCGTTTTATCCCCAATCACATCATGTCAAATATCTAAATTCGTAAAATAAATGATTATTTTGAATTCTATAATTATGTATATGTTTCTTGACACTGAAGTACGAAAAGAATAAAAGAGGCAACTTAGATCTCACCCTGGAAAGAAGTCCCAGCGAGAGGCACAGCATACAAGGGATGACGAATGAGGGTAGGAAGAGAATATTTGACAGATGGAAAGTATGCTGCGAAATATTGCACGCTTAGCAGAAACATGCACTGCATTCCACGAGCCTCCCAGGTCTGCCCGGACTTATCTCTGTTTGGCAAACGCCGAAGAACAGGCAAATTCGAATCAAATTCTCCGATACAAGAGGATAATACTCTCAACTGAAGCTAAGCAGGTAGTTGTAGCTTCTTTCCCTTCAGTACTTTGGTAATATAGAGGTAGAAAAAGTCACAATAAAGAACTGTCTGCACCAATCCAGCAACTATGGCGATCAAATCGTAATGATCCTCAGCGTAGTAGCGGTAGACCCAGTTGAACAGATACAAGCCTCTGTAAGATCCTAATGCAAATAAGTAGTGACTGGTGATGCTCTCCGCCTCGCCTGTCTTCGACACCAGAAACAACTGCGGTAATATCGCCACTGATTCTAGATAAATGCTGAATGTCCATAGAACCTCCACGAAGGAGAGCTCGTGGTTGATCAGTAACGCCAGTACCAATGTCGGTAAAAGCAGGAACTCGATCCTACAAGTAGAAAGAATCACAATCTGTCACACTTGTCATCCGGAGGGGCAAGATCACCTGATCAGACGTCTATCGGAGGGGATTCCTTTACCTGAACGTGTCGTGATTGTGATCGTACGTGGCTTTAAACTTGACATACATCAAGAAGACAGTTGCTAAGGACGCGACGATGAATATAATCTTCATGAACGTGTTGTACGCCGAAATGAATGTGGTGAACAGGTCTAGATAACGGCTGGTGTAAACAATAGCGAAGAGGATCTGCGACTTGCCGCTGATACCTGCGAACAAGACGAAGCGTCGATGACAGATCGTACGATTGTAAATACATCGAACGTCCGCGTCTTCCTGTATACCGCCAACATCTAGACACAACTCACCGGCGCAACTCCGCGTCTTCCATATCTTGAGGAGGAGTATGATAATAGCTAGGAGATGCGACAGATCACCCAGCAGCCGGAATATATTCATGTCTGCGGTCCCGGGAACGTAATTCTAACGTGAGAACCAACGCGAGCCAGCTCGTTCAGCTCGCTTCCAAGCGGCACACGAAATATGACGTGGCTTCGGCTGCGATTCAGGCAGATGGCCGACCCCACCGACCCCGCGAATTCGTGAACCAAGTTCGAATGTGACATCTGGATATCCAGGGTCGCGAAAGAACCTGTCGAGAGACGCGAGGGAAATTCTCTTCACTAGTTTCAAGCTAGACAACAGCGAACTCCGATTGGACGCACCATATTGTTCCTCCCTAGAGGGATATAAAAGTCCATCAATCAGAACGATCGTCCACTCGTAGTTACTAGAATTAAATTTTAATTTATTAAAAATTTTATTACTCAATCAATTAAATAATTATTCTAATAAATTTGCTTTAATTTGAATTTAAGGGGATGCCTGTTTTATCGATCGGATGATTATAGATTTTTTTGCACCGAAATCTTTTTATTGGTTTAATATAAAGGTCGAAAAAATAATTGTTTAATATAAAAAGTTTTGCTGTTTGTACGTACAAAATAAGATAAGGTCCGACTAGAAATTGAATAAAGAAGTATTAGTAAACTTTTAGATATAAATTTAGAAGCCTAATAAATAAGAAAACGGTGCAGAAAATTTTCACGCATATGTGTTGTATACGTGCATATAAATATAAATTTTATTTTTTTTTTTATTTTCAAAATAAATTTTATATTTTAATATAAATTTAAAAAAGTAAAATAAAATAAAATAAAATCTTTATATAAATTTACATATCTTAAAATATAATTTTATATTTTATATTTAAATATTTATATGTTAATTCAAATTTTAATTAATTATTTGATAAATTGATTACTCAATTGCTTGATTTTAATTCGAATTATTAATTTTAATACACTTGGCGATTATCACTAGCTAGGGAATAACGTGCGATTTGTTCAGCAATGGCCGATCAAGATGATTTAGTTGGTTCGTGACCGAACGCCGTGGAGGGGAACGGGATGACGTTCTCTCCAACGGAAGAAACGTTGAGGAGTCGCGACGCAGAAGGCGTTCGGAGGAGCTGCTGCTGAATTATCGTGGCGAAAAATGGCTACGTCCGACTCCAAAGCGCCTCTGCGAACGGTGAAACGCGTGCAGTTCGGTATCCTTTCCCCGGACGAGATAGTAAGTTGATCGCGCGCGTTTCACGTCACTTCGTGGAAATGTCTTTTTTTTTCAAGGACATTTTTATCGCGACGATCAAAACTCTCGTTTAACGCAACCTTATGCAATGCATGGTGTTACCGTTTTTTGCGAGATTAGTATACAAATATTAATCTCGTCTGTCTACTAAACATGGTTTTTGGAAGAAAAAATAAAACTGAAAATGATTATTTAAAACATGATGAGAACAATTGTGAAATTTTGCAGACAAATATTTGGAGAGGGAAGCATATGTAAATAGTGAAAATTAGTCGGTTTAATGTTTATTTTACTGTTAGCTTTGCAGACGAACCATTGAAATTTTTAAAATACTTTTACGTTTTAGTAAAATTTACTCAAGTATCATATGTTCCATTAACATGTTATCTTTAATACAAATATGTATTCAAGATGATTCAGTTTGACGAAGTAATTTAGCATTATATATATTTAGAATTAGCATTATAATAAGAGAATATATGTAGAAGAAGGGAAAAAGTGTTAATTTTATTATTCATACAGTACATTGTGTGTTGAATTGTAAAAAAGTTGAAGTTACTTTATAATAAACATTAATATTTAAATCCCTTATATGTAGTTATTAAATACAAAAGTATGTATTCAAAATGATTCGGTGTGACAAAGTAATTTAGTTTTATATATATTTAGTATCATTATTATAATAAAAGAATATGTAAAAAATTATTATTCATATACAGTACATTGTGCGTTGAATTGTAAAAAAGTTGAAGTTACTTTATAATAAACATTTATTAAGATTTAAATACTTCATATGTAGCTATTAAATACAAAAACATCGCAATAAATTGTCCCATATTGTGTTCAAGCCAAATTTATGTATTTCTTGTGAAAATTAAAATTTACAAAATATTAAAAAATGATATTTTTGTGATTTTATAGCGTCGTATGTCAGTCACAGATGGCGGCATACGATTTCCAGAGACTATGGAAGGTGGCCGCCCTAAATTGGGCGGTCTTATGGATCCCAGACAAGGTGTCATTGACAGAAATTCAAGATGCCAGACATGCGCTGGCAATATGACGGAATGCCCTGGTCATTTTGGACATATAGATCTCGCAAAACCAGTATTTCATGTTGGATTTATTACAAAGAATATAAAGATACTAAGATGCGTTTGCTTCTACTGTTCCAAATTACTCGTCAGCCCTGTAAGTGTTCTTACGAGTTACTTATGAGTAATATCTTATAAAATTGAAAATTTTTATTTTAATTATAATTTTTTTGAATTTTTTATTAAATACTATATGTAGTTTAAATTAAATTATTAAATATTTCATTTAAAATACTTAATATAACACTTTATTTTTAGAAATTATATTACACACATGTTATAATCTTGAAAAAAGAACGAAACAAAAGAGAAAACGAATGTTTGATTGTTATTTCCTCTTTTCTAATTTACAGCACAATCCAAAGATCAAAGAAATCGTGATGAAGACAAAGGGACAGCCACGGAAGCGACTAGCGTTTGTTTACGACTTATGCAAAAGCAAGAGCATCTGCGAAGGCGGAGACGAGATGGACATCAACAAAGAGAACACGGAGGCCCAACAGCAAATGGATAGAAAACCTGGTCACGGCGGTTGCGGCAGATACCAGCCGAATCTCAGACGATCCGGTTTAGACGTCACCGCGGAGTGGAAGCACGTAAACGAAGACTCGCAAGAGAAGAAGATGGTACTTTCAGCCGAGAGAGCCTGGGAGATTCTGAAACACATCAAGGATGAAGAGTCATTTATCCTGGGAATGGACCCCAAGTTTGCTCGACCAGATTGGATGATAGTTACGGTGCTGCCGGTACCACCCCTGTCTGTCAGACCCGCTGTCATCATGTATGGTTCCGCGAAGAATCAGGACGATTTGACCCACAAACTAGCGGACATCATCAAATCGAACAACGAGCTGCTGCGAAATGAACAGTCGGGCGCGGCGGCACACGTGATCCTAGAAAACATAAAGATGCTGCAGTTTCACGTCGCGACACTCGTCGACAACGACATGCCAGGCATGCCGCGAGCGATGCAGAAATCCGGCAAGCCGCTCAAGGCGATCAAGGCTCGGCTGAAGGGCAAGGAGGGCAGGATTCGTGGAAATCTGATGGGCAAGCGCGTGGACTTCTCCGCGCGTACCGTCATTACCCCCGATCCCAACTTGCGCATCGATCAGGTCGGCGTGCCACGTAGCATCGCGCAGAACCTGACGTTTCCCGAGATCGTCACGCCGTTCAACATCGACAAGATGCAAGTGCTGGTCAGACGCGGCAATTCGCAGTACCCCGGCGCCAAGTACATAGTTCGCGACAACGGCGAGAGGATTGACCTACGTTTTCATCCCAAATCCTCGGATCTGCATCTGCAGTGCGGCTACCGGGTGGAGCGACACATCCGCGACGGCGACCTCGTGATCTTCAATCGTCAGCCGACCCTGCACAAAATGTCCATGATGGGCCATCGGGTAAAGGTGCTGCCCTGGAGTACGTTCCGCATGAATCTGAGCTGCACGTCCCCGTACAACGCCGACTTCGACGGGGACGAGATGAATTTGCACGTGCCACAATCGATGGAGACCCGCGCGGAGGTCGAGAACATTCATGTGACCCCGCGGCAGATCATTACGCCGCAGGCGAACAAGCCGGTCATGGGTATCGTCCAGGATACCCTAACGGCCGTGAGGAAGATGACGAAGCGCGACGTGTTCATCGAGAAGGAGCAGATGATGAACCTGCTCATGTTTCTGCCCAGCTGGGACGGCAAGATGCCGCAGCCTTGTATCCTGAAACCGAAACCTCTGTGGACCGGCAAGCAATTGTTCTCCCTCATCATACCGGGAAACGTGAACATGATACGAACCCACAGCACGCATCCCGACGAGGAGGACGACGGTCCGTACAAGTGGATCTCGCCGGGTGACACAAAGGTAATGGTGGAGCACGGGGAGCTGGTGATGGGTATTCTCTGCAAGAAGACCCTGGGTACATCCGCCGGCTCATTGCTCCACATCTGTATGCTCGAGCTGGGTCACGACGTGTGCGGACGCTTCTACGGTAACATCCAGACGGTCATCAACAACTGGTTGCTGCTGGAGGGTCATTCAATTGGTATCGGCGACACCATCGCTGATCCGCAGACATACCTGGAGATTCAAAAAGCGATCAAGAAGGCCAAGGAGGACGTGATAGAGGTGATTCAGAAGGCGCACAACATGGAATTGGAGCCGACACCTGGCAACACGCTACGTCAGACTTTCGAGAATCAGGTGAACAGGATTCTGAACGACGCTAGAGACAAAACCGGAGGCTCCGCCAAGAAGTCCCTGACGGAGTACAACAACTTGAAGGCCATGGTGGTATCCGGCTCCAAGGGTTCCAACATCAACATCTCTCAGGTTATCGCTTGTGTGGGTCAGCAGAACGTCGAGGGTAAACGAATACCCTTCGGATTTCGCAAGCGTACGCTTCCACATTTCATTAAGGACGATTACGGACCCGAGTCCCGCGGCTTCGTCGAGAACTCGTACCTCGCCGGTCTCACGCCGTCCGAGTTCTATTTCCACGCGATGGGTGGTCGCGAGGGTCTCATCGATACCGCCGTGAAGACGGCCGAGACCGGTTACATCCAGCGTCGTTTGATAAAGGCTATGGAGTCTGTAATGGTTCATTACGACGGCACTGTACGCAATTCTGTAGGTCAGTTGATCCAGCTGCGTTACGGAGAGGACGGTCTCTGCGGGGAGACCGTCGAGTTCCAAAATCTGCCCACCATCAAGGTGAGCAACAAGGCCTTCGAGAAGAAATTCAAGTTTGATCCGACCAACGAGCGATACCTACGACGGATATTCAACGAGGACATCGTACGAGAGATGATGGGCTCCGGCGAGGTGATCTCCGAGCTGGAAAGAGAGTGGGAACAGCTGAACAAGGATCGCGCCGTGCTGCGGGAGATCTTCCCAAGCGGCGAGTCCAAGGTCGTTTTACCTTGCAATCTACAGAGAATGATTTGGAACGTGCAAAAGATCTTCCACATCAACAAGCGGGCGCCGACCGACCTCAGTCCTATGAGAGTGATTCAGGGAGTGAAGGATCTTCTGGACAAATGCATTATCGTCGCCGGGGATGATAGACTTAGCAAACAGGCGAACGAGAACGCGACCTTATTGTTCCAGTGCCTGGTGAGGTCGACTCTGTGCACGAAATGCGTTTCCGAGGAATTCAGGCTGTCTAGCGAAGCCTTCGAGTGGCTGATCGGAGAGATCGAGACCAGATTCCAACAGGCCCAGGTGTCACCGGGTGAAATGGTGGGTGCTTTAGCGGCGCAGTCTCTCGGCGAGCCCGCAACTCAGATGACCCTGAACACATTCCACTTCGCCGGCGTGTCGTCCAAGAACGTCACCCTCGGTGTGCCGAGATTGAAGGAGATCATCAACATCAGCAAGAAGCCGAAAGCGCCGTCGCTCACGGTGTTCCTGACGGGTGCGGCCGCGCGAGACGCCGAAAAGGCGAAGAACGTGCTCTGCCGACTGGAACACACGACCCTGAAGAAGGTGACAGCCAACACGGCAATCTACTATGATCCGGATCCGCAGAACACGGTGATTGCGGAGGATCAGGAATTTGTCAACGTGTACTACGAGATGCCCGACTTCGATCCGACCAAGATATCCCCCTGGTTGCTGCGCATTGAGTTGGACAGGAAGAGAATGACCGATAAGAAGCTGACGATGGAGCAGATCGCGGAGAAGATCAACGCCGGCTTCGGCGACGATCTCAACTGCATCTTCAACGACGACAACGCCGAGAAGCTGGTGCTGCGGATCCGAATAATGAACAGCGACGACAACAAGTTCCAGGACACGGAAGAAGAGACTGTGGACAAAATGGAGGACGACATGTTCCTGCGATGCATCGAGGCCAACATGCTCAGCGACATGACTCTACAGGTACGTTGACTCAGACTGATTATTTATCTATATATATATATAGCATCTTCAGCTCTTTGTCATTCATTAACTTTAATTCTCTACCTATTCCAGGGCATCGAAGCTATCGGCAAGGTTTACATGCATCTGCCGCAAACGGATTCCAAGAAACGTATCGTAATCACAGAAACGGGCGAATTTAAGGCCATCGCGGAATGGTTGTTGGAAACTGACGGTACGAGCTTGATGAAGGTGCTGAGCGAAAGAGACGTGGACCCGGTGCGAACGTTCAGCAACGACATCTGCGAAATATTCCAAGTTCTCGGCATCGAGGCTGTGCGAAAGTCGGTGGAGAAGGAGATGAATGCGGTGTTGCAGTTCTACGGTCTCTATGTAAACTACCGACATCTCGCCTTACTTTGCGATGTCATGACGGCGAAAGGTCATCTTATGGCGATAACACGTCACGGAATCAATAGACAGGATACCGGCGCTCTCATGAGGTCAGTATGAATGCATTTGAAACCCTGGAAAGTTATATACACGAGATGGTTTCCCTTCGACGATATAGAAGATTAACAAAAAAATTATTAATTGCTTCAGATGTTCCTTCGAAGAAACGGTTGACGTGTTACTGGATGCCGCATCTCATGCGGAGGTGGATCCAATGCGCGGAGTATCCGAAAACATTATAATGGGACAACTTCCACGTATTGGAACAGGTAATGCATCTTTTTATGTTATGGATTAATAATTATTTATTATATTTTTTGTGCATTGAATGACATGATATTCATCACGGTTTTATGCGTCTTGTTTAGGATGTTTTGACTTATTATTGGATGCTGAGAAATGCAAATCCGGCATCGAGATTCCTATGGCAGTTGGTGCAGGTATGGGAACAGCAGGAATGTTCTTCGGCAGTGTAACTGGTATCTCCAATAGTATGAGTCCTCAGATGACACCTTGGATGGGCGCTACTCCCGGTTATGGAGCGTCAAGCATGTCGCCAGGTAAGTCTCGACATGAACAGAAATTTCTCCAACTTGTATGAAATCTCGATATAAGATGAATAGTGATATTAATGATTTTCTTCTTCCTTTCATAGCTTTGAGCAGCGGCATGACTCCAGGAGGTGCGTGTTTCTCGCCTTCGGGCGCGTCGGACGCGTCAGGCTTGTCGCCCGCATATTCTGCATATTCACCACAACCGGGAAGCCCCGGTAGTCCCGGACCGAGCATGAGTCCGTTCCCGATGTCACCGGCGGGCGCGGCCTCGCCCAGTTACTCTCCCACGTCGCCAGCGTATTTGCCCACATCTCCCAGCATGACGCCGTCGAGCCCGAACTATTCGCCCACGAGCCCGACGTACTCGCCGACCAGTCCAAACTACTCGCCGACATCACCGAGTTATTCGCCGACGAGTCCGAGCTATTCTCCCACATCGCCGAGCTACTCGCCGACAAGCCCGAGCTATTCGCCTACCTCGCCAAGTTACTCACCAACAAGTCCGAGCTATTCTCCTACATCACCGAGCTACTCGCCAACGAGCCCGAGCTACTCGCCAACATCGCCGAGCTATTCGCCGACCAGTCCAAGTTACTCACCCACAAGTCCGAGCTACTCGCCCACGAGTCCAAGCTACTCACCGACCAGTCCAAGCTACTCGCCCACGAGTCCGAGCTACTCGCCGACGAGTCCAAGTTACTCGCCAACCTCGCCGAGCTATTCGCCCAGCTCGCCCAATTACACACCCGCCTCGCCCTCGTACTCGCCGACCTCGCCGAGTTATTCGCCGAGCTCGCCGCAGTACTCGCCCGCGAGTCCAAGCTACTCACCCAGCAGTCCCAAGTACTCGCCCACGAGCCCGAGTTACTCGCCTACCTCACCGTCGTTCGCCGGCACGTCGCCGCAGTACACCCCGGCGAGTCCCACGTACTCGCCGACCAGTCCGACGTACTCGCCTACGAGTCCCTCGTACTCGCCGAGCTCGCCGCAGCACACCGCGTCCGGCAGCACCCGGTACTCGCCCAGCAGTCCCAACTACTCGCCCAGCAGTCCGACATATTCGCCCACGAGTCCGCAGTACTCGCCGTCGAGCACCAAGTACTCACCCACGAGTCCCACCTACACGCCCACAAGCCCGAGCTACTCGCCGACGAGTCCGACGTACTCGCCACCGGTGCCAGGGTACTCGCCCACGAGTCCCACGTACTCGCCGGCGTCGCCCGCTTACGAGACAGATGAATAATGCTAATTATTGTATTGTATTAATCGTTAATTATAAAGATAGAGTGATCAAGGAAGAAGGGGAATATCTATTGATGGAAAGATATACAGCTGATAAATTTTGTTTGTTGACTGTAATTATTAGGGTGCGCGAATTATGTATAATTATAACTGCACTCGTATTAGAAAAATTAAGATGTGTTGCAAAGGAAATGAATTATTTTTTAAGAGTTTTTAGTCTTTCCTTTTTTTCTTTTAGTTTTAGAATTATTAATATGTGTGTGTGTTATATACAAACGAACGTGTCTTAGGGACCAGAGCATTTTGTAAACCAGCAATTGATAAATCAACGAGATAATAAATGGAGACTATGTTGATGTAAAAGACAACATAAGAAACCGGAGATTATTTGTATGTCAGTTATGCGTAATAGACTTTTTGTAAAAATACAATGTATCTGACTTTCATAAGCAGCAAGCTACGTGATATTTAACAACATTTTGTTTAAGTATAAAAATTCTTATAGTGTTATTACTAGTGTGTTCATATCAAGATTTACACTTTCATTAAAAGCGCGCGCGCGAATATCTGTAATTATTGCGAAAATGTATTCGTACAATTATTATTGTATTAATGTTTTTATTTCAACATGTAAAAATGATAAAATTAACGATTAATTGTTTATAGAATAGAATATTTCAGTTCAATTTTTTAAAATTTCAATACGCTTATCAATATAATTACCACGACTTGATAATTGTGTATGCAAAATACATTAAAAAAACACAATACATATTTTTTAAATAATAGATAAACATACATAAATCATCTATTGAGATCTTTATTTAAAAAAAAAAAAAAAAAAAAAAAATTATATAACAAAAAAATTTCGCGCTTTGATTATATTAGATTAAGATAGATAATTAGAAGAAATCAATTATCAAATACTTTTTATTAATTAACTTATTGCATATAATAATATTACAAATGTACATAATTCATACAAATGTTTTTTTATTCAGTTCTCTTATTTTTCTTCTTAATAATTCCATAATCTCTCATTTTATATATATATATTAATATTATTTTAAGAAAATTTTGCGCTTCGTTAAAATAAAAACTTGTAGCATACATGGTATAGATTGACAAATATGAATTAAAACTTGAAGAGAGATTATGCGTTTTGAGTGAACGCGTTATGATTTGCTTCACGACAGCTTGCTCGACTTGAAAGTCGCATATATTGTAGGTCTTCCTCGCGGCTCTCGCACCCGGTGGTAAGCCGATCCATACTCGATTCGGTGTATCAAATTACGGTGGTCGCGCGCTGGCGACCTGAGCCTGCGAAGAACCGGTCCGGACTCTCATTGCGATGGACGTGTCGTGAACAACATCTCCGCAGCATGAACCGCGAAAGCACTCCTTTGTGTTGGAGGGACGCGAATTCGGGATTATCGCTGTTCTTCGCCACTCTGTGCATCGTCGACATCTTCGGTGTGTTCCCCATAATCGCGCTACCGCGTTCGATCATCCAGTGTGGTGAGTCTTGGCGCTTTAAAAGAGGAAAAAATTGTGTTGAAATATTCATCGAGTAAGAGAAGGCTATATGAGATATTTTGCGAGGTAAAAAGAAAAAACTGAGTGATTCTATAATTACACAGATTAAAAATATTTGTCGCAGAGTTAAAAATTAAATATAAAAAAATATGTACTTGAAGAATCGATTAGTTGTAAGCGATATAAGCATTTGTATGGATTGTATACATTTGCAATGTTATATGCGATAAGTTAATTAATAAAAAATATCAGTAATAATTATTGATGATTTCTATGCTAGTAATATGAAAATCCAATTTTTTAAAAACAATTTCTCTATATGTAATTCCTTAATTATACACACTTTGATAGATTATTATAATACAATGTTTATATGTAGAAAAAGGGACATTGTGTAAAATTTTAATAATATATTAATAAAAAGTATATATAATATATATGTCTTATATATTATTAGGGCTGTATGGGATTCCTCTGGTGCTCATTGTTTTCGGTTTACAAATTTATACGGCTATTCTACTGGGAAAGTCATGGATCATCGCGAGTACTCTGGATCCACGGATTTCACGAAAAATCGGTATCTTTTCCCTCTCTCTCTCTCTCGTCTCTTTCTGAACTAAAATTGAACTGTTTAAAATGTGTCTATATATAGGCATCATAAAGTTTTAAAACGTATTTTAGACATCTTTCTCACATCCATCTATTAACATTCTTCAACGAGAGATTAAAATTGCAGCTATCCTCTCGCAGCTGTGACGGAATTGACGATGGGACCACGTGCACGATCCATCGTCACTCTGCTCTTAGATCTGACAGTTTTCGGTTGCGGTATTCCGAATTTGCTAGTTGGTAAATAATAGATAACACCTATTATACTAATAGAAAAAGTAGAAATTTTCGTCTCGCTTTAAAATTTTATAATATTTTCTCGTGTTATTTTTCAATGGTATATATATTTTGTTAAATTTGTCTTTCAGCTTCCCAAAATCTACATCTATTCGGGCTCAAAATATCGGGATTTGATCTCTCTTTTTGTTATTGGTTGCTAGTAGTCGGCATTTTACTTTGTCCTTTGATGTGGCTGGGCAGTCCGCGAGACATGAAGTGAGATATAAAAACTATTTACTACGTATATTATAATAATTATTTTATAAATAATTTTTAATTATTTTTATAGATGGGTGGCAACGTGCTCCAGTATCGCGGTTACTTTAACAGCAATATTAGTATGGTGGAGTATCATAACTGATGATCGAACATCGTCCAACTTTGCGCCAATAGTCGCTTCACCAACGTGGGATAAATTTATTTCCGGGTATACACACAGATCTTATTTCAAATAAAATAATCTGTATCAAGAATCTTGATTACATTGAGAAAAAAATTAGCAATTTGAATAAATGTTCAGATACGGCATGCTGGCCTTTCAATTCGACGTGCATCCTACCTTGATGACGATACAAGTCGATATGCGTCAGCCACGAGACATCAACAGAGCCATATTTTACTCTTTCTTAAGTATACATTTTTATCTCTGTCAGTTATTTCAGTTCAGTTCATTTATAATAACTGTTCATGATTATTGATTTTAATATCAAATCTTATTTCATAAAATAAATAATATACCTGTCTGCTATTCTTTGCATTAACTTTTTTTTCTTTCAGCAAGCGGATCTTTGTTCGTCGTTACTGTTTGTCTAGCTGTGTGGAAGTACGGTGGTAATACGACAGCCAATATTCTCGAAGTCATGCCGTCAGGATCAGTCGCCAACATCGCTATCCTATTAGCAGCTCTTCAGCTATGCTTCTCTAGCGTAATCGGCTACTCAGCACTTTTCCAACATCTGGAAGATCACTGGAACGTGCGGAGAAGTAAGCAGCACAATTATTTACTTATTCAAGAAATAATTTACAATTCAATTAATTAATTAATGAAATCATTCTTGCATTATATGTTGAATTCTTCCAGCATTTGGATGGAAGCGGTGCGCCATGAGATCGGCGGTGGTTTTGCTTAGTGTGGCTGTAGGCGAATCGGTATCACGATTCGACATCATCATGGCCCTCATCGGTGGATCATTAACCGGCTCGCTGGTCTTCGTGTTGCCTCCTTTGATATATAGCCGAGCGTTGGTTTTGGAAGGCAGGTCGATTCAGGCATCAAGCATCGAAGGAAAGGTCCACTTGGGTTCTCGCAAGAGATTCAACGGCGAAGAGCAACCTTCGACGGACTCCGGAGCTCATTCGCGTTCAATCTATTACGGTTTCCTAAGTGCCACAAATCATCCTCGCAGGTACGTATTACCTAAATAGAGGAATTAAAATTAGAAAAGAAGAAAATACATATTTCCATGTTAAATTTTTGACAACAGCTACGCATATCTCTACTTCGACGACCTGGAGGACGAGACGAATTCGTGTTCGAGCGAATTTGTTGATTGCTACGACGAGGATGAGGGAGAGAAAAGGGATATCGTTCAAATCCCGATGATTAGCGCTCATCAGGATGATCATCGGCCGCTTCTCGTCGACGCGACAGAACCAACCCCGAGTCGATTCGCAAAATCCGTAGATGATGATCCACGACAAGAGTCCGTGAACAGGAAAGAGTTGTGGGCTTTCGAGAGGGTGATTAATTATCTCGGCTGTTTCATAGTAACGATTGGCGTAGCGATCACGCTGTCTTCGACGTATGTCAACATCTGGAACACCGTACGTTACGTGCGTTTCACGCCGCCGTGCATCATCAACGCCACCATGAATTAAGCTTCTACCTGCAAAATTTCATTTTATTATATATACAATTAATATTATATTTTTACACACATTCTTGAAGATACAATTCATTAAAAAATTGTGTTCCTTAAAGAGGAAGTTTTCATATTCTCTTTAAAAAAAAAGTTTACCTTTTGCTTGAGAACGCGTATCAATCTTTTCATCATATATATCAACTTTTGAGAACATACATATATAGCAAACTTAGAACAGGACATCACACTTATTTACATTTGCATCTTGTGTAATTTTTTTTCAGAATAATAATGTACTATTATTTCGAATTAAAATTATTTTATTTGTGAGATTTTTCTAGATAAGATAAATTGGATAAATTTAGGTAGTTATGTTAAATTAAATGCATACAAATGCATGAAAATAAATTTTAAAAACATTATGATTTATTTGACTTAGAATTAACATTGTATTCCTATTTTTTTAACACAAATTCCAGCGTCTCAAATATAACAGTCAAATATGCCGTTCTAGTATATTCTTAATAAGAAGTCCATCTTTAGAAAGAAGCCCATCTGTCAGGTTGCATGTACAATTGCTTAATGAATGAAACATGGTACTGAAGGTACTGGTGTCAATAATTAGAAGTCAATGAAGGTGAATCAACACGAAAGACATTGGAGTCCTTTCATAGTTACTAAAGGAGATGTATTGTGGTTTGCTTTGTTAATTGCGACATTAAGGACAAGAAAAGGTAAATACGGATTGATATAAGAATTGCTGAGGAAGTGAAAGAGAAGATAAATATTTTAATATACGAGGTACCAGCGCAAAAGTGACAGAAAAGGATGAATTGATATAAAAGGTATTACCTAGAAGAAGACGAAGAAGATGGATTAACAATAGAGCAACTAATATTAATACGAGAATACAGAGAAGTATTGGTCTTAGTAACAGAAGGAGATGAAGTGACATGAGAGGTACTAGTACAAGTAATACGAGGCAAAGAAGAATTGATACAAGAGGTACTAGAACTAGTAACAGGAGGCAAAACTGGATTAGCACAAGAGATTTCTTTAATAATCAAGACCTCAGGCGAAGGAGGTAAATTGGTATTAGTATTAGCTTGAGTAACAGAAGAAGATGGGTTGACATGAGAGATAGTAGAACAAGTAATAGGAGGCACAGATGAATTGACATGTGAGGTACTAGAACCAGTAGGAGGCAAAAGAGCTGGACTGACATAAGAGGTATTGACATCGATCAAAGGACGCAAAGAAGAAGATGAATCGGTAACAGAAGTAACAGAAGAAGTGACAGAAGAGTTACAAGGATACCGTCGCTTGCAGGAAGATGGATTGATAAAAACAGATGGTTGAGAAGTAATAATAGAAGAACCTGGATTATTACTAGCATAAGAACGAGTAGTCAAAACAGGAGTTGGATTGACAGCATAAGGAGGTAAAGGAGTTCTACAAGGGGTACTAGTAAAAGTAGGAGAGAAAATAAGATGATGCAATATGAGAAGTACTGAGAAGTACTGGCAGAAGCACAAGTAAATGATGGTTGGATATGAGGCATAGTGTAAATGGGATGATAAGGATGATTGATATCAGAAATACTGACGTAAGGAGGAAAAGGAGTTTGGTTGGCAGAAGTTAAAGGAGGCTTAAAATTTAATCTGACATAAGAGTTTGCATAAGTAGGACAATTTTGTAAGTTGACATTGACACCAGGGAACATAGGAGAAAATTGATGGAGATTAGGTGGCAATTGAACATTGGGCCGTAAATAAGGATAACTAGCAGTAATTCCGCCTCTTCTTACATCCTTCATTAACAGATAAAAATAAAAATTAAAAAAATATGCACAAATATATGCAAAAATTAAGTTGTTGCATACAAAATGTTGGAATTTTTGAAAGAGAATTGTAGACTGTTACTTTTACATTAGAAAAATATTTTTGTACAAGGAAAAAGTATAATATATATTTTTTTTATATAAATTAATTTTAATTAATTATAATAATATACTTACAACGTGAGGTCGCTGTTGAGTCTCAATAGAATTAACACCATATTTATCTTGTTTGTTAATATTTCTATTTTCTTTCGACGAGCATGGATTAGTAACATCAACTGTAGATATGACTGTGAAAAAATTAAATTGTATGTATAAAACTAACTATTAAAATCTATAGTTTATAAAACAAAGTATTTATTTGACACTTAAATACTTTTAATGGCATCTTATTCTGTGACTTACAATTAGATTTTCGTTTCTTCACTTGTTCTAAGGAGTTATTCAATGATAAGACATGTTTGTGATCAAAGTTGCCACTCATATTTCCAAATGGGACTAATGAATGCTGCGTTGGCGCATACAAATTCGTTTCTAATGGGAACAAAAATAGAATGTCTATTTTATAATGTATAAGGATCAGAAAATGCTTTCCTCAATGAGAATTTATTCACTTACGTCTTCTATTAAACTCATTGCTGTGGCCATGTTCCCTAACGTTTTTATTATCTGTATAGACATGAATATGACGAAATTTTCATGATTAATATAGTTTCTATCAGTTAAACTGCGAATTATAACATATGTATGATATAACGTATGTATGCATATAATTATGTTCTGCAAACATAATTTTATACATATACTAGTTTTTTAGAGCAAATTATTTTTGTATACTTACTAGGTAATTGTGCTAATTTGAAGTTTGAAGGCAATTTGAGAGATGTACTCAGTAGCGCCTAAGGAAACCAAACCACATTTAATGAGTATAAAGAAACCAAAACACAAATATATCAAATACATATAAAATATAAGATTAAATTTAGAAAATATTTTACTCAGACTTTCAAGTACATGTTTATATAATTGTGATAGAAAAGCATTCTTGTCTGAAGGTATCGCAGGTACTAATGCAGTGCTTGTAGGCAATGCACTGTCTGTAGCAGCTGTCTTTGCTGGATTCTAAGGAAACCGAAAATAAAAGTTTAATGTCAAAAGTAAAATGTAAAATTTAAGATTAAAATAGAAAATGTATAATGTTCATAATAATTGTCTTTTATAGCTTCTAAGGAAATTAAAACATAATATCATACAAATGCATCAAATATAAAATTTAAGATTAAATTCAGAGAATATTTTACTCACATTTTTTAATACATTTGCATATATTGGTGATGGAGCAAAACCTTCACCTTGCAATGCTATTTCACTTATTTTTGAATGTTCCCTGCCTGAAGGTACCAATGCACTCTCTGTAAGCGATGCACTGTCTGTAGCAATAATATTCACTGGATTCTAAAGAAACCAAACATAAAAGTATGAGATATATCAAAAGCATGTAAAATTTAATATTAAACTAGAAAATAATACATGGTTTATAATAATTGTTTTTGATAGATACTAAGGAAATCAGAACACATATTGTACAAATATATCATATACATATCAAATCACAAATATGTCATATACATATAAAATTTATGATTAAATTTAGAGAATATTTTACTCACACTTTCAGATATATTTGAATATGACGATGATGGAACAAAATCTTGATTTTGCAATGCTGTTTTACTAAGTTTCGAGTGTTTCCTGCCTGAAGGTACCAATGCACTAACTGTAGTCAATGCATTGTCTGTAGCAATTGTGTTTGCTAGATTCTAAAGACACCAAACATAAAAGTTTGAGATATATCAAAAGCATGTATTTAAAATTAAAATAGAAGATGATACATTGTTTATAATAATTATTTTTAATAGATTCTAACGAAATCAAAATACATATATCGTACAAATATATCATATACATATAAAATTTAATAATATACATATAATATATCATATACATATAATATATCCTATACATTAAAATTTAAATTAAGATTAAATTTAGAGAATATTTTACTCACACTTTCAGATACATTTGAATATGATGATGATGGAACAAAATCTTGATTTTGCAATGCTGTTTTACTACGTTTCGAGTGTTTCCTGCCTGAAGGTACCAATGCACTAACTGTAGTCAATGCATTGTCTGTAGCAATTGTGTTTGCTAGATTCTAAAGACACCAAACATAAAAGTTTGAGATATATCAAAAACATGTATTTAAAATTAAAATAGAAGATGATACATTGTTTATAATAATTATTTTTAATAGATTCTAACGAAATCAAAATACATATATCGTACAAATATATCATATACATATAAAATTTAATAATATACATATAATATATCATATACATATAATATATCCTATACATAAAAATTTAAATTAAGATTAAATTTAGAGAATATTTTACTCACACTTTCAGATACATTTGAATATGATGATGATGGAACAAAATCTTGATTTTGCAATGCTGTTTTACTACGTTTCGAGTGTTTCCTGCCTGAAGGTACCAATTCACTAACTGTAGTCAATGCATTGTCTGTAGCAATTGTGTTTGCTAGATTCTAAAGACACCAAACATAAAAGTTTGAGATATATCAAAAACATGTATTTAAAATTAAAATAGAAGATGATACATTGTTTATAATAATTATTTTTAATAGATTCTAACGAAATCAAAATACATATATCGTACAAATATATCATATACATATAAAATTTAATAATATACATATAATATATCATATACATATAATATATCCTATACATTAAAATTTAAATTAAGATTAAATTTAGAGAATATTTTACTCACACTTTCAGATACATTTGAATATGATGATGATGGAACAAAATCTTGATTTTGCAATGCTGTTTTACTACGTTTCAAGTGTTTCCTGCCTGAAGGTACCAATGCACTAACTGTAGTCAATGTATTGTCTGTAGCAATTGTGTTTGCTAGATTCTAAAGACACCAAACATAAAAGTTTGAGATATATCAAAAACATGTATTTAAAATTAAAATAGAAGATAATACATTGTTTATAATAATTATTTTTAATAGATTCTAACGAAATCAAAATACATATATCGTACAAATATATCATATACATATAAAATTTAATAATATACATATAATATATCATATACATATAATATATCCTATACATTAAAATTTAAATTAAGATTAAATTTGGAGAATATTTTACTCACACTTTCAGATACATTTGAATATGATGATGATGGAACAAAATCTTGATTTTGCAATGCTGTTTTACTACGTTTCGAGTGTTTCCTGCCTGAAGGTACCAATTCACTAACTGTAGTCAATGCATTGTCTGTAGCAATTGTGTTTGCTAGATTCTAAAGACACCAAACATAAAAGTTTGAGATATATCAAAAACATGTATTTAAAATTAAAATAGAAGATAATACATTGTTTATAATAATTATTTTTAATAGATTCTAACGAAATCAAAATACATATATCGTACAAATATATCATATACATATAAAATTTAATAATATACATATAATATATCATATACATATAATATATCCTATACATTAAAATTTAAATTAAGATTAAATTTAGAGAATATTTTACTCACACTTTCAGATACATTTGAATATGATGATGATGGAACAAAATCTTGATTTTGCAATGCTGTTTTACTACGTTTCAAGTGTTTCCTGCCTGAAGGTACCAATGCACTAACTGTAGTCAATGCATTGTCTGTAGCAATTGTGTTTGCTAGATTCTAAAGACACCAAACATAAAAGTTTGAGATATATCAAAAACATGTATTTAAAATTAAAATAGAAGATGATACATTGTTTATAATAATTATTTTTAATAGATTCTAACGAAATCAAAATACATATATCGTACAAATATATCATATACATATAAAATTTAATAATATACATATAATATATCATATACATATAATATATCCTATACATTAAAATTTAAATTAAGATTAAATTTAGAGAATATTTTACTCACACTTTCAGATACATTTGAATATGATGATGATGGAACAAAATCTTGATTTTGCAATGCTGTTTTACTACGTTTCAAGTGTTTCCTGCCTGAAGGTACCAATGCACTAACTGTAGTCAATGCATTGTCTGTAGCAATTGTGTTTGCTAGATTCTAAAGACACCAAACATAAAAGTTTGAGATATATCAAAAACATGTATTTAAAATTAAAATAGAAGATAATACATTGTTTATAATAATTATTTTTAATAGATTCTAACGAAATCAAAATACATATATCGTACAAATATATCATATACATATAAAATTTAATAATATACATATAATATATCATATACATATAATATATCCTATACATTAAAATTTAAATTAAGATTAAATTTAGAGAATATTTTACTCACACTTTCAGATACATTTGAATATGATGATGATGGAACAAAATCTTGATTTTGCAATGCTGTTTTACTACGTTTCGAGTGTTTCCTGCCTGAAGGTACCAATTCACTAACTGTAGTCAATGCATTGTCTGTAGCAATTGTGTTTGCTAGATTCTAAAGACACCAAACATAAAAGTTTGAGATATATCAAAAACATGTATTTAAAATTAAAATAGAAGATGATACATTGTTTATAATAATTATTTTTAATAGATTCTAACGAAATCAAAATACATATATCGTACAAATATATCATATACATATAAAATTTAATAATATACATATAATATATCATATACATATAATATATCCTATACATTAAAATTTAAATTAAGATTAAATTTAGAGAATATTTTACTCACACTTTCAGATACATTTGAATATGATGATGATGGAACAAAATCTTGATTTTGCAATGCTGTTTTACTACGTTTCAAGTGTTTCCTGCCTGAAGGTACCAATGCACTAACTGTAGTCAATGCATTGTCTGTAGCAATTGTGTTTGCTAGATTCTAAAGACACCAAACATAAAAGTTTGAGATATATCAAAAACATGTATTTAAAATTAAAATAGAAGATGATACATTGTTTATAATAATTATTTTTAATAGATTCTAACGAAATCAAAATACATATATCGTACAAATATATCATATACATATAAAATTTAATAATATACATATAATATATCATATACATATAATATATCCTATACATATAATATATCATATACATTAAAATTTAAATTAAAATTAAATTTAGAGAATATTTTACTCACACTTTCAGATACATTTGAATATGACGATGATGGAACAAAATCTTGATTTTGCAATGCTGTTTTACTACGTTTCGAGTGTTTCCTGCCTGAAGGTACCAATGCACTAACTGTAGTCAATGCATTGTCTGTAGCAATTGTGTTTGCTAGATTCTAAAGACACCGAACATAAAAGTTTGAGATATATCAAAAACATGTATTTAAAATTAAAATAGAAGATGATACATTGTTTATAATAATTATTTTTAATAGATTCTAACGAAATCAAAATACATATATCGTACAAATATATCATATGCATATAAAATTTAATAATATACATATAATATATTATATACATATAATATATATATATATATATATATATATATATATATATATATATACATTAAAATTTAAATTAAGATTAAATTTAGAGAATATTTTACTCACACTTCCAGATACATCTGCATATGATGGTGATGAAACAAAATCTTGATTTTCCAATGCTATTTCACGGTTTGAATGTTTTCTGCCTGAAGGTATCGCAGGTACTAATGCACTGCCTGTAAGCAATGCACTGTCTGTAGCAGGTTTCTTCGCTAAAATCTAAGGAAATCAAACAAAGTTTAAGATATGTCAAAAATAAAATGTAAAATATAAAATTGAAATAGAAAATGTACACTGTTCATAATAATTCTTTGATAGCTCTAAGGAAATCAAAACACATATATCGCACAAATATATCAAAGATATATAAAATTTAAGATTAAATTTATAAAATATTTTACTCACACTATCAAGATATTTATAAAATTGTGATAGAAACAAATTGCTGTTTGAAGGTATCGCAGGTACTAATGCATTGCCTGCAAGCAATGCACTGTCTGTAGCAATTCTCTTTGCTAAATTCTAAAGAAACCAAACATAAAAGTTTAAGATATGTCAAAAGTAAAATGTAAAATTTAAGATTGAAATAGAAAATGTACACTGTTCATAATAATTGTCTTTGATAGCTCTAAGGAAATCAAAATACATATATCATACAAATATATCAAATACATATAAAATTTAAGATTAAATTTAAAAAATATTTTACTCACATTTGCAACTATATTTGTACGTAATTGTGATAGAAAAACATCCCAGTTTGAAGGTATCGCAGGTACTAATGCAGTACCTGTAGGCAATGCACTGCCTGTAGGCAATGCACTGTCTGTAGCAGCTTTCTTCGTTGAATTCTAAGGAAACCAAACATAATAATTTGATATATCAAAAGCATGTAAAATAATTTAAGATTAAAATAGAAAATGTATAATATTCATAATAATTGTCTTTGATAACTCTAAGGAAATCAAAACACATATATTGTACAAATATATCATATACATATAAAATTTATGATTGAATTTAGAGAATATTTTACTCACACTTTCAGATACATCTGCACATGATGGTGATGGAACAAAATCTTGATTTTGCAATGCTATTTTACGTTTCCAGTGTTTCCTGCCTGAAGGTACCGCAGGTACCAATACATTTTTTGTAGGCAATGTACTGTCTGTAGCAGTTGTCTTTGCTGGATTCTAAGAAAACCGAAAATAAAAGTTTGAGATATATCAAATGTATGTAAAATTTAAAATTATAAAAGAAAATGATACATGGTTTATAATAATTTTGGTTTATAATAAATTTTTTAAAGTTTGAGATATCAAAAGCATGTAAAATTTAAGATCAAAATAGAAAATAATACATTGTTTGTAATCATTGTTTTTGATAGATACTAAGAAAATCAGAACACATATTGTACAAATATATCATATACATATCAAATCACAAATATGTCATATACATATAAAATTTATGATTGAATTTAGAGAATATTTTACTCACACTTTCAGATACATCTGCACATGATGGTGATGGAACAAAATCTTGATTTTGCAATGCTATTTTACGTTTCCAGTGTTTCCTGCCTGAAGGTACCGCAGGTACCAATACATTCTTTGTAGGCAATGTACTGTCTGTAGCAGTTGTCTTTGCTGGATTCTAAGAAAACCGAAAATAAAAAGTTTGAGATATATCAAATGCATGTAAAATTTAAAATTATAAAAGAAAATGATACATGGTTTATAATAAATTTTTTAAAGTTTGAGATATCAAAAGCATGTAAAATTTAAGATCAAAATAGAAAATAATACATTGTTTGTAATCATTGTTTTTGATAGATACTAAGAAAATCAGAACACATATTGTACAAATATATCATATACATATCAAATCACAAATATGTCATATAAAATTTATGATTAAATTTAGAGAATATTTTACTCACACTTTCAGATACATCTGCACATGATGGTGATGGAACAAAATCTTGATTTTGCAATGCTATTTTACGTTTCCAGTGTTTCCTGCCTGAAGGTACCGCAGGTACCAATACATTCTTTTTAGGCAATGTACTGTCTGTAGCAGTTGTCTTTGCTGGATTCTAAGAAAACCGAAAATAAAACTTTGAGATATATCAAATGCATGTAAAATTTAAAATTATAAAAGAAAATGATACATGGTTTATAATAATTTTAGTTTATAATAAATTTTTTAAAGTTTAAGATATCAAAAGCATGTAAAATTTAAGATCAAAATAGAAAATAATACATTGTTTGTAATCATTGTTTTTGATAGTTTCTAAGGAAATCAAAACACATACATCTGCATATAATGGTGATAGAAACAAATCTTCTTGTTTCCACAACTGCTACAGACAGTGTATTATATGATACCTTTGAACAGGAAATATCTCACTGGTCACAAGCACCATTGGAAAAAGATTTATATTATATGCAGATGTATATGCTACTTGTGACAAGTGCTTGTGACCAGTGAGATATTTACTGTTCAAAGGTATTGCATATAATACACTGTCTGTAGCAGTTGTCTCCGCAACTGTTACAGATAGTAGCTTTGAATGATGCTAAGGAAACCAAATATTTTAACATAAAAATTTGATATATCAAAAATTTTTTTATTTAAGATTAAATCAGAAAATTTTACTCACCTTTGGAAATACAGATGTATGCAATAGTGATTCATTACAAATAACTCTATTTTGTGATACTGCTCTATGATAATTGAGCAATAAAATATCTTCTTCTGACATTTTGTTTATCTCTTGCGCACCTTCTTTTATCTCTTGTGTATTTTCTTTCATCTCTTGTGTATTTTTTTTCATCTCTTGCATATTACTACAACAAAACATTAAAAGATCAAATTTTTATTGCAATTAATTATGTACTTTGTAACTTTTGCAATATTTTAATCGAGATACAAACCTGTTATAATTAATTTCTTTAATTTTTTCTACCTCTATTAACTGTTTGTTTACAATATCGAGTTCTTTAACTAATAAAACTTTAGTCTTTCTATATTCAGAAAGCTCCTTCTCCAAAATGAGGATTTGTTCTTTCAATTTATTCAATTCTGTCAGATGTTGCTCACGTTCTTTTTCCTGATGCAAACATTCCTCTTCAAACTTCTTTTCTAAGATAGCATATAAAAATGAGAGAAAATAAATATAAAATCAAAACAAAATCAAAACATACCTGTTTGCTCCTGTTGTCTTTTTCTCACGATGTAAGTTTTTAACTTTACTTTTGTAGTTTGTGTTGTTTTTGATTCTGTCATAATTTTCTTAATTTTCTCACAAACTTATTCTATCACCTTCAAACTTTATCAACATACAAATGATTTAATTTATTTCTACGTTTCCCCACACAATTTTTTCAAGCGTTCCTTCTTTTACACAACAGTTGTTTTATTCTTGTCAGAGTAATCTGCATTACAAGACGTATTATTAGTGCGGAAATACGCGCTAGAAGGAAAAATCAAGGGAACATTCCAGCAAATTCCAGAAAGATTCTACTTTTTGACACCCTACATTCAAATTTAAAAACATTTAGAAGATTGTATTGTTTATCTTGGCTTCTATTGGGTGATAAAATTGAAAACCTGTCCAATGTGTCTGCGCATTGTCAGTCGTCTACGTTGCCAATTGGTCGATTCAAACGTGAGCTCTTCTGATTGGTTGGCCCAGTGGAAAAACTCCAAACATCAATCGTTGTAATTGGCTATCGTCAACGTGGTCGAACAGAACACAGCCAATCAGGTACTAGCTAATGCTACGATTATTTTTCCTTCTTTATTTTGAAAAATAAGTAGAAAGATGAGCCTGCAATTACAGATATATTTCATGTATTTATATTTTTATGCATCATTCTCGTTTGCACTTTTGTAATTTACAAAATATGTCAGAGCTATTATATAGCGACATGGATTCATACATATAAATTTTCAATATATATATATACATATATATAAAAGCAACATTCTATATAATAAAAATATTCTTATATTAAAATACGAAATATAATAAATATATATAAATAAATACAAAATATATTGTAGTTCTGAAACTATTATTCCATTACTTATAATAGACATAAACTTTTTTTAGAAAATAGAGGACCGTTTAGCCAATATGTATTTCTAGATTTGACAATTCAAAAAGTTTTCTCTGATAAAAAATTAAAAAATCATTCTGTACAAACTGTAAAATTAAAGTTGTAGAATCATCTGAATCTCAAAGAATTTGTACAATCAGAATCTTGAACCATGTTGCAAATTATTATCTCCTAATTATGGTGGTAATACACATAAATAGATAAAGTACTCGTTATGTATTCATATGAGAGAGAAAATTGTGATGATAAATAATGAAAAAAAAAGAAAAAAATAGTTCCATGAGATCTGGATGGGAAGACAGGTAGACAGGTCTACAAGAACGTGTATACAATAAGGCGTTCTTTATTTCTATAAACCTTCCGCTTATCTAGCAAACGTATAGAAATACTCGATATTTATTATGTATCTAGATTGCGTCCGGATTAATTACGTAAGTAGCGATTAGGTATAAATATATAACAAATTTCACTCTTCGCAGCACTAACTCGTCTGTTTTAACTCATCAATGTTCAATGCCCTCGGTGCAGGAGCTCATAGAAAAAAAAACAAGAAAAAAAGAGTATTCTCTTCAAGAAAAAACTCTGTCCCTTTACGCGTCCCCGGCGTCGTCGCCACCGGCCGTAAGCGACTTGTCGTGTTGCTGCTTGTCCCGCTTGGCGTTGTGATAGAGGTAGGAGTGTACACGCAGACTATTACTGTTCTTATATTTATTACCACAAAGCTTACACGTGAGACTTTCAAGCGGACCATGTATATATCGGACATGGAGTTTGAGATTCTCTTTGCGCGTGAAGTGACGCAGGCACCAAGGACACGCGTACATGCGGATTACCTTGCCACGTTCCATACGCAGAGTCGGACCGAGCTCGGAAACGACACGCAACGTCGTCTCCAACGGCAAACTGCTGCCAGGGATACCCTTGACGGTACGTCGACCCTTGCTGCTGGGATTCGCTGCGTCGTACGCGAGATCGCCTCGAAATGCCATTTCGTTGCTGACACCTGTTGGAAGAGAAAAGTGTGAGAGTTCGTCCTGTGAAACTATCAAGGAATTATATAGAATGCGAGAACGTGTTTTTCATAACATAAGTGTACAAAGAAACGGGAAGAGAAAGAGAATTTTCATAAGCATTATGCACAATGAGATGCAACTTTTGAAGACATTGAAAAGATTAATGCGATAATAATGGAATACCATCGTGTAAATTAAAAATTGATAAGAGATTGAAAAAGAGTGAACGACAATTTGTGCTTTTTTCTCCATTCAAGTTGATTCAAAATGTTCACGCAATATTATACTCAATAAAACAGCTGATTTGAGACTGTGTATGTGTGTGCAGATATAATTTCGTGATTTTTAGAAAGACAGAGATGGAACACCTTCCGATAAAAAACTAATTTGCAAGCAATGAAATGTGAAGTACATTTTATTCTCTTCATTCATTCAGTAAAGAAATGAATCTTGCGAATTAGTTTCCCCTTTGAACATGCAATTGAAATAAGACAGTGAATAAGCGAGTAATGCGACAAAGATGTAAAACGTACCGAACGGCTGAGTTTGTGAATTCTGATTGTAGGGAACTAACTGCATGTCTGGCGCAAAATCTGTAAGATAACATCGCTTTCTCTAAACATTCCTGGCTAATGAGACGAAAGATGTCTGGTGAATGCCGAATATATATAGAACTCGTGATACATCGCTTGCTCGGATTTGAAACACCCATTCGCGTGAACATGCAAAATGTGATATTGCATTGATCGTAGAGATAGACTAAATTGACTTTAACCCCCGGCAATTTAACGAGAGAACCGATTTATATTACAATGTGACATAAAATCAAAGATATATTTAAACGGTCGTTATAAATATTTTTGTTGGACCATTAGAAATTTAATAAGATGAAATTATCATTTATCAAAGAGATAGCGAGATCTGAGCTATTAATATTGGCCGGATACCGGGGGTTAATTAAAAAATATGCATAAAAAGTGCTTAAGGAACTTGCATCGCAATCAAACATGTGATGATTCTCAATAACAAAGTAACACATTCATCCGTGGCAACACTTGAGTGCGTCAAACCTTGAGGCGCCGATGTACTGCTGGTACAGCAAACTTTTCTCATTGTCGAAGGGCGTTTCAGCTCCGGGCGCTCGCTGACGTTTCGACGACGTCATCTACCGATAGCGTCGCCTTTAAAGTACTTTAAATTCGCCAACGGAGCGAGGAGAGGAGGAAAGATCACTACCTTGTTTCTGTTGCGCATTCTCCTCGGAGTTATAGAGTATTTTCTCCGTTGTACACGAATTGTATCTGGATTCCATATCCGTATCCATCCTATAATCCAGCGGCTCGTGTTTCGGCTCCTGATTCACGTCGGACGTGCAATCCAAAGGCGACTCCTCTATCCCACTCGGTTCACCAGCGATTTTGCACGTCTCACTGAATGCTGTCAGAGTATCTGGGAGACTATAGTCATCTTCCGTGCAACTATGTTGATGGCAACTTGATGTCTGTTCTGTAGAGAGTCTGTTTCCGCCTGTTGTCGAATTTTCCGTGAAAGTGTTTAGGCTCGATTGTTCCTTGTCCATGATATGATGCGTCAGTCTATCAATTGCGGAAACATTTCTGTCATTTGTGCCGAGATCATTTTTGTCCCTTTCCACATCGAAGAAACGATCCTCAAAGTCTTCCACATTTCTTCCGAGATTCCCGAGTTTCTGCAATGTGATCAACTTCATAAAAAGATGAACAGTTTGATTGTTTTGATATAGAATTTACTCAGAATAGCTTCTTATCTTTATTCTAAGCTACTACTTTGCCTAAGATATTCTGTATTTAAAAAAGAATTCAACATACAAATTATAACACATACTTCCTCCGATTCTGTAGTCAATCCTTTTATTTGGAGAGTCTCTGCAACTTTAAGGAAGCTAGCAATATCTTCTTGCTTTATATTGACTTCTCCCTGATACATGAAATGCAGCATAGCCGATAAGTCTCGATAATTGACATCTTTCAGTATCACAATAGGATGTTTGCACGAATTTACCTTCACATACAAAATATATATCAATGAGAAATTTATGACAAAATGACAGTTGCTGCTGTCAAATCATACCTTAAAGAGCTCTTTAAAATATGTGCTGCAAACTGACAATATCAGTTTGTGTGCTCGTAAGATTTGACCTTCAGCTGCTAGCGTAACATCCACAAGTTGCTCATCTGTCAGCAGAGTGTACAGGCCTGAGGACAAGTTTCTCGGAAAGCTGTTCCACACCAAGGAAAACTGTTCTTCAGCCATTATAGCTAAACAAAAGACACTTGATATACTTGGAAGAAGTGAGATATTAATATTACATCAGACTTAAACATGCAGTATTAAAAATTATAATTATAGTTAAACAGTTGTCATCCTAATTTAAAATTCTATATTTCTAATTACAATATTATAGCTGTCATTATTGCACGAATACGAATATAAGCAAAATTATACTTTATTCTTTAATATGATTTTATTTATACTCTTCGGCTTTTCAGCAGTTTGACAAAGATTTATTATTGTCACCGGCTGAAGCAGGTTTATTTACCTTGGACAATTTTGCGAAATTTCACAGAAATGTCGTGTCGCGACAACGACGAGGGTGCAATCCCAGGATCACCGTCGAGTTTTTTACCTCGCACGATAAGGATAAAGCGAAATCCTCGCTGACAACTTCGATTGACAGGAAAGATTCGGACGCATTCGCTCGCGAACAATCCGCGGGGTGGAGGGTCGTCGACGGCGGGTTCACGTACGGGCGACAGGTCTGAGTCACTTTGTTATTTGCGAAATTACAAAACCCCAGTGCGCCATAAATCATGCGATCTCTGGCGCGCCCCGAGATGGCGGCGCGCGATCTCGTGCAATGGCGTCGCCACTTTTTATTAATACACATTTATAATAGCTCAATGCAAAAAAAAAATATATATAAATTCATAATAGCTCTCAATGCAAAAAAATATATATAAATATATATTTTATTATATTAATTTCATATCTAAATTATATATATAATTTTTGATGTACATATATATATATGTATATATATATATATATCTTTATACTATATTATATACTTTGACATTTGCTATAATAAATCTTACTGCATTTTTTTATTATATAAACATAGAAAATATATAAATATTTAAAAAATATAATAGAAAAAATATGTATATTTAAAAATGATCTATTAATTATTGTTGCAATAATCTATTTCAAATTTTAAATTAAGTCTTCATATCCTTTGTGACATTTTTATAACAAATTTAGCTGCAATTTTTATTACAAATATCATAAAATAAAATATAGAAAATATAATATAATAAAATATATAAAAAATGAAATATTAAATAATCTATTGCGATAGATCTCTCTATTTAAAGTACTGAATTAAAAATCTGTTGGTCCTTATTCAAATCTTAAATTGAAGATATTTTCGGTATTATTCCTTAATTTATATTAGATCCTCTCGTTTCCATAGATCTTTCAAACATAAAATACAATTAATAAAATTAATCGAATCCATATGAAGTCTTGATTCCACGATCTCTTCCATTCCTAATCCTTCGTTTCATGGAATGAAATATTAATAATCTATTGCGATAGATCTCTCTATTTAAAGTACTGAATTAAAAATCGGTCCTTATTTAAATCTTGAAGATATCTTCGGTAATTATTCCTTAAATTTATATTAGATCCCTTCGTTTCCACAGATCTTTCAACATAAAATACAATTAATAGAATTAATCGAATCCATATGAAGTCTTGATTCCACGGATCTCTTCCATTCCTAGATCCTTCGTTTCATGGACATGATTCATGTCCGACGCTCAATGATGATGTCATGACTGTCGATCAGACGGAAACATTTCCACAGACCGTAGCGTGCCTCCCAATCGACGAAAAACAACTCCGGCTTGTTCCAGAGGACGTGGTGTACCGCGAAGTTATACTGGGACTGTATAGGAGGATTCAGATGCGGCGCCCATTGCGCCCTTTCCATTACGATCCTGTTTACATAATGGTAAAATACTTTAGCCCGGTGTATCCAGCAGATGAGCGACATGACGGAGATGATGGTAGCGTGCACGTGGCAGGCAACCTCCAGGCGATTATCCCGTCGCTGCAGGACGATCTCCTGCAGGTTCATAGCGAGACAGACCAAGGCCGCGGCTGTAAAGCCGCACGGCACCTCCACAGCAATCAGGCACATGGTGCAATATGTCATCTCCAGGTTCATTCGGGAGTCCGAGTGATTAGCCAGGCTCTTCAGCAAGCTGTCGTGCAGTAACTCCCGGTGCAGCTTGAAGAAGAGTCGGTCCTCCTCGCGATAACCCGCGATTCGCAGGTTCACGCGTGTATGCTCAAAGAAAATCCTGGGAGTGTCGAAGACCCCTCGGTTGTTCTTGCGATCCAGCAAATACTGGAATACACGGTTGCCCAGCAGACTGGTTAGCCGACTGGCCGATCCCACCATCCGCATCAGCAGCGGGAATATCGTCGGCGTGAGGGTCTGCTCGTAGAGACCGGTACGATGCGTGTAAGCGGCGTATTCCAGAGTGCTGCCGAACTCAAGGACGATCTCGTCGGTCGCGTCCGCGGCCACCGTCCACGAGCACATGTGCTGCACGATCACCAGCAGCTGCTCGTTCGACAGATGTCTGATCGTGTTCCTCAGACAAACCTCCAGGCCCTTCTTCAGACTCGCGTACGGCGTCGAGATGGAGGAGCCGGCCAGGGCGGCTAGTCGCGTGATTATGCTGGAGTGAAAGAGACCGAGCATTCTCTCCACCGTCGCGACCGTGTCCTGGGTAGCCGGCCACTCGTACACGTCCAGCAGCTCGTACAGCACCCGGACGATGCCGCGGGCGTCCTGAACGCTGATCTCCGGCGAGGACAGTTTGTCCCAGATCACGTGGGTGATCAGGCCGCCACTGGCCGAGCTTACGTCCAACAGGCTGCACATCACCTCGAAGCAGAAGGTCTCGAATTCCCAGAGCCGGTCGTGGCAGACGGCTTCCACGATGGTCTCCACGACGTCTCGCGACCTTTCGGGCAGGTAGCTCTTCAGTAGAGCGTGATAGCACTCGCGGGCGATCTTAAACCTCCGTCGACGCTTCCAGTTGCACAGCCCGTTCGTGTGCAGCAGATCCTCGTAGCGCAGCAGAATCTTCAACGCCATCATGACAAGGGCTCGAGGATGCCGGGACTGCAGTTGCTCCCTCGTCGCGTTTTTCACGATCTTTATGATGTTGTCCAGAGTCTTATCCTGCTGCGACGGCGTGATCGCGATCGAGAGTCTCTCGGAGATGTCGTTCACTCTTCGCGCGAGATCTTCATCGGTGATCATCGTAAAATCAAGAGAAAAGATTGTTAAGAAAATCTTAGACCCGTCCGATGAAAAGTCGGAAAGCACCTAGAAAATGAGAAAAAGAGAATTACAGATAGAAATGTTAATACGAGTATAAAAAATGTAATATGTAGAACAATATAAAGATATGTATAGAGAGGTAATCAAATTAAAATATTTAAAAAGCGCATATTTTATGCAGGTTAAAATTTAACTTTCAATTTTTTACACAAATAGAATTGCAACTGTTTCATTAAACATTCACATTTGATTTTATCGATTGTTCAGCAAAGTTTAAAATTAAGATTTTATTATCTCTCTTTCTCCCGCCAATGAGAGAACGAGAAGATAATATAATTAAAAAGTCTGTTTCCGCAAACATAGATAAAAGTAATTCAATAGTACTTATGACTTAGATTTTACTTACGTAAATGTAATATAACAGTATGTATGTATATATATATATATATATATACTTTGTCGTCGTGCAAGATGGTCGACACGTCGAAGTAGAAAAAACAATATTTTATTTTGTATTTACAGATCTATACAATGTATGCACATAGAGTGTACGAAGAGTAAATTCTACAATCTCCTCTTCAATCATACAAGATAAACTTGTATGAATTTGTGAATCCTTAATCATGTATGTGTATGTGTGTATCTGTCCGGCGTTAGATAAATATTTCTCATGTCGCTTCAACAAAGTAACAAAACGCGCGTTTAGAACCACAAATCGCCGACATCCTCGTCTGGTTGTGACAGTTGCTGCTGCTGTTGATTCTGCTGCGCCTCCGGCTTCGGAATGGTACTCTCGGCGTCATCGTCGCTCTCGGAAACAGCCAGATCGTCCTGAATTTTATTCTCGCCTTTATCATCTCTAGCTGCCAAACCAGGTAGCAGGAAATCCGATGGATCATAATTTGGATCAACATCCATGCTCTCATCTGCGAGCATCAGAGTTTAGTTCAACAAAAGATCAAATATACGTTATTCATTCGAAAATTTCCTTCATCTACGAGGAATTTATTTTATTTCTTCAAGTTCTTAGACTCGATATAAAAATTTCTTGAATTTTTACATCTGTGTATTGTCTCAAATTTTCTTTAAATGATAGATCAATGATTCAAGCAATAGAGGAATTAATTATAGATTGCTTGAAATTTAATTTCTCGATCCTGTACACTTACCTTGCTGAAGGAGTTGCTGCTCGCCCACATAAAAGCCGACGTTACCAGCTAACTGGACCATCGCCTCAGCAGCTTGTTGACTGTCATCGTCCGCTAGTACAACACCTTCTTCCCTGACCTCGCTCAGTTCCAGGGTCTCCATTTCGTTTTGTCCGGAATGTTCATCCGTAACGAAGGGCACTTCATCGAATTCATCTTCACTGGAGAATTGAAGGTCTGCAATGAAGAAAGAAAGAATATTAAGCAAGAGCTCTTTTAGTTGGCATCAAAGATCAGATTATACTCTACTTTACCTTCTTCAAGGACATCTTTCTTTTTCGAGTTTCTCTCCATGTCCGTTTCCATATCTTCTTCTACATCCACGAAATCGAATTCGTCTATATTTGACTTGCCAAATGGATTTTCCGGAGAACTGGTCTGGCTCTGAAGATAAATTCAATGTTAAATAAAATGGTAAAAGAAATTAAAAAAATAAAAACGTAGATATTTGAGAATTGCCAGACAGAATTTAAAAAGTAAAACTCTTCTCTCGACTGTACTGGCAAATATTATTTATTAAATCACAAAAACGTTTCGACCCTTCTTTGAGTTCTTATCAAGTGATTTGTGAAAATAAAAATTTGTGAAGAGTTTTACTTTTTGAAATTTAAAAAGTGCATTGAGAATAAAAGATTAACAAAGGTTTAGTGATAAGATATATGCTAAACATGAAGTATAAAAGTGTTGAATGTTAAAATAATTATTACGCTTCTGAATTCAGATTCAGGCATATAGTTTTCATCGTCTGGACCAAGCCACGAAGAATCTATATCCGCTTGCTCCATTGCACGCTTTTGTACAAGCAATATATTGTTTTCGAGTTGCGATAGATGGTCATTGTACTAAAATATAACAAGTTTATCATTATTTGTAACTTTCTATATTATACTCTTATTTCTATATATTTAATTAATCTAAAAATGTTTGTACCTCATCTAATGTTTCTTTACACACTTTCACCAACAATTCTGCCTTATTTGTGAGCGGAGAATCCTTGCCATTGTAAAGCGTGCAATTTTCCAAAATCTGCTCGATATCCCTGAGAAATTCGTGACGGCTGTGATATTTATGTGCTAAAAAGAAGACACTTTGATTAATTAAATACACACTTTTGAAAGTAGGCACTTGGATTAATTTTTTAAGAATAAATAAATTTAGTCAAAGCGTAAATCTTTAGTAAAAGTGTAAACCTTTCTATATGTAAATTAAAGATATTCGAGTTTCTTACCGGAAACTTTTTTTGATATAGTTTCTAGATCCATTGGTCTATGCACGATATTGTAATAATCCTTCACCATCTTCTTATTAACAGGTTTCATAAATGGCCACACTTCCATCATAGATTTCAACTTATTGTTGACAACGTTATCCAAGATAAAGGTAAGAGCAACCTGATCATCATCATCCAAAAGAGGATTGATAGCCTTCTCCAGCCTCATTAAACGTTCTTCTTTCTCGCGGAGCCTCTCAATGCAGGTATCCAATATTCTTTTGGCAGCTACGGTTAATGAACTTTTCGCTCCGTTATAAAGCGTCGAGTTTTCCCAAATCTGATTAACATCTGCCAAAAATTCTTCTCTATTTTGATACTTTTTCAGCCTCAAATTTTCACGTATGGTCTGCAGATCCATAGGACGTTGTATAATCTTATGATAATCGGGAACTACCTGATGAGAGAACAAATAATAGAGATAATATTTTACTGAATTTTGAACAATAAACTTCTAATAAGTATCATTTAAATTTTATAGTAAATTTATTTTATATAAACTTTTTACATTTTATATCCTGCAAAAGTTAAAATTAATGTATAGATGGTAAAATATAATAATATTTACTTTTGCATTGACTGGGAATAAGAAAGGTTGCACATCCGGCAGATCTCTCATTTCATTTAAGATGCTCTCCAACATCGTGGACATTACAACAACTGGATCAGTCCTACGTCTGTTGACTGGTCTTTGGTGGCGTTTCAGGTAATCACAGTGATCATCAGTGGGTGGTTTCCTGCGCTTTTTCGAGTTCACTGCCTCCTTCGGCACTTTGAGTAATAGTGTACGTCTCTTCATCTCCTCAGCATGCTAAAACAAACCAGACATTGATTTACAATTTGTTTTCAATCTCTCGTATCTGCTTATCCAGAAAAAAAAGATATGAATATGGATCCACAGCGGATGACGTCAAAGTTACGACTTACCTTGATCAGTTTTGATGACAACTTCACCTTGGTCCCATCGACGTTCACCAAATCCTGATCGTCTGTATTCAACTGCTTTTCGATCTCCTCTTCCTGCTCCTCGGTCATCGCCACGTTGACCGGCGCGGTGGCGATGCTGTTCTGATAAAGTGGACAGGCCTTGTTCGTGCGCATGTGACCGACGTTGCCGCAGGCGCCGCACTTGAGCTTTAGATCTGGTTTAAGTTTAGGTTTTTTACGCTTGGGAGGAGAGACCTCCGGTTTAGGATGCTTAGGTACAGTAGTAGTGGTAGTGGAAGAAGATGGGAAATTACTGAACGGAAGGATACTGGTCGAGGAGGTGATAGTCGGAGTGTTGGTGCTGCTGCGATCAAATACATTGTTATTACTATTGTTGTTGTTGCTCGAATTATTGATGGTGCTGCCGTTGACGACCGCTGGTCCTCCCATCATACGCTCCCTCTCCTGATTTCGCTTGATTCGCCGCAGCTGTTCCTGGAGTCTGCGCTTCTCCCGCTTCATCTCTTCCTTCTGTGCCTCGTCCAATGTGGCGAACTGCTTGATGAACGTCTCGTCCTTCGAGTTGCGGATCTTCAAGTACGTGTCGATCACGGCGGGCTTCCTCACCAATTCGACCCGCGTGTACTCCTTGCCCTCTGGATTGCGGAACGTACGGTAAATTTTCAGCACACGACCTTGCTGCGCATTGAAATTGTTAATCGGACTGTCCTCTTCCTCGTCCTTCTTCTTGTTGTCCTTGCCCTTCTTGTTCTCCTGCTCCTGAGCCTCGCCCATCAGCATCTTTCGCAGCTCGTGTCGCTGTTGCTCTTCCCGCTCCAACGACAGCTGCGTGCTGGTTTTTTTATTCGACAGCATGTTTTCAATGTTCTTACCCATTTCCTCGATGTCCGAGCTATCTTCCTCCGAGCTCTCGCCCTCATCCGTGCTCAGTACTTCGTTCGACGAGAGAACGCGATTCTGCAGATCGAAGATACGCTGACACTCCTCTTTGTAGCGCTCCTGATGCTCGGCGATAGAGAAACGGTTGCCCCGCGAAAACTTCGTCATGCCTTCTTCGCCGGCTTTCGCCTTCTCTGTCGACAAAGTTCGGACGACGTCGATTACCTCCCAACGAGATAGCTTCTTGATCTCGTCTTCGGGCACGCCGAATTTACGCAGCAACGCCTTCGCATTGTTCAAAGATAATCTTCTCAGATCTGCATCCGTACCGGTTACGGTTCTCTTTGGTTGAGCTTCTTGCTCCTCCTAATTGGAACATAATTTTGTGACTTATTTCAATCTCATTTTTTTATTCATAAATTTCCAATTTTTTAATTCTTTAACAAATAATTATATATAAAATTAAGAAACTAGAAATATCGATATTAATTACCATTATATGTTTATTTATTCAAACAAACCTTGCTAATAGTTGGCTTATTCGGTACTCTGACGTAAGAGAAGCCTTCACCGCAGCCAGTTGGATCGGCTGGACCGGCTAATTGTAGCAAGCATTTTCCTTTCATAGCTTGTATGTAAGCGCGCGTCGTATTCCATGGTGCCACCTTTACCTCATCGTCCATTTTAAGCTGCATATCTTCGTCGTCATCATCCTGAGGAGTGAATAGGAATTTCTCACCGTATCCAGCGTCTTTTAAACGCTGCTCGGCCGCGATCATGCTGAAATAAGAACAACATTGCTCCGGCGACACCATAGCGCGGATTTCTTCCTCGGTTGGCAGTCTAAAGTCTGGTTTTATCACCCACCAGTTGGAGTCCATTCCTATATCACATGGAAAATTATCAAATTAATGATTTTAATATAGTAAAACATGCATGACACAGCATGTTTCTTTTATAAAATTTGCTTCTACACAAAAGTCTGTATTGTAAAAAATGGCAAACATTTGGATACGCACCAGTTCTCTTAAAGTCTGCACATAGCTTTAGTCTCTTCCTGATGCTGCTCTCGCTGTGAGATGGGAAGGCCTTTTTGATATCGTCCATTTTAATCCGTCGAGGTGTATCACGCGACTTCCAGAATAATCTATATATGAACACTTGCAGGAAATCACGCACAAAGTTATTCGCTCTCTTCGAATTCGGTCCCGGCACTTCGTACAGAGGACACTCCTGTCCGGCAACGAACAACGCGTCCATCTCTCTAACGAAATATTGTTGTCTGCAAAGATTAATAAAATTAATTAAAAATAGATTAAATACAATTCCTCTGATCAAACAAATAAGTGTATGCAAGCGAGAAAAATATATATATATATGACTAATAAAAAGAAAAATAAAATAACATAATTGTAAATATATATATATAAAGACGCACAATACCTTGATCTTATAATTAAGAAATCGGTTTCGGGGATCTTGTGCTCGTAAATTGGAGCTCTATACATGTTGTTCTCGATAGCCTGGATACTTTGACCAGGTGTAAGAATGCCCAGAAACGGACTGGTGTGAGCGTACGCCGTTTCCCCGTATTTATAGATCTGCGGACCCTGATCCTTGCCGGCCCTTCTCTTGTAATAGTTCTTCATCTTGGAGCACATCCCGACCTGATTCATTAGCGGCGGATGTTCTTCCGAGAATTCGACGAGCACCAATTCGCCATCTCGACCGGTCAAGTCCTCGGGGGTTCTCATGAAAACACGTCACCACCACCGGAAGCGATTCTTTCCTGTTCCCGTTGCTTAGCCTTTTTCTTGATGTGCTTCAGTAAAGGCAGAACACCGTGTAGCCCTGGATGAGCCAAGGGACCGTGGCTGAACCTTCGCAACGGCGGCCTATGAAAGTTTCTCAATCGCATTGGACCCATGTGCGTTTGTACAAAAGGTGCACGTAACTCCACCACTGGAGTGCTGTGCTGTATTAAATTGCCGCCGCCGACTTTCAGCCTCAACGTAGTTTCCGACGATTTTGGCATGTAATACGTGTCGTTTGATATGTTAAACGGATCCCGGTCGGGCGATTTGGGCGGCGGCGGAGGCGTATCTTCTTCGAGAACGTTGATGACGCCCGCCTTACCCAGCAGTAACTTGCTCTTCTTCACGTGCGGATGGGGAATTTTGACCTTGGGCTGCGGACCGTTGTCCTTGTGAAGGAGAGCGGGATCAATGTCGTCCGGTATGCCCAAAACTATGTTCTCATCGTTCGGATCTAACGTGAGTATCTTCGGCTTCGGGATCTTCTTCATCTCTTCCGGATCCCAGATGACCTCTTCTTCCCATAGACCATAAACCAGCTCCTCGTTTTCCACCGGAAATATCGAGTACCAAGTGTCGTCGTAATTCTCCTCCCGTTGCGGCTGCTGATTTCCCTTCGCCCCCATATTCCCCATTTTGTTCTTCTGCGACTGCATGTGCAACGGCGTGGCGATCTGCGAAGTGGCCAATCTGACGTTTGGCGCGACTGTAACCGGGGCACCTTTCCCCGGTTGACTGAAGGCTTGCGCGGTTCTATTGCCGCTTGAGGGTACCCATCCCGCCGCGTTATTCTTACTATTCAACTTTTGCATCACCTGTAAGAGAGGAAACAAATGTCATTCCTGTCACCTGCATTATTGGATGCATGATAATCGCTCTATTAATAAAATTATACCTTATGCTTTATATCGTCTCCGTTCCAGACAACATCGTCCTCCCAGTGTAACTGCGACACCATCAAAAACGCGTCATCAGCAAACTCTTCGTTCTTAGTCTCCGATTTATTATTCTTTTGCTCGTCCATCTGATGAAAAATTTAATAATAAGACATACGTTGTGTAATAGATTCATTTCAATGTTGACAAACGTTAACATAATCACGCACTTTATCCCCTGTTTTAAAACCATAGTTGAATCCATCTCCGGTTTCCGGAACCTCCAACATGTCGTACCATAACTGTGCAGGTCCAAATCTCCAGTCTGCCACTTTGGGACCCATATCACCGTTCTCTCCAGTTTCACCAGTTTTACCAGTCTGTTCCTTGTCTTCTACTGGTAGCAGAAGCTTAGTTTCATCATCCGAGCGACACGCCTCTGGGCAAGGTTCGGAACCGTACTGCATTATCCAACCCTGAGGCAAACCAGAAATTTGTATAACGATAGAAACTTAATTGTATAAAGAAAAGTTAAATTTTACTCTTATAGAAATTTAACAATTAAACATTTCATAGACGCTGTCCTAAAACAATACCTTAAATTTAGGCTTTTTATCATCCTGATCAGACCCAGAATCGGAATCTTTGATATCGTGGTGCCTTTTCTTCTTACGTCGTTTCCTAACACCTCTCCAGATTTGTGGCAGACTGCTCGGCTTACCCGGGCCAAATAACCTCGAGAATCTGAGGACCTTATTGGCACGAAAGTCCGGAAATAATTCGGTGACGTCGATATTGGCATACTTGGAGGGCAACATAGAAGCTAAAGGCGTCTCTAATTTACGTTGACGCGCCGCTTCTGCCTCCTCCGCAGTTAAAATTTCTCTCTCTTCAGGTATTGGCGGAGGTGGCATCAATTGTGTATCCGATTTGCTGATAACTTCCTCATCATCAGCATCATAATCTGCATTCTCCTTGTCTATTCTCTTGTCGAGTCCATTATTTTTCACTAAAAACAAATTGGATTACATTTATAACTTACTAAATGTATTTCATCATCAATAAAAAATAATAAAATATATATGAACATATAAGAAATAATAAACGTACATATAATATATGAATATTAATAAATTATATATGGATGTGTATAAAAGAGCTTATTAGAAATGCATTTATCAGTAAGAAATAATAAAGATATATGAACATATAAGAAATAATAAACATACATATAAAATATGATTAATAATAAATTATATATGAATATGTGTATAAAAGAGCTTATTAGAAATGCATTTATCAGCAAGAAATAATAAAGATATATGAACATATAAGAAATACTAAACACACATATAAAATATGAATATTAATAATAAATTGATGTGTATAAAAAGCTTAGAAATGAATATCCATTATATATAAATTCTGTAGATACTAACAAGCATCGTCATTTATATCATCCGCTAATTCATTTATGTCAGAAAAATCAAGCGCAGTAGGTGATTTGGTAAAATAATCCACATCTGTATCGTTTGCAGTTGTGTTATGATCCTCCGTCTTATCATCCAATTTGTTGCTCTCTTTCTCCTCGCTGGTAGAGTCATTAGACATCATCTCACTGATAAACGAACTGAAACCGAGACGACCGAGCGAAGCCAAATGCTGTTTCGCCTCGGGATCCAAAATATCATCCTCCAACTGGCCATTGTCATCAATGTTGCCAAAGAGGAAACCAGTGATGTTGAGTCCAGATACCAAGTCTTTCTCGTTCTCCTCCTCGGAGTCCCCCATCTTATTCTTACTAAGATAGGACAATCAATTCGATCTTTACAATGTAAGCACCTCTGTTACGCCGCAATTATATATGTAAATAAATTACAAATTTTCATGTAATGCCCTCTTTTTTTTATCATGTACAGGTATATTTCGCCATCACAAGTTGTAGGAAATTATCGAATTCTATCATTTATCGGCTACTCGACACCGGATAATCTCTCTGTTTACATAAAATACATCGCAACGAACGACTATCTGCGAGAGAATATGACCACGAAACAAACGGAAACCAACTAATAACCAAACTATAATTTCGGTGAATTTATCTGGGCACGAGATGATTATGTGAATACTAGAAGCGAAACGAAACTGAAAAGAGAAAAACTTGTGCTCGAGCGACATCTGGGAATGTTTCCGACACTTTATTCCTAGATAAGAGAATCGTAAACTCTGGAATTTTAAAAATTAACAAAACCAAATGAAAAAAATATTTTTCTTCAGAAAATAGGAAATTTACATTATTTTTTTGTCAAATAAATAATATTTGTCTGATACGAAAAATCAATTTATTTAAATGTTGAATTAGCAACTTATTTATTTAGCTGATTAATCTTCTTTGATAGAATTTGTGTCGTATTGAATACAATAACTAATCTTTAAAAAAAAAATTTTATAATTTTGTAGAAATAATTCTACAAAAATTGATGTTTCATATCGCATAAAATACATATATTCTTTTTAAAATTTTTGTATATGTATATAATTAGCAGTGTAATGATTAATTAAAATGTATTTTCAAGAACATTTTTTTAAATACATGTACTTTACATTTTTGTGTGTATGTGTAAAACTTACTTATTTAGTAAATATAAAAATTATATTAAGAAGATACACTTTTTTGCATACATTGGTATAATATTGAAATCTTGACAAAAATATATACTGCGTATCTTTCTTAAAGAGAGAAAATACAAGTTATTTTATATTTATTTCTTGCTAAATATGCGACGAATCAAGAATATCATATAAAATATTATAAATATATCGATTAATATGGAAGATTTCTTTTAGAAAAGATAACAGACTGTTTATTCTCGCTCATATACAAAGTAATAATGTGAACACAGAAATTATAGTTTTTTTTATAGATACAAAATCGATTTATCAAACGCAGACGAAAATCAGAATTCTGCGGATGAAAGTTTTTATTCATAATAAAAATGCATATATTCTAATCTATAATGTTCATTCTTCTGTACATTTTATAAATATAAAAAGAGAATATCTAAAAAAATGACAATTTATTAAGTCAAGCTGTGGATTGTTACAATGTTATTTCGCGTGATGTTAATCATGTTTACAAAAGAAATCACGAGATCTCGAGATTTGTAATAGCAATTTACAATAACGGTGATTATATTCTTTTTTTTTCTTTCTTTTTTCTGTCAGCAATAATATAAGCTCGTATTTCTAAACAAAATACAGATGATTGTACTTGAATGGATTGTGTTAATACAAACCAGTAATAAACAGCCATGACGATTGAAGACTTCAAACAAATGTATAATGTGCGACTTCAAATAATAAAAGCATATATCAGATAATTATTTCATGTTACAAATAATTTTATCCAGATATCAAGAAATAAAAACAAAATAATTATACATAAATAAATCTGCACATTATACATTTTCTGCATATTATAGGATAGGATGAAGTCCTCATTCTTACAGAGCGGAGTAAACATAAACCAAAAATAAATCATACATTCTGATAAAAATAAACACTACTGGAACAATAAATTTCATTTAGTCCATTTTTCAAATGTGATGAATTGTGTCTCAACACGAACCACCTGTTTGCTGTTGATATACCTCTATTGTATCTCCCTCTTCCATTTCCAGTGTCGTAGGTGTGTCTAATTCGTTTATGGGTTGTCCATCAAATCTAAATCTTACTGCCGCTATTGCCAAACCCTACAAGACAACAATAGCTCATTCACTAATTCTTTAAAAAATAATACTACTAGTATTTAAAAAATATTAAAATTATTATTACTATTATCAACAGATTATAAGAAAGCTACATCGTAGAATATTATAGTTCATAAAATTTCAGAGCATTTACATCAACGAGGTTCTTGTTGAAACATGAAAGACATCAACGTTTATAAATTGAATATTTTCAGCATAACATTTGACAATCCAAAGTACACCTTTGAAGAAATTATCAGTGAACACTTACTACACGGTCGCAGTATGCGTTCATCAATTTCCGAAGAGGTGTGTGTTTCTTAATTTTAAACTGCACTACCGCATTGTCCTGGCCGAGCACCTTCAGGTTTATGTGCTCCGATTCCGCCTTCGTCTCCTAAAAAAAAAAAAAAAAGAAAAAAAAAAGAACGATCGGCGTGAGAGACGCGCTACACAACATCGTAAATGTAAATAATTGTCGGCGCAAAGTTAGGGTTAGGGTGTTAGAAAGCGTTACCTTCTTCTCATCCGACATGATACGCCGCAGGTAAACGCGAAGCTAATCGATTACAAAGTGGAAATCACCAGGGAGAGTCGCGAAAATCGATGATCGCTGAACCGGCCGGCTGATTTGCACGTTTTGACGTGCGAGGTGCGAATGATCTCTGGAAATAAACACACACAGAGGAAAGTCCCGCTCGATCCCGCTTCTTTCGCAAAACGGCGATCACGATGTTGCCATCTTGCATGGAGGACGAATTGTACACAGATAAACTACGTATGTAACGTGAAATTTCAGAATTTTTTTTTTTCATTTCAGATTCGAAGCTCTGCACGCAGAATGCGTCAGCCAATCTGATCGCAGCTTCTCTGCGAGAGCGAGAGATTGATTGGTCAGCGGGCGAATGACGTTTTCTCCATGTCTAGGGAATTTTTTTCCTAGTGTCTCGTTTGTGAAAAAAAGAAGATAATTTATAATTTCCGATTCGCATAAAAAATTAAAAATAAATCTATTAATAATAAAATATATATATATATATTAAAAAATAAATATATTACTAATAAATAAATAATTTAAAAAAAATTAAAAATTAAAAAAAAATTATTTATTATATTTTCTGTCATTTTATGCTCGAATCAGAAGACACGTAAAATTAATTTCACGCAATCGGCTTTCAAATAGAGCATTTTTAAAGCTTCGACAATTTCTCTATTTGATAGCCAATCATGTGAAATACTGAGTTTATGTTTTCCTAAAAAATTTTTTGAACACATTCCATTCACTGATCTCCAGGGTTGAATAAGTTAATGATTTTTTAAAACTAAGTTAAGTTAAAGTTAATTGATTATAAAATTAATTTAATTATATATAAGTTAAAAGTTGCATGTACAAAAAATTGTATCAGGTAAAGTTACGCTAAGATTAAATTAACTAAAGTTAATTTTCAAATCAAAAGTTAATTTTCAAAAACATTATTTATATTAAATTAGAATTTTGTTTGTTAATTTTTTCAAATTTATAATAACAAATAACAAAGAAATTTTGATTTTTATATAGAAGTATATGCTTTAGTAATTACAATAATTGACGACAAATGAACATAAAAATTAATAAGACTTTAATTTAAAAAAAAAATACGTTTACAACTTATAAAAAACAATAATATATATGGTATTTAGAGATAAAAAAATTTAATATAAGAAAAAGTCAATAAGTTTAAGATTAAAAATAACTAGTTGAAGTTGAAAATTAATACATTTTTTAAATTAACTAAGCTAAGTTAAAAGGTATTTAACCTTTTTTTACTTTTAACTAATTAACTAGTTATTACCCCACTCTGCTGATTTCATATATAAAAATTATTAAATATTTATTTAGGTAATAAAAAATAATGATTATAATAATAAAATAATAATAATAATGATATAAATTATAATAAAACTGTTTATTAGACAGATTATAATTGTTTATGCTTTAACTTTTAGCTAAAGGATAAAACAAATATTATACATAAATACATAGAGATCAGTGATTTTCTAAATATCACGTATGTTCAGTTATAGAATGATATTTCAACAAGATAAAAATCTTATTACTGCAATGAATGCAAAAATTGACTGACAATGAGCAATCTATAACATTTAAAATATATTTTACAGAATATATATATATATATATATATATATATATATATAATTATTTATTATTTGAAAGAATCTCATCCATTGCAAGTTTCGTAAATTTTCGTATATACTGACGATCTTCAGGCGAGCATTGATTTTGAGTTTGATACCAGAACAAGAATGTAATGATAGAATCAAGTGCACTCTTTGCTGTAACTTCATCATTCGTAAAGTCATTGTCATTTAAACACTCATTGTTTTCTTCCTCTTCTTCAACTTCTTGGTTTATTTTCTGGTTAACCTCGTCATTTTCTCCATGTTTCGCAAAGATTAGTTCTTCATCCAACATTTCTTGGTCTAATACTTCCTGGTCTAATACTTCTTGATCTAATACTTCTTGCTCCAACACTTCTTGGCATTCTTGTTTATCATTGTCACTGTTTAACCATAAATCAATCTCCTCTAATGTAATATTGTCATATTCAGGAATTTTATTTACCATACTTAAAAATAATCTTGAATCGAGCTGCTCTTCTAGATATAAAGGGAAAATATTTTTCCAGCTATTCCTTATGACAACTTCCATGACTTCATCCCACGCATCACTTATTAAGTGACAACACTTAAGTACGTCAAGTGATTTCAACAACTTCTGGACGTCTTCTGCAGTATCTGCTGTAAGTATTACTCTTAGAAAATGTTTTCTATATATCTTCTTCAGCTTTTCAATAACTCCATGATCCATAGGTATGAGCGAAGTCGCATAAGATGGTAGACAAATTACTTGACATTGTTCGCTAATTAAATTGAGTTCTTCTACTGAAGGATAATTGGGAACATCACTGAGTAGAAGAAGACATTGTTCGATATTGGAACTATGAACTGCTTCAATTTCTGGTAAAAAAACTTCCTGATACCATGTCAACATCAACTGTTTATCTATGCATGCATTGTTCTGTTTTGTATATATGACTGACGATGATCTTATGTTCTCGAGACAGTTATGATCTTGTCCGACAATTAACAGAGGCAATTTGTGACTTCCTGTCACATTTGTACACACCATTAATGTGACCTTATTTTTTACCGATTCTCCATCAGAAACTTCATTTTCACTGCTGGTGTCAAAAGTTTTATTTGGCAATGTTTTCCAATAGAATACAGTTTCTTTGGCATTATAAATTTTATCCAATGGTATTTTGTTATCTATAATATATTTTACAAATTCTCGACAAAAAGTGCTCACACTTTTACCTGCAGAAGTTTCCCCTGTTGAAGATCCAATGCTATGCCTTTTTTTAAATTTGGATATAAAACCATTGGTACCTTTGAAATTATTAGTTCCGTTAAGCATTTTATTCAACTCAACTGCCTTCTCTTGCAACATTGTTCCTGTAACAGATTCCCCTATGCTTTTCCTTTCGAGAAACCATTCATATAAGGCTTGCTCGAGAGGACTATTTTCAACACCAGTGCATCTCTTCTTAGATGTTTGTCCTTGACACATAATAAGTGCACTTCTTTTTTTTATCAGATGTTCCCTGGACTTCTTTATAAATGTAATTGCTGACCTGGATATCTTGTATTCCCGTGCAAGATCAATGCCTTTTTCTCCATTATCAAGCCGTTCTACAATTTTAACTCGCTCTTCGATGCTGAGACGGGTTTGCTTGGGCTGTTCCTGAGAAAAAGCAACACGACGCATTTTCTGCAAAGCAAATAAACAAGGTATTTTACTCTTTTTAATTGTCATATAAATATAAAAATTGAAATATTACATAAGAATTATTAATAAAAATTTCACCAACAATGTTTTCACTAATATTTCTAGTTTGATTGATATCATATGACACAGAAATTTCTGTGTATTATAGGCAATAATATATCTTTGTTAAATATTTTTATTCATCAAGCTAAATATTATTCTAATTATATGTATATTGTTGGCGACTTTAATTAGATTGTACCACAAGAACAAGTAAAAAATTTATAATTTTTACAAAGGGGAAATTTCGCTTTCAAATCATAACAAATTAAACATTTAACGTGATAAACAAAAATGAATGAAAATTGATTTCTTATTAGTAATATTTCAATTATAACCGTATTAAAACATTTATTATTCCTTGCATTTTCGACATAATTTCTATTGGATTACTTTAATTAAAATTACATACCTGTGTTAATGTATGGTTTTCGTGAACGTACGAAATAACTGTATATTGTCTTTGTATTTTGTTATTATTTTGTGAAAATCCGTTTCTGTCACAAACTTTTACAGGTTTGTTCCGAAATTCACCGTTCGCGCGATACGCATATGATTTTCTACGTCGGCAAATTTCGGACGTTTTGGAACACAACCTAAGTTAAATTGAATTCATCCTGTCATATAATTATAAACATTATAAAATAATTCAATGAATTTTGAGAGAAAGATACAAAAAAGATTTGTTTGGAAGACTTTAGAATTAAATAAGAAATTGGAAGAAGTAAATTGATCTTACAGAACTGAAAATTAAAATAAAATATACAATAGAGCTAATTCGACAATCTCGATATATATTACAAGTATAAATTGTGTGATATATTATTGAATTCTATAATGTTGTAATTCAACATAGAAAATGCAGGCTTAAAGAATTTTAACTGAGATATCCTAAAATTTTGTAACTATATACAAAATTATTAATTTTATTTACACTGGAATATAATTCAATCATAGAGGTTATTTAAAAAAATTTATACAAAGTCTTAAGAACGTACTTTCAATGATGCAATAATATAACAATTTCTCAGAATATTAGTACAAATGCAAATTGAATGCTATATTGATTTCTTCACTGAACAGCAGTGCACTGCCAAATTATAGAATCTAATTAGTTTACAAGACTAATATCTAGATTCTATGTTTTATCAGTAAATGCTTTGTGATTAAAACAATTATCACTTTAATTAGGATAAATCTTTTATCTCTAGGAGATTAGAGTCACATGCAAATATTTTTTTTTCTTAAATTCAGATAAATATTTACTTTTTTACCTTACAGCGTGTTATCTGTTTCAATTGTTGAGTCTTGATACAGAAAGATGTGTGTATATATATATATATATATATATACAGTATATATTTCTGTAAACTCGTATAAATTGTCCTTCTAAATATATTGTATAAAATCAATTCAAATCTCTGACTTATTCCCGCAAATATCCACAGGGGACTCTGGTGTCGCGCCATCTGGTGACACTTCGCTCGAACTAATGGGGCGCGATTTGCGATGACGTGCGTAATGTCAGAGAGCTAGTAGTGTGCTCCGGGGCTCGTGTTGTGTGCACACTTATTATTAAAAATGTTTGTTTATAGTTGATAATCGTACCGATAACGCTAAACATGATGGATTATGAATTTAAGATGAAGACACAGAAAGACCGCACGAAGGTCGAGGATCTCTTTGAGTTCGAGGGATGCAAGGTCGGAAGAGGCACTTACGGGCACGTATACAAAGCTCGTAGGAAAGAAGGGTTAGTCTCTCTAACCTGGCCACTAAAACGCGAAATATAATATAATATTATTCCTTAAATATTATTCCTCCTTCGAGCGTTTACGCAAACTGTATCAGATTGTACGATGCAAATTGATATTCGCTCCAAAACTCGATGTAAATCCATTTCGGAGTCGGATTTCTTTGCACAAAAGTATCTGTCGTCTTCGTTCTATCGATTTTTTTCTTTCAAGTTTTATTTAAGGTTTCTCGACCAACCGAGAAGTATGTTTATTTTGTCTCTCACTCGTTGCATTTAGGATAATTTTTTAATTTTGGATTTGATCGATCTGATTTGTCATTTATTTTTAAGATTATGATAAATATTCATCATTGAATTTAAATTGTCATGTTTGATAATTTAATCATTTTTAATCCTTTGAGAGGATTTATATGATATAAATCGTTGATTCACTCGGCTTCAAAATTTCTATAAATCTATTTTAAAGTTTCTTTCCATATAAGCACCTGCTTTATTCTATTGATTGATTTATTTAAGATTTCTTGAACAGTAGAAAACTATGGGTTTGTTCTTTATTGTTGCACTAGTGAACTAGTGCAGACTGTTGCAGTAAGTTAGAGTGAAACAAAATATATTTGTCTCACTTTAACTTATTGCATTAGTTCATCAGTGCAGCAATAAAGAAGAAACTCTATATTTATTAATCATTTATTTTGTTCATCTTTACATCCAATTGTTAATACAATTCTTTTAATTATAAATAATTAATATAATGCAAACAAAATGATAAAACTTATTACACTTTAATTTTTCAGCTAGCTAGTTTTAATTGACAGTTTTTTTACATAGTTGTTTAAACAATTATTTGAAATGAATATTTGATTAATACCTTTTTATTTTTGATTGTTGAAATTATGATTATACAGTTAAAAGCATTCTATTTTGTAAATTTTATAGTGTACCGGATAGTGAATTGAAGTCTCGGCCTGATACAAAAGATTTTGGCCTTAAGCAAATTGAGGGTACAGGACTTTCAATGTCTGCATGTCGAGAAATTGCTGTAAGTTGTCTCATTGCTCTTAAATAACAAACAATATTTGTCTGCATCTTACAAAAGAAGAAGTTTGATTTATATAATCTTTTCTATTTTAGTTACTCAGGGAATTAAAACATGTCAATGTCATTACTCTTATTCGTGTCTTTCTCTCTCACAATGACCGCAAAGTTTGGTTGTTATTTGACTTTGCCGAGCACGATTTATGGGTATGTTTATATTCCTAATGCAAGAGATAAAAGTGTGCAGTAATATGTGATGTAAATATGTAACAGCATGCTAATTTTATTTGCAGCATATAATTAAATTTCATAGAGCGGCAAAGGCTAATAAAAAGCCAGTAATGGTACCGAAAGGCATGGTCAAGTCTTTATTGTATCAAATTTTAGATGGTATCCATTATTTACATTCCAACTGGGTCCTTCATAGAGATTTGGTACGTGTTACTAGCACAAATTAAAGAGATGTATATTTCTATTATATTTTTATTATATTTATATCAAAGATTAATTAATTTTCTTTGTTTTAGAAACCGGCAAATATTTTAGTAATGGGTGAAGGAAATGAGCGAGGACGTGTGAAAATTGCCGACATGGGCTTTGCTAGATTATTTAACGCTCCTCTTAAACCTCTGGCAGATTTAGATCCTGTTGTAGTAACCTTTTGGTATAGAGCTCCGGAATTACTTTTAGGTGCCAGACATTATACGAAAGCTATAGGTTCGTAATACTTTTGTGTGACATTTTATTTTAAATTCGTATAAATTATACATATTGAATTATTTATTCCGCTATTTCAGATATATGGGCTATCGGCTGTATATTCGCGGAACTTTTAACATCCGAACCTATATTTCATTGTAGACAAGAGGACATCAAGACTAGTAATCCATATCATCATGATCAACTAGATAGGTGACGATACATTTACGATTTTGTACAAAACAAATGTTTTGCATATTATAGAAAATGACATGAACTAATTTTTGTTTAGGATATTCAATGTAATGGGATTTCCATTGGAGAAAGATTGGGAGGATATTAAGAAAATGCCAGAGCACCCTACGTTACTTAAAGATTTTAAAAGATCCAAGTGAGTTTGTCATATGTTTTTGTAAAATGTATTTCCATCGATATCTCATTCAAAATCTTTAAATATCGATTTTGTCATTTTCAGCTATGCAAACTGTTCGCTTACTAAATATATGGATCGGCATAAGATCAAACCTGATAGCAAGGCATTTAATTTGGTATGAATTAAAAGAGAAACGTAAACATTTTGTTACACGTACTGGACAAAAAGCAATCTTTCTTGTATTACTCTGTTTTAGTTACAAAAGTTACTGATGATGGATCCAAATAAGCGTATCACATCAGAGCATTCTATGCAGGATGCCTACTTCCAAGAGGAGCCACTGCCAACACAGGAGTAAGCATCTAGTTCTATATTTTTTATATACAAATAAAATAATTTAGATTCTTTTAAATAATAATCTTGCTAAATTACATTTATTTGATCTTAGCATATTTGCCGGATGCCCTATCCCTTATCCCAAGAGGGAATTCCTCACGGATGACGATACTGAAGAAAAGACTGAAAACAAAGCAAGGCAAAATCAACAACAAACGGTAATTACTTCCGAGATACAGCTCGAAAACATTCGTATGTGATATACTTCATAGGGTTTAAGCCACAACTACTATAATAAGATAACCATATTAATACAGATATAGTTTTTAATAATATATACATATATATATATATATATATATATATATTTACGTATTGTTTTCAAATTTTTTAAAAATATGGTTTCGATTTTTAAACGACCCTGCAATGGCAAAGGCGAGTGAAGCCTACTTTGCTGTTATCTGAGCTCCATCGGTTATATGGTAGTTGAGGATTAAACTGAACTTTTAACATCGCCTTGTTGCTCATCCGAGTATTCGTGAAATAGCAACAGCAGAATCAACAGCAACAAGGTAACGGCGATCACAATCACGGACAGAATGCGAAACGGGTGAGACTGAACGGGCCACACGGCGCTCCGGAATTCCATCAGCATCAGAGCCACGCGATGACCCACCAGCAACCGCCGGGGATGGTTTACTCGACGGCTCAGCCGACTCAGCCGTCGAACTTTCATCAACGTTTCTAATCTCCGTGACCCTTAATCCGCTCGATCACACACCATGAATCAGACCGAAAAAACTTAAAACTGTCTTACGCAGATAAAAATGCATATTAATTTAGTTCACTAATCAACATATTGTCGACAAGAGTGGTCAGTGATTCGTGTATATTCCGTAAGTATGATAATACAACTTTATTTATATATATACATGCGGAGAATTATTTTCTTCTCGTTTCCGCGTCCGCTTTTACATCTCTCTCCACATCCTTTGGTCTCCGTTTTGTACCCCCCATATCAATATATGTATATCCCTCCCGCCGTGATTATCAGTATACGCGCCAATAAAAAGTCTCGGTCATGGGCGTTCGCAGAATTTTTTTCCAGGGAGGCATGATTACAATTTTTTTAATTATTTCTATTAATTTTTTTCCAGGGGGTCATGATTAAAATTTAAAAAATTTTTATTTTAATTTAATTTTTATTTATTAATTTTTTTTATAATTTAAATATGCAAATAAATTTCCGCGTTTGTTCCAAACAAGTGTAATTTTTATTTTTGTTAAAAATTAATTTTTTCCAGGGGGTCACGATTAAACTTTTTTTTATTTTTCTCTCTTAATTGTTATTTTTTTAATGTCAGTTTTCTAATAATTAAATTTCCGTGTTTATTCAAAATGAGAGCAATGCTTAATTGCTTAATTAATTTCAAGGGGGACAAACGTTGCCCCCCTGCGGACGCCCATGGTCTCGATCGTATAAGAACGCCGATGATGGTCACGAAGACGAGAAAAGGCTCTCGGCGGAAAGGAAGGACTCGTAGGGGGAGGGAGCGAGCGATCGAAGTCGGCGGCCGATTAAACTCGGGCAGGGAAGGGGATCTCGATCTATCGCGCACGCGCGCGGGCCGAATCGCGCGTGCGATCGCGTCGTCGCGGGCACCTGAAACGCAGTTTCCGCGAATCGCTGCTCGGTGAAAAAAGTGCGTGCGCGCGTGCCGCTCCGGATTGTCAGGATGAGCCATCGATCCCCGGGAGTCGTTGCGCTGATCCGATGAGAGGACGACGCAGGTGAGAATGAATCTCCATTCGCGACGATTTGGAGCAAGATAGTTTTTTTTTCATTCACTATTCGCGAACACACTTTGGCGAGAAATTTAAAACGATTTTAGAAATTGAAAAAAATTCCAAGTTTTTCTGAAAAAAAAAAAAAAAAAAAAAAACATTTGACAGGTAGCAATTTTATTTAAAGCTTAAAAGGGATATATATATAGGTTATATAGGAAACGTGTGTGGTCCCCAAAAGAAATAAATGATTTAAACTATTCGATCGAAGATTGCAATTAAGATTGTATTTACATATTTAAGATTGAATATTATTATTGCATTCTCTCTCTCTTTCTTAGCCTATAATTATTACATCGTGCAATATCTTTAATATCAAAATAATATGCGAGATACTATAATAAATATATGATATTTATGTTGTATGATTGCATAGAAATTTATATGCAATTCTCCGACTGCATAGAGATTTCAATGCCTTTTACTCGCGCAGATGATGTCTCTCGTGTTCGCGTTCGAGGTCCTGATATTTTCCTCGTGCGACACACGAGGACAGTTATTGATTGAGAGGGATATCGTGAAATATCTGCTACAGGTGCGGTCTCCTTAAGCGATAAGCGATTATTAGTGCCGCTGGTATTTGGCATTTGATCTGCAGACATGCATTAAATTAATCGAATTAATTTCTGCTTAGCAACTTGCATTGATTATATAAATATTCGTTTATTTTAAGTACATATATTTAATATGTAATTGCTGGTAGTTAAATATGTGCAAGAAACCGCACACTAAATCATTTTCACATCACATCGCACACATTCTACATATTTCATTATTATTTTCATTAATCTGCTTGAAAAAGAGAGATGTCAAAGTATTTTTTAAATATTTTCTACACTGAAACAAATTATTAAATTAATAAATATTTATTTCAATATTCAATATTGTCTTATAAAGCATTTATTTGAAACTAATAAATATTTATCTGTTTTGAAAAGGATTTTCTTATATCGAATAAATATTTTTTCAAATCAAATATTTTTCAATACTATTAGTTCCAAATAAATGATTTATAAGGCAGTATTGAAATAAGTATTTATTCGAATTCAATAAATTTTTTTTCAGTGTATGTAATTAATGTAGCGTTTAATAGTATTGACAAACACATTTGTTTTATCAATATTAAATGCCAGTATTTTTAACATATTCATTATTTTGCATTATGATTAACATATGTATATAAATACAATATTTCACTTTTATTATTATGAATCAATAATAACATATATTTTTAAGTTTTATTTTATTTTTATTATTACGAAAATCATAATAACATCAAATTTTATTTTGTTAAATACGATTTTGTAAAGTAACACATACCTCTTATATTTGTTTAATATACGGAGAGAATTTTCTCTTAGAATTTACCCTGAAAATCAAGAGCTAATCATGGAACAATAATGTATTGGAAGAATTTTATAAGAGTTTCTCGGATTAATATTTACCACAATAAAAAATATTAATATGTCCATAGTAAAATTAATCGAACACATTTTATATCTTATTATGGTAGATATGAATATTTTTATTATGGTAAATGTTAATAAGAGAAACTCTTGTAAAGTTTTTCCAACATCACATTGTCTCATGATTATTATAATTTTCAAAGCAAATTCCAAGATTAAACTCTGCGTTAAGATTACTCTCCAAGTAATATATTTTCTAGATCTCTCCAGTTTAAATTACACACTGAAAAAAATGACTAAGTTAATAAATATTTATTCGAATACTCCCAAACGAATCATTTATTTGAAATAAATAAATATTTTATTTGCTTTGAAAAAGATTTTCTTATATCAAATAAATATTTTTCATATCAAATCAATATTATTAGTTTCAAATCAATAATTCCTTGGGCAGTATTGAAATAAATATACTTATTCGAATTCAATAAATTTTTTTAGCGCATATTCACACTCATACATGTATTAATTCCCAGACCACGTTTGCTAAAGCCGGCCCTGTTACTCGGTAAACAAATGTGGCATTTAGAAACAGAGCGAGCGAGCGATAATCGTGCTCTCGATTGCGAGAGCTAGAGTAATCGAGGATATATCACTGAAAATATCAATTTAATATCGTCGTCTTTATTTCGCTTTTAGTTCGGATCGAGACATATGCAAGCGAAATGTTAAAGGAAAAACGCTTAATGCTACGCCCTCTCGCGGTCTGAAAGGATTAATTCTGAATATATGATTGCCTGTCTCCACTATTATGTTATATTATATAGCTCTAAGTATATATATAATAATAGAAGTGGAAAAGGAAAGTCAAATCAAGCTTAATCCTCTATCGAATCGTGTTGCCTTTGGGCAACAGAAAATCAGACAAACGCGATATAAGACGTGTTTTATTAACAAGATTTACGTTTTTCACACATCTTTTCAAAGTACGTGGAATATAAATGAAAGGCCAACATTAAATAACGTTGATGTAATCGATTTGTGAAACAGATTATTTTTTTTAGCTATTTGTAATTATTGATAACTAAAAATTGTGAGAGCAAAATATGGAAGTGAGAAAAAGTTGGAACGAAAATGATTGTAGTTCAAAATTAAAAATTTTGCAATTAATTCCTAGTGAAGGGGAGAGGGGAAATTTTGAATTTTAGTTATTTTTGTCGAAATATATTCACCTGCTCTTTTAATGATTTTTTATTAATATTTCGAATATATGTATATCCAAACTGAATTTATCTATTATTACACTGAAAAAAATTATTAAATTATAAAATATTTCAATACTGCCTATAAATCATTTATTTGAAACAAATATTTATCTGTTTTGAAATGGATTTTCTTATATCGAATAAATATTTTTTTAAAACCAATCAATATTATTAATTTAAAACAAATGATTTATAAAGCCTAAAGCATTATTGCGTTATAAAGCAGGTTGAAATAAGTTGGAATAAATATTTATTCGAAATTAATAATTTTTTTTAGTGTGGCATTAAATATAATTGCATTTATTGCTTTAATGATGTTTAATAATATATGTACCGAATGAAAAGGATTGAATGATCGATGATTTTACCTCGCGTGTCGATCGCGACTCGCGTTTACATATCAGTCTTCGATTACTCACCCAACGTCAACGTCTAATAACATACAATTATAGGAATCATGAGGATTTTTCTCGGTCTTACCATTTGTATGATTGTTGAAAAATCGCACGACTTGTATTGCCCCTGTTTTTGCTTATGTAACAATTTATAATCATCAAATAAAGAAGTACGCATTTTTTTCTAAGAAAATCAAACGTGATAAAACTTGCCATAAAAGTAATGTAAGGCTAAATATTAAGAACTGCGTCAATAATAATGTGGACTTTTACTGTCCCTCCTTTCCATGTCCCAAGGATACATTTTTCCAGGGTTTTGTCAAGGATCCACTCAAAAGTCCACATTACTATTGACACAGTTCTTGTTATTTAGCTTCATATAATTTCTGTAGCAAGTTTCTTGAAGATTGGTTTTCTTAGAAAAAATAATGTTGCATGTTCTTTTAAATTTCAAATAAATTCTAAAAGTTAGAAAAGTCAGGTTTTATAAAGTTACACCTGTTAACGTGCAACTGATGAATTTTGCAAAACGATTTTACTATCATTATTACTTGTCAACTTTCACGGTGCACAGAGAGAATTTTCTCTTAGAATTTATCCTGAAAATTATGGTAATTGTGGGACAATATCGTATAAGAAGAATTCCTCTAGTTAATATTTACTACAATAACAATATTAATATCTACCACAATAAAATATAAAATATGTTCGATTAATTTTACTGTACGTCACTGAAAAAAGTATTTGTGCGAAATGACATTATGCTGGGTCTTTTTCAACCAGCATAATCGTGCAGTATTGCTACCCATATAGAAGATTACAGATTATGTAATCTTGATGTAATTTCACATGAAATATGTTCTTATATATTTTCAAGATTAAAAATATTCCTCTGACCATGGAATTATACACATACGAAATGCTAGTAACGTATAAATGCTATAAAATAATGTTATAAATAAAATAGATAAATGCTTATAAAATAAAATTCTAGTACAGTAAAAATACTAAATTTAAAATTACAAGTAATTTTTGCATACAATTTTATATATATTTTATATTAATATGTATTTTCACTTTAAAAAATACGGCGAAAAAATTACAGTGATAATTAAGTAATTTTTCCAGTTTTGGACAAATAATTTCCACATAAAAGTACATGGATTTTTTCAGTGTATTAATATTTTTTATTGTGGTAAATATTAATTGGAGAAACTTTTATAAAATTCTTCCAATGCCATATTGTCTCACGATTATTATAATTTTTTTTCAGGATAAATTCGAAGAAAAAATTCCGTGTGTCTATTTCGATTTTCTTACGATATTCCAATGCCATATTGTCTCACAATTATTATAATTTCCGGATAAATTCCAAGAAAAAATTCCGCGCGTCTATTTCGATTTTCTTCCGATAAAATGAGGATCCGAGCGCAGTTCAGTCACCGAAATCGCTCAATATGCAGATATCTGGCGTCCGAAGGACGTAAACATCGGACGGGATGATCGTCGATGCAAATCGGTCTCGCCCGGTTTCTCCACGTGTGCGACGAAAAAAAAATATAACGAGATCTAGCGCATTTCATTTCGCTCCGGGCAAGGACGATCGCGTTATGCCATCGTCGTCGTGCTTTCACGCGGTAAGAAACATGCGTGACTTTCAACGGGAGAACGAGAAAATACGCCTCGAATATACGCGTCGGTCGCCCGATTAATTATTTATCATTATTTATTGTATCAATCATTGTCGGCTAATCATCCCCGACGAATGGGGAAGCTTTTCGCGCCATTGTCGACCATGTGTTGGGTTGATCGCCTGTTGACAGCGCGTGAAACCACGTGTTGTCCCAGCAACGTATAGAACCACCTGTTGCACAGCCAGTGCA